CGACGTTTAACAATTTCCGCCGCCATTTTATTTTTTTACAGAGAAATTGTTCGACGAAACTGTCCGAAAATTTCACTGAATTTTCTTTGTGCTGCAGATAAAATTTAGTGAAATTTCCAAACAGATTCAACCAACAATTTCTCAGTAAAGAAATAAAATGGCGGCGGAAATTTTTAAACGTCGCATGGCGCTTGTGATACTTTGCCTGGAAGGTGACGTAGTGAGAAAAAAGTTCGGTCAGTAGTGCTAATGTTTTGAAGGTGGTCCGTTCAATTGGAAACTAGTTTGATGCGCCCGGTGACGGTGCGGTGCGGCGGCGGTTACTTTTATTTTTATTTTGAACTTTCTAAACTTAATTGATTTGCCGACTGCCTCTTTCATTTGCATGAGTGGATCGAGGATCGAGGATCGGCTGGATATGAGACGACGACAGATCGCCGATCGGACCCCGAACCCGAGCACGTTTCGCGTCTCCGCTCTCGCGCGTCGTAGCACGTCTGCCTCTGCGTCTGCGTCAACGTCCGCGTCCTTCAGCTCTATATTCTCTCTCTGCGCATTTGACATCCATGCCCCGACTGCGCATTTGACATCCATGCCCCGACTTTTCAACCATTTATTGCACTTTTTATTTACGCGGTTGTTTTAGTCCTACCGCAATCACGTTCTTTTCCACTGCGATTCATGTATCTATCCATTTTTTTTATTCTTTCCTTTTCTTCTTCTCTTCTTCTTCTTCTTCTTCTTCTTCTCCTTCTTCTTCTTATATTCTCCATCCTTTTTTCTTCTTCTTCTCTTCTTCTTATTTTCTCCATCTTTTTTTCTTCCTCCTCTCTTCTTCTTATTTTCTCCATCCTTTTGTCTTCTTCTTCTCTTCTTCTTCTTTTTCCTCTTCTTTTTCATCTTCCTCTTCTTCTTCTTTGTTCTTCTCTTTCGTCTTCTTCTTCTTCTTTGTTCTTTGTTTCGTCTTCTTCTTCTTCTTCTTCTTTGTTCTTCTTTTTAGTCTTCTTTTTCATCTTCTTCTTCTTTTTTCTTCTTCTTTTTTGTCTTTTTCTTCTTTGTTCTTCTTTTTCGTCTTTTTCTTTTCCTCTTTTTATTATTTTCTTCTTTTCTTCTTTTCTTCTTCTTCTTCTCTTCTTCTTCTTTCTCCATCCTTTTTTCTTCTTCTTTTCCCTCTTCTTTTTCATCTTCTTATTTTGTCTCTTCTTTTTCATCTTCTTCTTCTTCTTTCCTCTTTTTCATCTTCTTCTTCTTTTCGTCTTCTTCTTCTTCTTTTCCTCTTTTGCTTTTTTTCTTCTTCTTCACTTCTTTACTTCTTCTTTTCTTCTTCTTCTTCTTTATTTCTCCTTCTTCTTTTCTTCTCCTTCTTCGTTTCTTCTTCTATTATTTTATTTTTCCTTTTCTTTTTCTTCTTCTTTTTCTTCTCCTCATCTACTATTATTTTCTTTTTTCCTTTTCATCCTCTTTTCTTCTCCTTTTCTTCTTTTCTTCTTCTTAATCCTCTTTTGACTTATAATTTCGACTGAGATTAAAAGTTTTCCGATCCAATTCTCACCACTTGGTGACCATTCGTAACTCATTTTCTTAGGTAATTTGTGACCGAAATTAAAATGTAGCTATACCTTTTAGTATCAAATTATGTCGTTATCCATCGTATTACCTTGAGTTTTTGGGTACATAATTCTCTCTTCTAATTCTTCTAAGTTTCAGAATTGTCCTGTGAATAGTTAGCAATATTGAGTGCAGTGGCGTAACCAGAAATTTTCATCGCGGGCGTCTGTCATTCCCAACATGGTTTCAACATGACCAAGTTGGTATTAAGTCGTTGTATGGTCAAGAATGACTCACCATACATTATATTTTTAAAAAATTAAAAAAAGTAAAAAGAGAATTATGAGAAACAGTAATCGAAAATTTTAGATCTAGACATATTATGCACGTGACAGATTGACAATGAAAACTTGATCTTTTGAGAAATAAGGATCTGTCCGACACAAATCGTCAGCAATCCACAAGGTGGTAATCGTTTTCAGGGATTGATGCGCACACGTAAATTAGTCTGTGAATCCAATAAGGATAAGCGTGTTACGTGAATAATCTCATCGGCCCGAATCATCCTACACAAAATGAATTCTCAAAGCCCCTGGCTCATCCTCGTCGTAACTTTACTACGTCGGACCACAGCAAGCGGCAAGAGCGAAAGACCGCCGACTGCGCGCATGAAACGTAACGACACCATACTATAATTCCTCTGAAAGGGCTTCGAAACAAATCTATCATGTCCCTCTTCGATCGATTAGATCTTTAAAGTTAAAACTTTTTTGTTCAGAATAAGTGCTATGAGTATTATTTAAAAAACACGAATACCATAAAATGGCCAAGAACCATAAGGGTTCAAAAGCACCCGTTCATCCTCAGTACAGATACTCGGAATGACACAATCTAAAAAAGGAATCTAAGGGTCGGAATTTCCGAATGATTCCTACAGGCAAACTTATGAGTATGAGTTCATTTCGTGTATTGGAAAAAAGAGAGAGGAAATAGTGGAAATGAAATAATTCTTAGCTATCAAGATTCACGGTAATGTAATAAAAGAAAGAGCAAGGGTAAAAAATATCATGCCAATAAATATGCCCAAAACTGCACTATTTTACCAACTTTCCGAAAAACAAATTTTATCTTTTAAAGTGCTCCTCAAAAATTTGAAATCTAAAAAGTCACAAAGTATACTATTTCTAAATATTTTAGTCAGTAAATATCTCCGTTATTTGTGAGATAATAATTTCCAGTCGGAAAAAAAATCTGAGCTTTTGATCGTCTCTTTTTAACTTTTCACGTTTCCAGCGGAAGTCGTCACCTTCCGGCAAAAGTATCACAAGTGACATGCGACGTTTCAAAACTTCCGCCGCCATTTTATTTTACTTTTTCAGAGAAATTGTTCAACGAAGCTGTCCGAAAATTTCTTTGAACTTGCTTTGCGCTGCCGATAAAATACAGTGAAATTTTCAAAGATATTCAACCAACAATTTCTCCTCTGTAAAAACATGAAAGGGCGGCGGAAATTTTTAAATGTCGCACGATGCTTGTGGTACTTTGGCCAAAAGGTTACGAATTATTTATCCTGTATTCCGAAGCCAGTAATGCAGCAAAAAAGAAGAAATAATAAACATTTGGGTTACAGTTGCAACTCTTTTCCCTCCTATGTCTGACATCGAAGGTGTGCAACATATTCAGGCTCAACGACATTTTCACTAAAATTTCGCTGGAGTCGCGCTGAGGTTGACGTAGCGTAGGTAGAGTAGAGCCGGCAAAACGCGTCCTTATTTGTCAAATTTTAGGCGCAAAAGAGTTAAGTGTTTTCATGAACGATTTCACTGCCTATGAACATTTTTTTTTTCTTTTTTCAAAAACTGAACGTTCCAAATTTTATTTTTTTATTTATTATTTTTTCAATTTCGTAATGGTCATCTTCTCGCGGTTAGATTTCGAGGAAAGGAAAAGGCACTTGTGAAATGTACATATATAAGCATTATTTATCTCAAAATATATTCTTGTCATTTTAGATGTTTGACCCCCGCCTTTTCTTTTACTCCCGCCTTTTAAGATCGGTAATGTACCTCTTCATCCAAATCTCATAAAAATATTTATAGATGATTACAAGAAGAAGAACGGCAAATTTTTTCTTCCAAAATAATTGTCATAAAACATTTTCAAACATTATAAGCTGATTTTCCGAAAGTCAAGGCAAGAGAAATTGGGTTTTCTCTCAAAACTGAATAGAAGTAGGTTTTTTTTTTTTTATTTTTCTCCTCCAACCAATTTTTAAGGATGTTGAAGGCCCTCTACTCTCGAAAGATACTGTAACCCTAGGGTAGAGATTTGACCTCAGATGTCGTGGAGATGGAGCGAGTCTATGAAAAAAGTCGAACATGATATGGAAACGTCAAAAGATCATATCTTTGTTAATACAAAACAGAAAAGTTAGAAAGTGGTTCCACTATCTCTCTGGTAAAATTTCTTTGAGCAGCACCCCTTAAAATTTACGATATAACGAAATAACCATAAAAATTCTTCAGTTTCATTCAAAAATATCATGTCCAACCCCTCCTAAAGGTTTGTTTCCTGGCGGTTATCCACCCCATGCTTTAGACTTTTAAACTTTCAAGGATTACGACCTAGTTGAAGCCACTCCCGGGAGACCCATTCGTTGGTTCCGTAAAAATAGTGTAAATAGTTATTCTGCCGTGCTAAGGAAAAACGCCGTATGAGAGTTCAGACGTTGCCAAATTTCCTATCGTAAAATACAAATTTATCGGGAAAATTATGAATTTTCTTCTTTCGATTTTCCGGCTCATTTTGTTTGCAATTTAATCTACAGCATCTGAAATTTTCAAGTAAAATGAGGGGCTTGGAAGATAAGGCGCATAAGTGCAGTTTTTGAAAAATTGAGTTTTTAATGGTTTCAAGTTCATCTTGTCTCGATGCACATTCTGTGAAAACTTCCCTCCCAAATTCCAATTATTTTACATTAAAAAGTCAGTTTGAACTTTCTTTTCGCCATAAGGATCCATGTGATTTTAAAACTTCAAACACGTATTTCGTAGAAAGCAAAAACCGCACTTATGCGCCTTGTCCTCCAAACCCCTCAAATAATTATAACTTTCCTCAAAAATACACGTTTTATCCAGGAAAATTTGGCGACTCTCAGATGTTCATACGTTATTTTTTCTTAGCACGAACTGGAAAAAAAAAACACATTGGATCTAGAGTCCAGACTCTTGAAAACATAATTGACAAGAAAAAATAAGCTTGATTCAATCGGATTTTTGCTTGAATCAAAACGAAATCCGCTTATATTAAGAGGGTTGGTTCTTGATTTAAGCTAGATTCTGATTGAATCAAGAGTTATTTTTCTTGTCGATGTTTTTAAGAGTCTGGACTCTAGATCCAATGTGTTTTTTTTTCCAGTGCGGCATTATTGGTAAACAATTAAACGATTGTACCTGTGATAGTGCAGCGTATTCCGGAAGATGCGTATCATTCCCAGGTAAGAGATCACTTTCAGAAAAAGGCTTGTGCGTTATGCAGTACACTCTGAAGAAACTAGCACTTAGAACCACTAAAGAACATTTGAACATCCACATCGTTGCGACTTTTCGGCGAGGGATGCGCTGGCGAGGGATCACAGAAACTACAGCTCGCGCACCGGGCACATTTTAAAAACAAGTTTTTCCGACCCCACTGGATCACCCTTAATCCATCATCGGCCCCCAATCCGGGAGAACTACCGATAAAGTCACGGAAAAATACGCGAAACGGTAAAAAAAAAACGGTGCGAAATCGGTAAAAAAAGCGGTGACGACCGGTTGCGGGTTGCGGCGACTAGGAGCGCGGCGATGCTGGGCGGTTTGCTGAACTGAATTGAACGCGTACACGTTCCGGCGGAGATGTTCTCTCTTAGTAGTGAAAGCAGTCCACTGCAACTTGCTACATACTCTAATGTCTCTGCCGCCACCTCAGCCTCCGCAACTCGGATCGATCTTTCCTCCTCCTCCTCCCCCTCCTCGTCTGGCGACCCCTATCTAGAACACGTCCTTCACCCTCCGTATTTGGTCATTTCAAAAATGTAAAGTGCGAAGTCGGTCTAAATTTACGCAGTGAAAATACAAATTTAATGCCAGAGTATTCCAGAAGTTAAGAATAAAATCGTTAAAAATTTGAAAACTCAATATTTCCTTACTTAATTATTGAGAGTCGCACTATCGCCGCTCCAGAGGGAGGGCACCGGACCCTCCGAAACGTCTTCCGGACAAATTAATAAGTAAGAAAAGATTGAGTTTTTAAATTTTTTAGCGATTTTATTCTTAATTTGAGTGTACTTTCCTTGCTTTTTAGCCTTATTTTCATTCTTATTATTTCAAAAATATTTGAAAGGAATATTTTAAATGAAATAAAACGAAAATTAATAAAAAATAAATGAAAAAATAGTCGCACTATGAGTAGCTTGAAAATTTAAGGTGCCATTTGTTCTGCACTTTTTGTGCGGGAAGTCAAAACGCTTTCAATTTTCGCATATGCAATACGGACATTCATCGAGCACGAATAGTTGCATAAAGGCGTCGATATCGACGCGTATTCATGATCAGAGTCAAAGAGAGCTGCTGTTTGTGTGCAGTAAATCAAAACGCCTTCAGATTTTTGTGTATGCAATATGGACATCCATCGAGTGCGAATAGTTGTATCAAGGCGCTGACATCGACACGTCCTCGTGTCTATTGCAAATCGCATTCGATCGAGTTTAAGAGAAAGCACAGAATTGCGTTTCAGGAAAACTGAGTTGCAAGTAATTTTGAATTTTCTCATGTCGAATATTCAAAGCCGAGAAAAATTTTTTATCGTGAAACTAGACATTTAAATTTTTCCTGGACATTGAGTCTTGTAGAGGAATAAAACTTAAAGCCTCTTTTTTCGGTTCAAACTTGATGCAAGCTGGTGTGGTCTTAATAGTCGGATTAATAATCTTAATCTCGGTCCATTGTTGTTCTTAGAATTTCTTAATGGCAATATTTTAGCCATCTTCCGTAGAATTTTATTTAAGATTGCGCACAAGAACAATTCATGGACGTATCGTTAAGAGGTAAAAAACTGGGAAAAGAAGAAAAAAAAAAAAAAAAAACTAGTTTGAACTGGTAGTTCGGCATTCCATATAATGCCAACTATTTGATTTACCAAGCCAGACTTTCGGTTCACGTAACCCCCAAATTTCGGCTCATATGCATGTCCGAACTTCGTTCGTAAGTATCTTTTGCCGCCTAAGTTCGCTTTGGCAAACCGAATAGTTGCGAAATTATGGAATACCGAAGTATGATCGAACTTTTTATTTCAGTGATGTCCTTCCTCGACTTCAACAATTGAAAAGTTAGATCCGTTGATAATCCGCTAGCAATAAATGGGATGGTGTACTTTCAGTTATCGCAAATTATTTTCTTCTTGGTGATCAGTATCATAATGAGAGTGGTATTTGGCCGGATATTGAATAGTTTTAGTGGCAACATACCTACTTGAAGAAAAAAGAGGGTGCATAGAGTGTCAACATTTTTCTGAGACCGATTTTCTTGCTTGATTCCCATGAATTACTCTTATGAGCAATCTTAATTAAAATTGTCTTGAAAATGACTAGGATATCATCCTTAAAAATTTTAGCGACATCAAGGAACCCATTTTCAGGTGAACGCACCAGGATGTACCAAGTTTGAACCGAGAAAAAATACTCTATGAAATTCAATGTTAAGGATAAAGTTTAACGAACATTTCCACGTTCAAAAATATTTTTGTTGGCATTGAAGTTTTGATAGGAGAAAATTTATGAAAACTCAAAATTTGTCTCTAAAATGCAACTTGGTGCGTTTCTCTTAAACTCAGTCCAGTCAGTAGTTGGTCCAAATCAATCTGCAACGCAGACGGAGACGTGTCGATGCCAAGTCAGCCCCTTGATACAACTATTATTCGTACTCGATGGATGTCCATATTGCATAAGCAAAAAGTTGAAGGCGTTTTGACACACCTATTAGTTCCACATCGAAGGTTCTACTCATACGATTGAACTTTTTTTTCCAAATATACGGCACCTCCTTTTTTGAGGTGCAGGAAATAAAATTAATCGTACGATTTTTTCTTTTTTCCTTTCAATTAATAATTAAATAAAGGTCAAGTCGCTTGAAAAACAAGTGCACCCATAGTAATCTTTTCATTGGCAACTAGGTTTGATTAAGCATTCCTAATGTAAGATGAAGATCTGAGAACCCATAGTTTGGAGTGCATTATTTTATACATTCTTTTTTTTTTCGTTTAATATTTTTTCCAAAAGTTGAATCTTGCTGGGAGTATCTAATTAAAATTTGAATTTGAATAGGCGTTTGGACTTTCAAGAATAGATCGCAGTCACAAATTACCACATAGCAGAATATTTCTGGCAAAAGAGGTCTTGAATCATAGGGTTAGATGCGTAATAGTTGAACAAACCGCTCGGAGGTAGTAGACTTTATGCAAACTTTTAGCGACTGATCGTTAAGTCGCTTTCATGCGCATGGCGTCCCACTTGCCGCATGCTGGGTAAATTACGCGTTTTAACTAATCGCGAAATTTTAAACCCGCAGCACTGAAGAATCTAAATGATACACTGAATATAATAAAATACAATAAATTTTAAATGAACTGCTCAATTGTCTTTTTTCATGAGCAAGTTTTCTTTAATTATATGGCAGGGGTCGGGACTCAGGTTTTCGCTTAAATTGTTGTTAATCCATGATACCTCTTGGACACGAAGGGTATCACATAATAATAGAGGAGAAAAGGAAGAATCAACGATAAAGGCAATAATTAATGCAATAGATCTGAAAGATTACTTAAATTTTTTTAGCAGCTTCATGCAGCAATGAAACTGGCAAACACGGCGAGGTAAAGTGGACTGAAGTACTATACTCTCTTGTTGTGCGTCCGCATAGCGCCTTCAATCCGCTCGAATACGATTTTCGTTTGATACTGGTAGATATCAGTCTGATGTGCAGGCATTAACAGGCAAAAGTGAAAATGAAAATTATAAAGAGCTTCATTCCCCGTGTCCATGCAAACTTTGATGTCTCTTTGTTCGCTATTCAACGAAAAGATAAGAAGCGCAATTTTCTTTTTCTCTCAACCAATCTTGATCTCTTCTTCTCCTTTTTCTGAACTACTTAAACACTTTAAAATATTTTGACTGGCGAAGTGTTTAATTGAAAGATAGCCTGTCTTTCAGTTTAAATTTTATTGTTTATTCTTTCATTTTTCTACCTAGAATTTGAGCTTTCCCCTGGTAAAAATGATCAGTTGAGATGTTATCAGTTGACCGTCAACCGTGTTTTGGTGCGAAAGAATCAGTTGACATCAGTTGACATCAGTAGGTATCTGATCAGTTGATGTCAGTAGAAATTGTCAGTTGACGTCAGTTGACATCAGTAGATATCTGATCAGTTGATCAATTTAAAAATAATCAATGTTCTGAAAATATTGCATCTAGAGAGCGCGCACTCTAGGTGATGTATTTGGTACTAACGTTCCTTCGATGGTGCACATGTGTCATTTCAAATTGATCGATCGTAGAGTTGTGACTAACCTTAAAATCCGCGTCGCCCTAGTCGGGAATAGAACCCACGCCTCGGGATGAAGTTGCAATCCGTAGTCCAGTAACTTACCGCTAGACCAGCCAGGCTTGATACGGGAGGGCCCCGAAATTCAATCTCTTAACTATCGCAGGCCTCTGAGTCCGTAATATGTTTGTTTATTGACAGATTCTTTTAATATTTTACCATAATTTATTACTTATTATTTTTTATTTCATCGCGTAATTTATGTTTCAAATTCTTTATTAATTGACCTCAAGATATTCATATTCATGTATTTCAAATTTTCATTTTCATTTATTTATTTTTTTTATTTTTAACTCTCTTTCATTTTTTTTAACTCTCTCGTTTTTTTGACTCTCTCATTTTTTTTTATTTTTTTTTTAAACCAAATTCCTGTTTTTTTATAATTGCGTCTTTTTCCAGTTTTAATTATTCGGACCTTTTTCTAGTTTGAATTTATGTCGATGCATTTATGTTATTATTATTATGTTCTCGTATCTCAATTCACAGCTCGAGGCCGGTAGATATTTAGTCCTCCCCCGGCAATTCAATGCAAAGGAGAGTCCTTAAATTTAAAATTGAAGTAAAAATTTAAAATTGGGATTAAAACTTTAAAATTGGAGTAAAAAATTTAAAATTGGGATTAAAACTTTAACATTGGAGTAAAAAAAACTTAAAATTGAGGTTAAAACTTTAAAATTGAAGTTAAAAATTTAAAATTGGAGTAGAAATTTAAAATTGAAGTTTAAAATGCAGGTTAATTTTTCGGTTGGTGGTAACTATCCATCACCCAGAACTCCGCCTTACAATCCTGCAGCTCCCTAGCAAAACTGCTTTCTGTAATTGTTGAAACAGCTTCTCTCTAAGGTTGATCTTCCTAAGACTATCAAACAACTTCACAGGAATCTCCCCCGTTGCTCCAATAATAATTGGCACAGTTATTACTTTGTCCAATTTCCAGAGGCACTTGATTTCGTCCGCCAAAGGCATGTACTTACTTATCTTCTCAGCGTAAGTGCTCTGGATATTAACTATCATATTATTGGATTATCATATTATGGATATATTATTATTATTATTATTATTATTATTATTATTATTATTATTTTGTGATTTTTCTTTTTTCCCCTTTCTTTTTTCTTTTATTATCAGTTGAATTTAATTTTATGTCTGATCCGGCAGATTAATTTGGGCATCACAATTTGCCGGGCAGATTAATATTGTTCTTTATTTTATGTTTTACTTTTTGAATAAAATATCTTATCTTATCAGTAAAGAACATACGTACCAAAACAGCTCCTAGAGCGCGCGCATATTCTATAATATTTTATTAATAATTTTAAAATTATATTTTGTAGTATTTTTACAACTAAAAATGTAAATATTTAGTAATTGCTTTAAAATTATTTTTCAAAAACATTTTCATTTAAATATTGCAAAAATATTTTAAAAATAATTAATTTTGATATTTTAAAAATTTGATTGAAAAGATATTGTAAAACTATTTTTACAGTATTTTCGTGGAATTATTTTCTTGAAAATATTTTCCAAACAACGGCAGTATTTCTAAAATATTTTCAAAATATTTTGTTCTAACTGGGGTATCTCCAATATTAATTCAAAAATTCTAATTGACAGAGTCATTTTCTGCGGTAAAATTTGCAATCACCTTAAGTACAATGTTGGTTCAGTTTCTCTTTTTTTTTGCCATCCTTTATCAAATTAATTTTAAAGTGGGGCTCCTTTACATACAAATGTGAAGAACCTGCGATTCAACCTAACATTGACATTCATTACCATTTTTTGTACCATATCTCTTGCAATTTTTTTCCAACGAATTGAGTTTAGCCCCTTCAAAAAGGAGGATAGGCAATTTGCACTTAGCCATTCATCTATACGGAAACTTTATTAAAAAAAAAAAAAAAAAAAAAAAAAGTTTCTCATTTTTAAGAGATTTCAAAATGGAGACCACTGGTTTCCGCTGCAGGGCCCATTACGTCCACAAATTACGCAAGGCAGTGGGGGAGGGTGTCAAGGGCTGCCTTAGGGGTATTGTTGAAGTAAGGTGGCCGAGGGGCAGAAAATTCCTTTCGAGAGGGAGGGGGTCTTAAAACTGGAAAAAGTGCCTTACGTAATTTATAGGACGGCCCCATAGCAGAAAATAGCAAATTTAAAAGGCATAATCCAGCTGTACTCTGATTGGATGCTTGAATCTAAACCTATTCCCGCAACTGATGCCGAATGGATCCACTTCTGAAACAGTTATTCGATTTCAACCGACACGAGTCTGGCCTCAACTGACATAACTTGGATCTCAACCGACACGAGTCCCGCCTTATGTACCACATGTTGGATCTCAACCGACACGAGTCCGGCCTCAACTGGTACAAGTCGGATGTCAACTGACTCTAGTCCAGCCTCAACTGGTACCAGTTGGATGTCAACTGACTCGAGTCCAGCCTTAACTGGTACCAGTTGGATCTCAACTGACTCGAGTCCGGGCTCAGTTCAGCATCTACTGGTATCAGTTGAAGTTCAACTGATATCAGTAGAAGCTCTACTGATATCAGTTGAAATCAACTGATATCGGTTGATGCTCAAATGATATCAACCGATATCAGTTCAAATTTTAACTGATCATTTTTACCAGGGTCATTTATTAGATAGCACCGGCACGATACAGTTTCTATATATAAAGTCGCTCCTACAACGCACTCTGGCATTCTGCGACACCCAAACGCCACATATGCCTATCCTCCCAGAGGTTATCGGGCAACTGGCACCGCAACATGTCGACGTTAACGAAGAGACGATACAGTTTAAATTTTTAAGTATATCAAAGAATTTTCGTAATGCGGAGGGGCGAAGGTTAAAGGGCGAGGTTGTAAAACCTTGTTTCGGCGTGAATTTTTTGTGTGATTTTAAGAAAATCCATTGAGATTTTTTCCAGAAAACAAGCACCTTTTCATGAATGAAATAATACGTTATAGGATTCGCACCGTTGCAATTAAGATACTCTGGTTCTCATCCCTTCATATGAGAGGGCAAGAATGGTTACAAAGCTGTGATTGCCATCTAATTTTTTTTAACTTCTGACTCGCATTAAGCGTAAATAACGTTAATCACGTTTATGCTCAATGTTTTATTCAGGTATCTATTTTGATATTTGTGACGGAGTCCAGGGCCGCCTATATTTTGCCGCCCCTTCTCATTTGTTTTGAAGCTCGATAAAAACCATCAAATGAACGTGCCAGCGGGGGAGAGGTTCATAAGACGCATTTACTCAGGTTGAACACATTTTTTGGGAAAGCCCTGTCAACACTACTTGCAAAAGTTCACGAAACTTAACGCGAAAGTTAAGTTCCGTAAACCTATCTCTGTGTGGACAAGGCCTTCCATTCATAAGAAATGAACGAAAAAATTATGAAAGAACAAACATAAATGTGGTTCAATGATTTTACCTTCCGCCACCGCGCCGCGCAGACCGCACCGTGTTGGACGCAATGCGTGAGTATTCACGCAGTCTTGTAGGCGCTATGCGTTTCTCGCTGACCGCACTGTGTTTGGCGCAATGCGTGAAGTATTCATGCATTCTTGTAGGCGCTATCCGTTTCACACTGGACTGCGGTGACCGCACTGTGTTTGATACAATGCGAGAAGTATTATAGTGCAGTCTTTTAGGTGTTAATATGTGTTACATGCCGACCGCCGCGCCGAGGGCTTCTCCTTTTCATCTCAAGTCCTCGTTGTCGTTTCTCTCTAAGTCGCGCCGTTTTAGGCCAAATTGCGTGTTTGGTTTCTCTCGTAACTCGACTTATTGAGGGTGCTGTCTCTTATATCACTAACAATAAGAGACGACAAAATTAGAAATTACTATACTCTCAGGAAATGAGAGATTTTGTTGCCTTTTCTCGTTTGTAATTTTGTTTTTATAAATCCGATTTTTTTTTATACCTATACTTTAAAAAATTGCAAATTTTTGCCGCCCCTTAGATTTGCCGCCATGGGCCGCGGCCCATGTGGCCACCCCCTTAGTCCGGCCCTGACGGAGTCAGGGTTTTGCTTTCACATAGGAACTTTTAACCATTCAGCACAACGAAAGACTTAATTTAGGGTCAAAAGTGTAAATTTACAAGTTTCGATGCCGTTATGTATGTACGACAATTATTGGACCACGTTAAGCAGAGAGGAACAAAAAAAAAAACTAAAAATGGAAATAAAATGCTGGTGTCTTTCTTGGCAGAGTATGGACGTGTCATTTGTATAGCATTATGCAAGAAAAAGGTGGAGTAACTAGACTGGGAGAGTATGGTTACTAGAAGAACAATTTTACCGCGTTTAACAGAAAGGAACCATAAGCCACATCAGAAATTGCCGAATTTAATTAGGCGATTTAATTTTTTACATGAAAACAATTGTGCGGATTTTTGTGCAAACAGTGAATTTTCTGCATGGCGCGAAGCAAATTCCTCAAACTTTTCAAGGGAATTCGCACAGAAGTTCTCTTGTAAAGAAGTGAATTGCCCAGTTTTTGGCAATAGCTGATGTGGCTTGATTCATGTCTGCTAAACGCGGTCCAGTTGTTTAACCTTACTTTAAAGTCCCTCAACAGTCAACATTGATAGGGATGGTGCAAAATTAAACCCTTAGCCGTGGTAGGTATATTTATTAATTATCTTGTTCCTCTCCTCAAGACAGCTTAAGTTGTCCAACTCCGTCACGAATCATTCACGTATTTTTATCCCTCTTATTTTATTTTGATAACGATGGAGGTAGCTGAGCATGTCGTTATCACATCCACCACCCCGCGGCTAAATTTCTAGAAATCATCGAAGCCGACCAAACTTGATGTCCATCGGGTGGTGTGAAAATAGGCAACCGATCATGGCCGCGGCAATAATAATTGGTTTCGAGCTACTTTTTCTCGATGCGTAACACTACACAACACAACACAGCTCGACTCGACGAATTTTTATTTTCTGTTTACCACTGACAACGAGCGTGAACTTTGTATTCAGATTGTGTGGAGATTAACTCGTTGTCATATGTTATCGGCCTTGTTTCAAGTGTCTTGTCGTCAGCGTCTGCCTTTTGTAGTTCCCTCGACTTTCTGCGGGATCGTTGTGTGGTTCTTGGGCCGAACTTTCATCAAAATCAAGTTCCCGTAAATTATACGCGTCCCATTTTTCAAAACAAACTAATATTGAATGCGTTGACCGAGAGCTCGACAAGATTGGAACCATAGAACATTTCTTCAAAAACCTTACTTTGAACTTTTTATATTATGTTTTGACGTATAACTTTAAAACATTTTTCGGTGATATAGACATTTTTGTTTTCAACGTAAAATGGTGCGGTGGTAGTTTAACGTAAATTGGTAATTTCATTCATTTGACGACGTTACGAAATGCACTCGCGTGATCTGTGATCGATGGTATTGAGCGTCTTATCTTGCTTCTTAGAATATAGACGCGTTATCAATGTTTTTATTTTTCTTTCGCATCAAAATCCACACGAAAATAACCTCAGTACAATGTTTACCGTTCAATTAGCTCAGTGCGATTTTGTGAAGTTGACCGCGCTTTTCGGCTACTCCATCGTCATTTGCGTAGGAGCGTAACTTGGTGTTGCGTATAAATCTGATTTAGTGAAATAAACATTTGCTTTTCAAGTTTCTGGGAAAATCTTTGGTGCAAGTAGTGGAAAATGCCGTCCTTGTCCCGCGAATCGCCCGAAATGGGCAGCATAGCGTACTATCACACTGCATATGCTTACGACTCTTTCAATGGATTACAAAGTGAGTTTTGACCGTTTATTTCCTATTAATTGGACCGAGTTTAACAGAAAGGAACCAAGCCACATCAGCTATTGCCAAATTTAACTGGGCAATTAAATTTTTTACGAGAGAGCGTTTGTACGGATTCCTTAGAAACTTTAAAGGAATTTGCTTCAAACTATGGAGATTTTTCACTGAAATTTGCACGAAAATCTGCAGAACCGTTTTCATGTAAAAAATTAAATTGCCCATTTAAATTTGGCAATGGCTGATGTGGCTTGGTTCCTTTCTATTTAACGCGGTCCAATTCACTATTATATTGAGTAATGAGACCTAGTTAGAGGGGAAATTCATGCCAGACACTTACTAGACAATAGGTATACCCGTGCGAACTTTTTTATTAGTTCTATGGTTTTCTTGAAGTTTGTTTCAAGTTTTTAATCCTGTTTAGATATTACGCCCTCAAATGAACAATTTTTAAAAAAGGGAGGTCATTGAAAGTTCTAAATTGGATTAAGGGATTGTTCCTGAACGATTTCCTATTTTAGAGGCACAATAAGAATGACTTAATCTAACTGAACATACGTAAGTTAGTACATAGACAAAAAAACTGTGCCATGAAACAGGGAATCTTGTTTCAACTTGGAAAACATTTATTTATCGACACTCTCGGACCATTCATCTGAAAATGAGACTTTGCAATTCTTCTCTTTTCTCGTAATTTTTTATAGAGAAACAACTCGTTCTCATTTTTTTTTTATATATTTTTCTTTATCTGCAAAAAATTTCAAGTCATAGTATTTGATAATTGTTCTTTCATTTAAAATAAGTAAACCATGAGCGTAGACTTTGAAACCACGTACTTGACATCCATGCAGCCATCGATATTTCAATTCAACGCGTTGCAGACTTCTCGCGATAGTTTAGTTTTATAGGTGTTTTTTGTTTTAAAACCTCTGTGACCATTCATTCAAATTTTAAGAATATTCTTTAAACCATTTCAAGGAATGAGGTTGACTCAATCCTCTTAAAAAAAAAAAAAAAAATTGGTAGAGATTTTGAAACACCGCAGTAGTTTCCGAGGTCATCATATATATTTAGTTTCTTACCCTAATGTGGAGTCAATTATTTCTTTTGTCCTGACGTAAGGAAAAATTAAAAAATTGAAGGCAAAACTTGCAGATTATGTGGTATAGTGAAGTAGGCATCGCTCCTTTAATCATAGGGTACTCAAAGAAAGGATATGGTCAAGGAGCGACTATGAATGCAGCCTTAAAGCAAAAACTACTGGATTCTCTCAAAATGCCTTCATTTCGTTGGGTATGCAATATGATCCCATGAAAGTTAAAATAGTTGCTTATGGTCAATGCAGACTAGGCGCGGCGGGAGATACCCTTATTCGGACGTAATTTTACAATATGAAAAAAAAGGTATAAGAAGAAATCGTGAAATCTAAAGATGAAACATGGTTGAAACCTCAAAACGATAATAGGTGTTGAACGTCTCTGAATTTAGTCTCTTCCGTTAGAAAATGGATCTCCTCCTTGTCAGGCTCATAAATGCAGGCTTAAACACGGCTTCTAATAGATTCGTCGCATCGTGTAAAATCAAAGCAGCAGCATATTGAATTTGAAACGAAAACTTTTGCCCTTCATCGGAATTTACCATAAAGCATGTTGAAAATACTCGGAAAATCATAACCTCCGAACGAAAATTCTTGAAAAAGTAGCTACCAATTTTTTGGTGAAAAATAAATCAAAACTTTTATTCTACAATCCATCAACAATCCATCCGCCCCTCCCATGCCCGTGCACGTTTCAGCACCCCGCACCCCCCCCCTCCTCCCTCGGAGGGGGGCAGAAGTTTTATATTTTTTTTCTTTTGGCTCAATGGTCCTATTACCGAACAAATTTTGCGAATCTGCACTTTCTGCGTCATGCAATGGACATCAGATGATATCAAATGGACGTATTTCTACCAAACGGAACTATATGCATTGAGACATGATCCTTGGGACCAGTGTTCAAAACTCATCTTTGAGTTTCAGTATAGCCATGCATGTGGCCCATCAAGCTCGATTTTTAGGGGCCATTGAATATTTTTTAGGGGCCAAATTGACACTTAGCCTATATATCATGGCGCATTTAGTGAAAAGTTAGACAAAAGAAGTTTTAGTTACAAAACTAGCAGCTGTGAATTGTAACTTTCGAAAAATCACTGGATGGAAAAATTAGGATTTTGTTTTGGAGACGGTGATGGGGGAGGCAATTTTTAGGGCCAAGTTGGCACAGAACCTTCATTTTTTAGGTGCCATGACCTGTCTCTTAGGCGCAATTGGCGCGTTGGCGCCTGTGAGTTTCGAACACTGCTTGAGACCCATAAGAATACATGCATAACAGGGCTCACGTCATCGATGTCAAACTGATACCTATGCTTTTACCAGAAGTTCAATCAAGGTAAAAGAGTGAGACGTGTATGCCCGATTCAATGACCGCACTCATTGTATCGATCGGCTGAGAATAAAAATAAACGACGAGGGTATTATGAAACTGAAGATTAAACTTATTGCTGACATTGGATAATATATATTCCACAGATAGACGGATGGAATCAAGCTGAATCAATCTATCTAAAGTTGTGGCCACTTCAAGCTCACCGTGTAGTATGACATAGATGTAACGAGAGTGGGTAAACATTGAGTAATTGCGAGGAGGTAGCTGCCGACCGGGAGAGTTCTTCACCTTCCGGCCGAAGTATCACAAGCGCCATGCGACGTTTCAAAATTTCCGGCGCCACCTTATTTTTTACAGAGAAATTGCTCAACGAAGCTGTCCGAAAATGTCTTTGAATTTCCTTCGAGCTGCCGATAGAATTCGGTGAAATTTTCAAACAGGTTCAACCAACAATTTCTCTGTAAAAAAATGGGGTGGCAGCGAAAATTTTTAAACGTCACATGGCGCTTGTGATACTTTGACAAGAAGGTGACTAGTTATCGATACTTCTTAATTGCGAATGTATTCAACAATTTCGCATGCTGAGACATTTCTATTGAAATTTATCACCGTCAATTTTTCCTTCTTTTCATGAAGACTTGATTTTAGAGAAGCGTGTGCAGAAAACATAGACAGAATAAATACTCTTGAAGAAAACACCAGCGATAACCTCTCGGGTTTCCCCTTCAATCCTAAGTTGGGCAACATACACAACACTCCGATGTGGAAGCAAATTTTTAAGTCCACGCGCAAGGCCGGATTTCCCTACTTGCCGCCCATGGGCCGCCTGTATTTTTCCGCCCCCTTCTCATTCGTTTTGAAACATCAATAAAAACCATCAAGTGAACGTGCAGGAGGGGGAGGGGTGCATAAAACGCGTTTATCTACTCGTGTTGAACACATTTTTTGCGAAAGCCCTGTCAACACTACTAGCAAAATTTCACGGAACTTTGCTTCTCCATTTATAATAAATGAACCAAAAAATTATGAAAGAACAAACATAAATGTGGTATGATAATTTTGACCTCCGCCGCTGCGCCGCGCTGATCGTACTGTGTTTTGCGCGATGCGTGAAGTATTTCTACAGTCTTGTAGGCGCTACGCGTTTCACGCCCACCGCTCCTGACCGCACTGTGTTTGGCGCAATGGGTGAAGTATTCATGTAGTCTTGCAGGCGCTAATAGGTGTTACATGCCGACCGCCGCGCCGAGGGCTTGTCCTTTGCATCTCAAGTTCTCGTCATCATTCCTCTCTGCGCTAAGCTCCAGGCCAAATTGCGTGTTTAGTTCCTCTCTTAACTCGACTAATTAAAGATGCTGTCTCTTGCTTGTCTCTCTTGCTTGATGTTGAAAAACGACAAAATTAGAAATTACTGTACTCTCAGGAAAGAGAAATGTCCCCTTTTCTCATTGATAATTTTTTTCCTGAATCCGATTTTTTTTATACCCATTCAAAAAAATCGCAAAATTTGCCGCCCCCTAAATTTGCCGCCATGGGCTACGGCCTGCCCATGCGGCCGCCCCCTTAATCCGGCCCTGTATAAGTACGCTTATAAGTTTACCCACTCTTGGACTGCGACAAAAGATCATCCGACATCATTTCCGCATTTAATTCAAGAAGCAGATGGCGGATCTTCTCTTGCAGTGTTGGTTGGCGCGGACTCTACCCAACCACAATTGAGGAGCTTAGAGGACAAGTCGCATAAGTGCAGTTTTCGAAAAAATTAACACATCAGTGAATCCGCAACTAAATCTAAGTTTGAAGTAAAGTCTATGAAAAATTCACCGGTAAAATCCAATGTTTAAGCATCAAAGTGTGAGTTTGAACTCTCTTTCCGCCATGTGGCTTCATATAATTTAGAAACTCCAAACACGTTAGTCTCGAAATGGCAAAAACTGCACTTTTGCGCCATGTCCTCCGAGCCCCTTAATTTATTTCAGTCTCTGCTACATGTGTAGTTAAGGCTAAATGGTTTGGGGATTCGCCTCTGGAAAATATCGAAATTTGTGAAATCTGTTACAGGATTTGATCAGTGGCGTGGTGTGCTTTGCGATATATCGATTGATACGCCACTCAGACCTATGAAAAAAGATCGATTATCGGTGTGTTCGTAGCGAACACCTTAGTAATCGATTCTTTACTATAGCTGCAAATGGCGAGATATCGATAATCGATCATTCACGCCACGCCACCGCGCCGATCACCGCCGATCACTTATGTAAAATTAGAAAACGTATCGATTAAAGCTCGCTCTGAACTGACGTAAGCTGTTTAAATGAGATAAACAATGATTCAATAATCCTGAGGGCGACCTCACTTTAGTAGAACGAAGATGCCGGAAGGAACATTGAATTGAAAGGGAAAATAAAATAATAGAATGAGACGGACCTGTGTTTCGAGAGGGTGACAAGTAAAATACGGAAAAGAGGAATCAAAGTGGATAAGATGAAGAAAACAAATTGAATGCGAGACCCAAACAGAGGTCAAGAAGCGATGCTAGGTAGTGGAGGTCGCGTGTAGTCTGTAGTGCGTTTGGCCTGCCTTAGCGTTGCACGGCGCTCAACCCTAATTCCCGTGCTCATGATGCCATTATGATTCTTTCCATCATTCCTTAAAGTATTGTATTTCGTTTCCGCTTTTTAATTCACCAGACAAATATTTTATTGTGTCAGGTATCGTAAATAACATCTAAATATACAATTATTATTTCGGATGAATGAGTAAGAATCCTAAACAAACGACTGAACCGATTAATCATTTTACGATGCAGTGATACGAAATAAATATGTAACGAAAAAGTGACGATTTTTCAACTTTAAAATCTGAAAACTTTTATTGTTACTTCGCACCCTGAGTTGCTTTTAGCACAAGTTACGAAAATCACGAAGTACCCTTCAAAGTTTGTTTGTTGCTAACGAAAGTTTGAAAGTAAAAACATGAAGTTTGAGATGATTCACATTGGCCTGTTTCATTTCATTGGAACATTTTCGTATTTTTCCATCGGAAGACGAAACATTTGGGAAGTCAGCTTGCCTTTGAATCGCGTTTGCGAATCAAATAGTTGAATCTTTTGAGGAAATTCTTTTAGTATTCGTAGGATCCTGAACAATCCTGAAAAGATTATTATTGAAATCCAAGCCACCCCTCCAGATTTCCTATTCTGAATAATTATTATGAGTATCAATAATTATGAGTATGATAATTCATCCTAATTCCTACTCAATTCATATAAAGTATTCTGATCTACTAGAATATACAGTATGAAACGACATCAGTAGTATCTACCTACCTATATGAGTACATATTTCGTTTTCTGACAACTCATCATTGATGAAAGTTTCACGAAGGAAAAGCACGAATTGACTGTCAAATTTAAATAGCGATAATCTCAACGACTAAATTTTTAGACATTTTATCTGGACCCGCCTTCACCACTCGAAAATCAACAATTAATAAAACGTAAATTGAATATAACAATATTCAAATTATTTTTCTGTCATCATCCGTGGAGCATATACTTTGAATTTCTTCCTACGGCTGATGCTTGCAGTGCGGTGCTCTTTGCCTTTTCGCGTCGACGGCTGGTAAAAGTAAGGTGCGCAAATTCAAAAGAGTGCCAAAACGGACGTACCAACATTTGAAAAATTGGCAACTCCTGGACTCACATTGTGCAAGTTCAAAGTCTTATCTAATCAATAATTCTTCGATGTCATCGCTTTTTCAGTGCATGGCAGACGATCATATAAAAAATGCTTCACATATTTAATCCAATTTTCCGATATGAATGCTTATTGTGAAAGAAGTAAACATTCATCTCATCCGCGCACCACTTGCGATTGTAAGACTCTAGCGTCTTGACAACCCTGTTCTTTCTTATCAGTATCAGTTATTTATTTTTAATTACCTTGGTCAGCAACTTTGTATTCTTTAGTTCCAAATTTTCTCTTTCGTCGCAACAGTTATGATTTTATTATTCACCGCCGTTGTAACCGCATGTTTTCGAATTCATTTCTGTCGTATTCACTTCAACTGATCACGCGTTTTGTCTAATTTTAGTTTCATTTTGTTCGATCCCACATTTTGAGGTTATGTAAGTTCATATTTTCCCCATTCACTTTTTATTGTACATCGCTTGTGTGCTTAATTTTTTATTGCTTCATTGTGCGTAAGTATGCTCATGGCAAATTGGCTCAATATCAGACATCCATTATCATACAATTCTCAGTTGCAAACAACTCACACTGTTGTGATCCTTGAGACTCGGTGATGTGATGCTGAGAGCGAGACGATATATTGCTGTGCTGATATGAAGCTCCTCTTTTTTAAGGCTCCTGTTTTTTTTTCTGAGCCTTTATGAATCAGACCCTCAAATGAGATATGTCACGACTAAATTTAAGTAAGAGCTGCAACAAACATTAGGGAAAGATGGAATTGTCGCCTCCAAATTCCAACACCATTCAAAATCTCTTCGACTCATAAACATCACATTAAACCTGTTTAAGTTAGCTTATGTTCCTTGTCATAACTCCATTCTTAATCATACCGGAAGTCAAACTAAAAGTTCATTGAATTGGATACTAGAATTAAGACACCGATAATCTTTTTTCCTCACTTCTTAATGACTGAATTTTTTGAATGGAAGTTTAACTCAAATGCACTGAAAGCAATCAGAAGGAGAAATTCTAATGTTAATTCAACAAGATTTCACAATACTGTTGATTTGAACTCACCAAAATTTCTGACTAAATGGATTTCACACAACCATGAACATCCATCTCTCTCAATTCCAGTAAAGTGCATCTACGAAGGATATAGACAAAGAGGTAGAGTGTATTTTTGTTGATCATCGCATCATATTCAAATGCAGGAAGGGCCAACTTCAAGTTTTATGGCTGGAGCAGATCACGTACGCTGACTCAGGCTTCTTACCTTTTTCTGAAATCTAAAGCGTCAGGGATTCCATTCAGAAAATACGTAATGATAAGGGGCGAAGGGGATAAAAAAATATAAAATTTAATGTTCCATATTTCATGAACGGCCCCTGGTCAGTTAAGTGTTTGTTTTTCAAATTTGCATGCTGCAATAAGGACGTAGAGCATCCTCTCCAGTATCTATACATTAAGGATTACTCAAAGAATCTGTTATCAAGGCAAGATAGTGTGCCTCTCCTATCATCTAAGGGGTTTGGCATAGATCAACTAAAACCTACTGTTTTGCATGACTCAGGACCATCATCAGCTGTGTACTGAAGCACCAGAGGATTAGAATATCGCGACATTTTATACATCAATTCAAGCTCAACTACATTTGACTATTTTGAACAATTTAACACGGCTCTAATGAGGAACAAGTGTGTCTAAGCATATCAAAACTTTGGAATAGAAACATTCATGCCAAGCCGTTTATTAAACTTATTAATCTTAATCCTATAATGTCAGTCTCGAGTTTCTGAGGGCATTCAATTCTCTACTCTAGGATGTTGTAATATGCTTGTCTTTGAAGATAAAGTAATATCACAGGTTGAAACTAATGCTTCCGCACTTGTTTATTTTCTTTCGATGACAGACATATTGTCAAACTATTTTTTAATGAGGCTTTTTTTTCAAGACTTGGGTCTATAGCCAGATGTTGTGTTCATAAGCTGGGTATGAATGTCCCTTCTTTCAAGAAATGCAGGCTCTGGTAAAAAGAAAACAAATTTGCCTTCCTCCACTTTTCTAAAGAAATTACAGTTAATAAAATTAGCTTTAACATCTATCACTAAACTTGTCTCTTAAATGAAGCGTAACAAAGATGGAAAAACTCAGAATAATGGAAATTGCACCGAAAAAAAGGAAAGAAAAAACAAAGAAGTTGAGGGGAATCCTTCGAGGTTCACTGAAACTTTTGACCTGATACCAAAACCTATTTAGACAAATTGTTGTATAATTATTGCAAAATATTTGTTCGCAGAATTTGGAAAAATGCATGGAGCACGCCGAGTGGCTGTTTTCTGCTTGCTGACAGCAGTTTTACCTACAATTCTTCTCATAATTCCATTATACCTGAGGCATAGTGTATTTATGGATGTTGTCTATTCTGTGGCTGAGTCAGATGTCCTTGAAATAGTAGAAGGAATATCAACTATTTTCTGCCAGGTTTGTTTTTTAATCTTTGAAATCATTGAGTTTCAACAAAATAATCAACCGCACTGCACTGATATTATAAATACCCAATCAGGGTGTCAGGGAGAAACCGAGAATTGCCAGGGAATATCATTAAGCCAGGGAAATCAGGAAAAAGTCAGGAAACTTGATTAAAAAGACAGGAGATAAAAAAATTGTGAAATTTGCAATCTGGAAAAATATCCTTACAATCAAAGTGAGTCCCAATGTGGTTTTAGGCTTCATGATCTGAATCACGTTCTAATTACTGAACAGAGGAGTGAGTCTCAGTGAGGTATTTACTTTCAGTTAATTTAAGGATTCACACTTGAAGAAGAAAGGTTTACCTGGCTTTGTCATTACTCATTTGCAGTGAAATGAACGCCAAAAATTGTACATTTTCAGTTCCACACCCTTAAATTGTCCATGTAAAAATCAGGGAGTTTGATCATTTTGGTCGGGGAAAACTTAGCAGTCTTAGAATTGTTTTTCTTTGAGTCTGTAGACATCCTGCCAATCCATGTTGACGAGTTGATTTACTTTGTAAAAAAATTAACAGAAGCTGTTCTATTCTTCAATACAGCTGAAACTGATTTAATACTAGTGCATCCCCTACAACTTCAATCATTTTTCGTTTTGTTTCAGGGTCAAACATTGAAAATGAACTCATCATTTAGTGCTTTTCAAATAAAGGGTTCTCCAGAACCTCAAACAGATATCAGGAAACATATCCGTCTGAAAAAGAGTATGTCCTTACCTGATGACACTTTGGAATATTGGGGCTTTTACCTTCCCAATGGCTCTACAGTTTCATTATCTGTCTGCTCTAGGTAAAATTATGATTTATTATTGTTTTAATTTGTTTCTACAAAGTGGAAGCACCAAAGCAAATTTCCTGTCGGTTTTTGATACTGATAGAACCCTCCCACTTTTCCTTCCCATTACCTATGAATAAGCGATCAGTCACATAGTGTTGAAACAGCTTTATGAACTTCTCTGGTGGTCAGAAGATGTGACAATTACCTTGCCTCCAAGTAAGAATTGAATCAGACACTCTCACAAAGACTTAAGCACCAGTAATGAAAATAAGAAAAAAACAATAAAAACTATATCAGTCGGCCTGTTCTAAATCTGAGCTCTAAAATATTAAATTGATTAATGAATTAATTGCATTATTAATCAATCCAACAGCTAAAATGGGTCGATTACTAAAGTCTCTTCTGTTAGTTTTATATTTTCATTTTTGGCACTCGAGTCTTTATGGAAGTGTAACGAGGTATACTAATTCAATTAAATCGATAGATTTCAGTAATGGAACTAGAAGTATGAAGCCCAAAGTTACTGTAGAACAAAGCACTTTTTTGCTAACTTCGTATTGTTGACAATTTTGTAAGTCTGCATTCAAAGCCAAAGAGCATTGCTCGCTTTTTTTTCTTTATTTTCGTTTGCAGCGATGCTATTGTGCGGCATGTTTGATCAGAAAATGTCTTTGTTGGCAATTACAATAATGGCACAATCTGCTGTCAGGTTAAATTAGTATGGTGTCTTATTCTTCAATTTAAAGGTTGTAGAAAATTGTTCATAGTGGTTGTGAAGAATTGAAATTTCCAAGTCTCCAGTCAATGAAAAAGCTGAAACCGATGCACCATATGAAAGCTGGTCTTTTAAATTGTCAAGCTGAAACTCTTCTAACCTCTTAATTTTCAACAAAAATACTGGAGAGCTTATCATGCGAGCAACATTCATCTTTTAGATTAATATTGCTGTATTTACAAGTCACATCAGTGTGCTTTTTTCCCGGGATACGAATAATTTCTGAATGAGGACTGTTTCTTACAATCTGGCGTTTTTGCCTCATAAAAATATCTGAGGTATACCTCTTCTTTGACACTTACTAATCAAATTTTTAGGATCTTTCCTTTAAGATGGTGGCTTTGCTTAACAAGCTCAACAATTTCCTTGCATTTGCTGAAAACAGAGCCCTAGCATTTTTTGCACTCCCACTATTTTCTATCGTTCCTTGGAATAATGTACTGAGTGCTGACCCTTCCTTGTCTTTGCTTGAAATTCTAACGCAGTATCATTTATCTTTTCCTGTTCATTTTCAGGTATGATGGGTCTAGGATCTTAGTTGTGAAAGGTGAGAAGAATTTGAAGACTTGCGGTTTGTTGAATCACCCCATGAGGAAACCTCCCAGTATGGCCACAGGTCAAGGTCAGGTAACAGTCACTTTTGAAACCAATGCACAAGTAATTCTGTCCGACAATGACATAGATCCACCTCAAAATGGAACGGATGAAAGAGATTTTGAGGGTGAGGACTTATCAGATTACAATATGGAAGAAGAGAAAAGGAAAGAGATAGAAGAGATCCGAAACAAAAACATAAAGATTTTGTCAAATCAAGAAAAAAAGGTGGCTGATAATAAAAATTTAATCGAGAGTGACAGCAAAAGCAAGGCTGATGTAAGTCCGAAACTACATAGACGTAGGAGGCATGAGAAAACCAAGAGCAAGCATGAGATCGAGAAAGAATTGCTAGCAAAGTTACTGAACGAAGATGAAAGTGAAAGAGTAACTTCTCCCAAGCGAAAGAGGTTTGCCAAAGCTGCCCAGCAGTCGCATCGTTTTGATGGTGGTTTAGTGCATGGAGGTAATGCTCTAACTTACAATACCTCTGCTCATGATTCCTCTTTCTCAAGTTTCGAGTATGGCTTATACACTTGTTACGATGGCAATATCCTTCTCACTCAAGGATTTCCTCCTTCAAAGCTTTGCACAAGTGTTGAATTTTTTGAAATGCAAAAGCACATGAAAACCGTGCATGATGTTGTGTCTGACGGGTATTATTACTACATATTTTACAGTGACAATGATTTTCAACTGAATGATATCCATGCTGTTTTCGATATATATAAGCCAACATATATGTACGGTAATTACTCCCATGGCTGTATAAATAAAACAGAGTGTTATTTTCCAATTAATTTCTTATCTGATGAGACTGTTGTAGTTGAAGTACCTACTAGAGATGGTATTGAACATGAAGGAGATGATATAACATTGCTGACATCAACGTGTCATCCACGTGTGACAGTCTATATGTTGTTCCCCATTTCCATTCTGTTCCTAATTCTAAGTTGCGCCTTTCTGTGAAACGTGTGATAAGTAACCGATAAAGCTGTGATATTTTTCAAATCAAACTTAGTATTTGAATACTTTAATTTTTATTTGGTTTTGGGTATTTTACTCTAAAGTAAAGCGAACAAAGAATTGAATGGATGAAGCTTTGAAATCGGACCAAGTTGTAAACGTTCTACATTATGAACCGGTTTCCTCCGTATATGATACAAATCTTGGAGTGGTTGAAATATTTTTAAATGTTAATCATTTCCAAAAACTGCTAATCAATGCAGCTGACAGAGGTGTAATAATATGCTTAGTATTGTCCCCTCTATTGTTTGAATGATAATAATGAGAATGAGGATGGAGAGTCCACTCAGTGCTAAAATCCAATAATCGAAAATTATTAACCCAACTAATTCTATACATTTCCAAGCGGAAAGAATTAAAAATTTGAATGTTCTTGCTCCTCATCCTATAATTTTTATTTCAGCATTTGACCATCTTCAGTGATTAGGTTCACCGGAATTTTACTCAGTGTTGGAAATATGTATGATATTCCTCTCATTGCAATAAAAATGAAGTTACTAACATTTTAGCCCCTTAGGAAAGTTTAAAATGTTGCGACCTAATCAAGCAGTGTGGCATTTAATGTGGGAATGTTCGAATTTTTTTCAGCTCTTATTGGTGATGCAAAGTCAGTTTTTAAGGTTAACCATGAACATGAGGACTAAGATCTTGAGACCAACATTGTCTTATCATTGCTAAATATGAATCCTAGGATGTTTTTATCACAGTTCGTTCCCACTATAAATCGCAAGTTTACTAAATAGTGGACTTTTTTTGGCCTTTAAAAATGGAACCAAGCTAGTTTATTTTGGATTGAAGACTACTCGTAAATGGATTTTTTTAAATTTTTTTTCTAGCGATACAATTGCTTTTAACAGAGCAACTATTTTCTGACTAAGGCATGACAATCTTTGAGATAAGATGCTCTCTTTCTTTGTAGCTGCAATTGAAATGTGAGTTTTGCGACTTTCACCATTGAAATAAGACCGTCAAACTCGAAAAGCTGATGTGGGTTTTTCAAGTGGTTGGTTTCTGTGATCAGCTGGACAATGATTGTCTTTGCTTTTACTTTTTCATCAATAATTGCACCATTACTTGCGACCTTTCCCTACTAGCAAAAATTTGTCTAACCCTTAACTAGGATAGTTTTCTGTCTACTAAACCTAAATTCTAATAATAAACAAAATCCAATACTGTTGCTGTGGAATAGAAGCTGACACTGTAAAAGTTCAGTTCCAGGTTGCAGCTAGATTTTTTTTTTTTTTCCTGCATTTGTAACTAATATTTATTTATACCACAAATATTCTTTAAAAACCATTTTTCTTCTCATTTTTCATGATGTGTAAAATTTAAAGGACCTATGGTTGAAGATTCAGTTGTTTTCGGCATCATTCTCTGATATTTATCTTTTTTTGTCTTCTTTAAACTTCCACCCTTCAATTGCATTTATGAGTTTTATTCCCTTTCAAGTATTTTTCTTGATCCTGTCTAATTTTTTTTTTTTACCAATGTATTTGTCATCACTTTTTTACATTTTTATTTTTCTCATTTTGTCTAAAATCGGTTTTACTTTTAGTCTTTTCTACTATATGTAATAGTCTCGAAGTAAACACGCACTTCAGATGTAAGAATACTAATACCTCAGAAAAGAAGGCTCTTTGCTAGAATTAGCGGTAGAGGCCTGGTGTTTTCATTAATTTTTCCTCAATGAAGACATTTAGCAATATGATTTAAACTAACTTCAGACCGAAATAAAATCAGAACTTAAAGAATCAAAGCAAATCATAAGTTTTCTCTATTTTTCAAGAGAACTAATTCATCGTCTCATGTAGGAAGAAACGTATCTTGATTATGCTTTTTGAGTATCTCTAAGAAGACGTCATTTTTTTCATTTTTTGTGGGAGAATCGTCCTATGAATTTGTCTGAAGATTGCAGAATCTTTTCCAACAAAAGTAAGAAAAATTCACAAAAATTTCAGACATTCATATCATTAAGTTCATATCAGTTTTCCTACAAAAAGATAAAATGTTAGTGTGAAATACTGAAACAGCACAATCAAGATACAGAACCGCGTACGAGAGACAATATATTACATAATTACAATAAGTAGAAAGTAGAAATTTTAATTTTGATGTCAATGAGTAGCAAATTAATATAATGACAAAAAAAGCAATGATCTCTCCTTGTAGGTAGCTTCAGATTTAAGAGTGTTCAGTTTTTGTGATAAAAAAAGGAAATGTAAAATGTAAAAGACAATTTCTATTAATGTTTTAGAATTTTACTCAATTCTTCATTTTGTTATTATTTTCAATATTCATATCAGTCTACCATTCTTTTTGCTATGGTTCACTTAGCTTTATTTTTTGTTATGTACTCGTTGATGTTAAAACTTGAGAGTGTTATGATTATTTTTTTTATAATGTTTTTAAGTAATTGAAAAGCATTAGATATTGTAAATATTTTTATTTATTTTTTACCATGTACATCCAATTGTCATGTAAATATGTAATAATGTTTATAGAATTTCGACTATTTTTTATGATCATATTTTTTCGCGAGGAGTAGTGATTCACTTCTCTGAATCTGACAGTTGATCACACTCACCGCTTTCATTTTTGTAGGCACATCATTCATTGATCATTCTTGCAAAAATGCATAAACCTATTTGTACATAAATTCAAATTTGTATAATTTCTTCTGCACACACAGCTGGGTATCACAAAATCCTTTCCATTACCTATGGCGATTGATGTTGCTCTTATGCAATCTGTGGTTTCTGTGGTAATCTGTGGTTAAAATCTTAACTGTCTCTGAGTTAAAATCAGGTTACAAATGTCATTCAAAATTTTAGGTCCTTTGTTTGATCCATCCCGGACAGAGAAGATAAATTTTGTTATCAAGGCAGAAAATCAAGGAATTGGGTGCTGGATAAATGTTTCACATATTTGACATGGTGTTGTTTACAACCTAACTTAAGCACGATGAGCTTATAAATTGAAACTTTTTGCGTGCTAATTTTGAGAAAAGTTGGGTTGATCAATTAGGGAGCTTCAGTGCAAAAAAATTAGGCACCTTTAGTGCTCTCAAGATGTGGGGTTCCAAAACCGTTGGGGAGTGGTCTCAGTAAAATTAAGTTTTCTCATGAGCCTCACGACTACCTCAAAAATCTTAGACTTGTTTCAAAATTGAAAATATAGGTAACTAAGAAGTTTCTTTCGCAAATTTGATTTATCTTGTTTTGTTTATTAGGTACAAAATAGGGAACTTTACTATTTGACAACCCTCGTACTTCAAAGCAGCTCCTGTTACACTTTGCTCAAGTTGAATCGTAAGAGCCAGAAAGTTTAAAGTTAATTTTTATCATTTTGTCAAATCAAAGAAAAGCATTTCATTGCTTCACCTGAAAAATTAATTTTATATTTTAAAACTATCAGCCTCTTTGTTTCTTATGCCAGTGAATTAAATGTTTTCTTATGAATGGAGCACATGCTGTCATCAAGTGGACGTATTTCTACCAAACAGACCTATGTGGAGGTGAGAAATATGAGGTGTGCTTGTTAGTTTCCTGGCCGTAAGAGTGAATGAGAATAATAAAGCGCCAGTGACGTCAGCGGCGACGATGGAGACTCCGAGCCGCGGATCCGCATCTTTAACTCATGAGCCCTGTCCACAACGCTCTCTTGCCATGCCCGTGGCTCATGAGTTCCGCATTCAGTTGGCACATAGGTCTCTTTGATAGAATGTAAAATTCCGCTTTTCCAATTCTACAAAAGGAATCACGCCCACTTTTACATTGCTTCTTATGCAGCTTTCTAGAGCACACCCCATATTTCTCACCTCCACATAGATCTGTTTGGTAGAAATACGTCCAAGTATAAAAGTAATCCAATATTTACCAATCATCTAGGTTATATACATTCGCCTCCTAAGCCTAAGCCGTAACATGTTTTTATTTTCTTTGAAGTTTTTTTTTCATTATTCTTGCTAAGCCTCTCCTAGTCATATGTTTCCTTTACAATTCTCATGTCTTTAAAATGCTAAAGTAGAGGTACAAGTAATCATGTTTTTTGCAGCTCATTTTTATTTAGAAAAGCTGGAAATAATTTATTATTTTAGAGCTTTTCTCAACAGGTGATTTCTGATCCCAAATTTCAATTTCCACCTCTTATCCCCATGCAAATGCTGAAGATTCATAACTCACTTTAATTTTTTTCAGCGTTAATAATTTAATTCCTATCCTAGTACTTTGGATCGCCCTTGTTACAATTCCTTATTTTTTATTACATATTTTTTTTTCCTTCCCAACTTTTGCTCAGCAAATTTTCCTTTAATGTGTCACTGATCACTCATTTTGCCGCCCTCTGGCCGAGGGTATCTCAAGTGCCCTTTGTGCTCAGGCACCGTGTTGCTAAACTTGTCCAACTTTCACGGAAAAACCAATGAACAGAATCACTTCGGAATTTTACCCAATTTTTCTTTTATCATCAAGATTGTCTTGAAATTATCCATGAATTGTCATGAAAGTTTGTGCAAAAGTTTAAACAAAAACATTCAAACAAAATTGAGATGTCAGCAGCATAGCATCTAATCATAAATGGCACTTGTGATACTTTGGCCTGAAGGTAATGATTTGTTGCTATGTTTATATTCTGAAACAAGTTTGTATATCTTTTACGAACATTAACAAATTATTAACGCACGCAAGTCCTCCTTAACTTATTTAAGGTTGTTTGCATTTTAAGTAACAAGTATTTTCTAAATGGGAGGTATTTTAATCAATGTATGAAAACGAGTGAAAAATGATTGCCATTTTTTAGCTGTAAATTTTAGGGAGTGCTCTTGCCATTATCAATTTTAAGTATTTTGTTCATATTCTCACTTGTTATTACTTATTAATTTATTTCTGTCTTTGTCTGATGTCATTTCCCTGATTGTCAGCTGTGAAAGGGCAGTGCAGACATTTTCTCCTCATTTCTCCATTCTAGCTCATATTCAACTTTCTATTTCACAATTTAGTTTGAGTTGGTGAAATTCACTTTAAAATCCTCATGTCAGATGGAGAGGGAAAAAAATTTAACTAATATCTCCTGCAAATAATGGGTTCTAAAATGCAGTATCTTGCTCTGTGAACAATGATTTAGCTCACATTACGTTGGTAACCTCGCTAATTTTTTCCAACTCATTTCTGTTATTTTGAACGAATCTATCACAAGTTAGGTATCACAAGTTAGGGAGTCAAGTCCGAAAATAAGTACACTTTACAAGTTTTAACTTGGTTTTGAATGTGTCCAAGAAGGATGAGCATTAGCATAATGATGATATAGCATTCAGCAACAAAGAACCAAGTGATATTGACTATCGCCGAATTTCATCTGGCAATTAATTTCTTTCAGGAGACGAGTTTTGTGGATTCTTTCAAAGATTTCAAGAAATGTTTCATTCTCAGGGAGAATTTTCCAAAAAATCTGTGCAACTTTTTTCCTGTTTCCAAAAAGTTAACTGTCATATGAAATTTTTCCATACTACTTGGTATATTCTGTTTTTACCTCATTTGTTTCCCTTTTTGTCAATGAGAAATGCCTCACAGGACTTCTAAATCTCTGCTTTGAAGGGAAAAATGTCTCTACAGTCCTAATTTAAATTTCATTTTTTCATTAGAATCAGTGTCCCTTTCGAATATCAGCCATATTATAGTTTTGAGCTTCCAATATTTTTCTAGAACTTATGTCTGATCTGCATTATTTGGCCTTAGAATGTTGCTCAAAATATATTGTAATCATACTTACTTCGTGTGTAATGTGTTTTATTCTCTTGTGTTATTTTAAGTACATGATAAAGTGGTAAAGGAAAAATTACATAGTCCTTTAATCAGAAAATTTTCCTTTTATTCATTTTCGTTTTCTTTACCTCCTCTCTTCCTTCTTGCAAATAAATAGGCATAATTCAAATCTTACAATCCTTAGGCGACATACGCTTTTATGGCACTCTTCTATCACACTTTAAGTGATTTGTCCCAGGCTTTGGGCGTAGGCAATTTGCCATGCAACGCATGAGTCTTAAGAATCATTTGCAGTGAGAAGAATTGAAAAATTCAGAGGAATAAAAACTGGATTTGGCAACGAAAAAACATTGCTTTCAACATGTAGATTGATTACTTTATCAAATGCAATATTTGTTTTGTCGCTAAATCCTGTAATCTATGTTAGAATTTTGCAATTTTTTCCATCCGAAATGATTTTTTAAGACACATGCACAGGGGCTATCATTGCTTATTTGGGCTATAATTTATGCCCTAATTTCTGCTGTATTATTTTTCAAAAGTGGAATCATAATTTCCTAGCATCGATCTAACTGCATTTCTTATCGCCTAATATTTTCTCATTTTTTTTTTACAATTTTTTTTTAACAATATAAGCCTGAACAATTAAACGCTTCGAAACTTCATTTAAATTTTCTCAGGTTGTGAAGAATATTTTAACTTACATAAGTTTAAATTTGAATGTAGCTTGGTTTCCTGTTAAACCCAAAAAAAAAAAAAAAAAAAAAGACAGGAAAGTAAAAAAAAAATAAACATGAGAGGAAAGTATGTGTTGTGCAGTCGAGCTGTTTCTGGTCAATCCCTTCTCATAAGTTTAATAGCAACATATTCCTATTTTTAAGATAATGATGAATCATGAGTAGAATACATGAAACATTTCAACACTTTATCTCCTCACAGAGGCATTACTTATAATTTTAATTGTTGCTGCTAGGGCTTCATATAGGTACTTGAATGGAAATTTTACAGTTAAAAGTATCAGCTATGTAGACAGCTATTATATCTCACAGTTTGAATATTATTGCAAATTTTCATCAGTGAATTTTAGGAAAAGTAAGTAGTACCTATCAAAGTACTATTTTCAACTCAATGATACAGACCTTTTGATATTTCCAATGAAGGCTTCGCCCTTATTTTTAAAAATTGATTTTTATCAAAAGCACTGCGACTAGCTCTCACATCATGTGATCATCTGGTACATATTTACCCAGCATACCAGAAGGTATCGACACGGTATCTGCAGAGAATTTACCTGAAGGATTACGTAGGTAATCGGTTTTTTCAAAATTCGCACTGCGCACCAAGAGTGTCATCTTCAATGTTATCTCACTTTCTGCTCATGCCTCCTATTCCTCATGAGTCTTCCGGCAGTATATTTTTACTTAAACTTAATGGATAAATTCTGAGAACATACCTATATTCATATCGTAGTATTTTAAAAGCACACTTTATACTATTCTTATAAGAGAAAACAAACCAACTGAAAAATTGTGCTCTAAAATTCCATAAAACTTACTGCACATACGTAGAGAGGGAGAGTGAAGAAAGTTTCCATGTGCTACCCTTAAGTATACCCAATTAGTTTTTCACTTGAAAGGCACAGAGCAAGATGGAAAATGTGCAGGTTCATATGGACCGTCGTCGTGAATTTACAAAGTGCGGAGGGCGCACAGTTTAGAATCCTCATTATTGCTATAGAAGAAAATTATAAATGCATATTTGGGTAATTACCCGGGTATTTGAATGAATGCTGGATGCCCGTTGCCGCGCTAATTTAAACGTCAGGATGTTAAGCCCATTCTGCTGTGGGCCAATAGCGACTGTCTATTTTGCCAACTCCTGAAGAGTGGGGGCAATGAAGACAGTGATGCATGAGAAAGAGAATAAAAAAAATTATTTATCTTCTACCATTCGAATCAATTTCTGAATCTTGGAACTTGAAGGACAAATCAATTAAGTGTTAAAATACAAGGAGTACGTAAATCTTTGCCGTCTATTTTCTTTGCACTATCATTTTATTCGAGTTTCATCTTTTTCCTTCAATCAGTCGCGGACAGACTGAAATTTCCTTTTCAAGGTCATTTCCCTTATTGAACTTTGCCTTTGCTCAGGCGATGAATGCAACACTGCGGCTCTTTCCGGCAAGTTTTTTCAATCGAGCATCGACAAAGTAGTCCTTAGTTTTGAGGGTTATAATTATTAAATTTCAGTTTCTAATCAGAAATTCACTTTAGCGTGAACTTTTAATTCTCTGCATAATTCAAAATTACCTCGTCGATCGTTCCTGTTCTCCGTCATTTAATTTATTTCGGCTGCTCAGCGGAAGGATAATTGGCGAGACTTCTCCAAATTTCTCACTGAACCTGCGAACTTCCTTCTTTTCATCCGCGAATTATCTGTGAACATGTCGTATCCCTCGTCTGATAGAAGGTAAGTTGATGTTTTTGATGGATTTAAATTGATTTTACAGTTCCTTCCTTCGGTGTCACGGCCTTTAGTTACTTCGAATCAATATTTCAGTGAAGTTTTGTGGTTTGAATCGCGAGTGAACGTGAAAATCCAGCGAGTCGTCCGCCTAACCTAGGCCGCCTCCTCGCTTTGCCAACATGGCGTGGTACTCATTAAGCGGCTTTTTACAATTCACTCGTTTCGAAATCTTAGTTTGCCCTTTGATCCACATTTCTTTTGTCGGATTGCCTCCCAACAGCTGCCAATCAATAATCATATGCACTTACCACTCAGCATTTACAACATCAGTAACTCCTCACCGGAAACTCTCGCAGCCTCAGGCCTTTGTCATGCAGCCTGATATCACCCTTTTATAATTGTTATCATCAATTTATACATGAAAAGGAGCATTTTTAGTAGCTACATCTTTTTCTGGCATGATTATTTGTCAGTCCTTAATGTTCACGTACCCCTGTTCCCTGTAAGTCGCATAGTTGTGTATACATGTGAGCAAGCACATGTTCACTTATCTTCCGTATCATCCCCGACCCTTGTCATATGGTTTCGCTAGTTAGCAGGAGATTTCTCTAATTGTAGGATCCCATCGAATGCAGGACTGTAGTGTACCTGAAGTTCCACTAGATTCAGCCCCTGTGGAATGTTGTTCTGTTTCTCGCCACTGGTATCCATACATGATGCACAGGTGCCATGTATAGGCCTCTCGCCCTCTGATATGTCAATATCAGTATTATTATTTACCTTTAATCTCTTGTGTCTCATCTTATGTTGAAAGTTCATTATCCTAACTCTCTAACTGTTCCATATTCCACTACTAAGTTTTCATCTAAATAAGTCATGGTCATTCTGTCTTCTGATTTTGTATACAATTCTTCAAGGCTACATCCTGTCTATTCAATTAACCTGAGCCATTGCTTGCATTTCAATTGGCTACTATTTCACTTAAACCCTTATTATTAGTAAAAGTAGATGTGCCTATATGTCTTGAATGTAATATTTGATGTTAGCTGGATAAGAAAATTTGCTTATCACATCTAATTAGCATATCTTCTTTCACCTACTCCTAGAATCCCTAAAACGCTATGTGTGATCCTTTGAGAAGAAGCCTTCAAGCCGTTTGTTTTAAAAGTGAGAATTATCATAGGGAAAACTAGAGCAGCTTCCATCAGTTGGCTTAGAATCAGTGCCATAATTCCCAATTATGCCACCATCATTCTCTGATTTCTGCAGGCATTGGAAATGATTAGTCAAGACAATTTGTAGCCAAGTCTATCTCGTTCCAAAGATAATTACTACCCTGTTACCTGCAAAATCATGTCTTTTCAATTCGCTTCAGGCTGCAAGTGGGTGATTTCATGATAGCAGAATAGTAGTTTTGCCAGTTTAGTTTTTTGAGTTTAAACTAATCAATGAAGAATACAACTGCAGCCTGATCGTTGAAATTTATGTCAGCACGACAAGAATCGAAAATCGAGATATTACACGGCGCAGATAGGGCTATGTCTTGGCTTATCGTGCCGACATAGCCAGTTACAGTTTCAACAATCCAACTGCTGTTGTTGAAAAAATTTCAAGTTGTGACCTTGTAGTGATTCATGCGTAAAAATATAAGAGATTATTGTTACCAAGACGTTTAAACCGTAAAACATTCTACATGTCACTTGACCAACACAACATTTTTTCTCTGTCGGTCACGCGTAATTAACATTCCATTTTATGGTCTAAAAGCCTGAGTGATAATAATGTCTCACTAATGTTTGCATAAATCTTAGGCCAGTACACAAATAAAACAGTTCCCATTGGCAATTAAGTTTTTTTTCCGTTTAATTCGTCTCATTGCTTTGAAAATACCTGATAATGAAACTGGCGACACCACTATTCTCATTATCGTGAAATCACTCAGGTATCTAAATTACCTATCTTGTTCCCTCTTTCTTCCTCTTCGTTTGGTCTTGGGGTGTCAAAAATTCTTCTGTCTATTTTACATGTTGAGAGCCTTAATCTTACTACAAATCATTAGTGAGTTGAAGCTGAGTTACCAATAATCAAGTCACAGCTCAGTGCTATCTTTTGCATTGAATCACCCTAAGTACTATAGTATAATTGATCCCCGATGACAAGTGTAGGTCTCCTTCCTCTTCTTTTTTTTCATCCCTGAAACGAGTTTCCTTCCCAAAACCTGCAGCTCTGGGAGAGACCAAATTAGAGCTGGGTGGTCAGCTAAGTTGACGGTTGTTTATTTTCGGTTTGCAAGCGTTTCCGCTTCACTACTATCTACATGAAAACATCCGTCTCTCGCAGAAGCAAGAACACAAGCTTAAATAAGTTTTTTAATACTTACAAACCTTATAACACTTTAATTTTTAACCACCCAGAAATTGCAACCACATGGAAGTCGCGAATTGAAAAGGAGTTTTTTTACGATACGATCATGAGACTGATGTTTTCAAGGGGGATAGTAGCAAACGCCGCTTTGTGCAGAGGCCCAAATTTGTTGTTGGCGTATGCAAACTGAAAGTTAACAACCGTCAACTTAGCTGACGATACCTATGGACTTTTCTGAATGTTACAGAACTGTTAAATTGAATTCGGTGAGCTCTTCTTCAGCCTCACAGTACCTTCTCTTTTCTCATTAGTGATCTATGTTACAATGATTCCCGAACTTTTTCACTTTAAAATCGCTGATGTTACATTTACTAAATGTAGATGAAACTAGTTTTTCTGGTTTTTCTCTCTGTGAAGAAAGGACTGCACCACTCTCATTGTGAGTCTGGAAATAATTTTGGTGAATTTTAGAATCTCAAGAGCCCTCCTTATTGAACTCTTGTCAAGTCTCTCAATTTGCTGCCTGAAGCCACAACTTAAATTGATGAATTAAGAGGAAAATGAAAAAACTAACTTCACCAACTTTTTACTTTCTTGAACTCAAACTGTGTTCATGATGGGCACCAGAAAGTCGGCGTGGTTGAGAACATGCATGGTTGAACTTATGTCAAACTTCATGGGTTACCTCAGCTCTCTCTTAATATTTCTTATTAGCAACAGCTTAAAAGGTGCTGCACTGAGGTGAACATCTAACCCCAGTTAAAACTTGTGTATAAGAGTCCTATCCTCAGCTTTTGTTTCAGTCAATCAAAAAAGAATCAGAGAATTCGATTTTATCATTTTTTTTTATTTCGTTTTTTTGAAAAAGAATCGATCAGCTTTTAATCAGAGAAAATTAAGGATTTTGAGGAGAACCTATCGCCAAAACCGACAGATGATTATAGACTGATTTAGTGACCACATCATTTGATATAATATCAAACTCAGTGTCTCAAACTGAAACAAATAACATTACCTTACGTACTACCTCTGTGTGAGTTGACTGTGTTATCTCATTACAATTTAGTCCTTGCTGTGTCATAAAGGAACTAAGGACTCATTAAACACGAGAAATTTCGATTGCCAGAAAAAATTCGACGCATTATACCACCATGGCTCTAATCAGAGACAAGGTTATGTGTTTGTTCCAAATTGAACCATGGTGTATCCACTAAATCAGCCTATTATCAGAACTTAAATTGGAGTGAAGGAAAAGATGTACAAAGAATTCAGATAAAGATGGAGGAGGGAACAGGGGAGTAGGTAAATCTATGTTTTTATTTTGTGATCTGATAAATTCTAAACTTTATCTAACAAAAAACTTGGAATCTGACTGTTCAAATTTTTCGTGTATTAAATCGGTCTGTAAAGCTGCTTGCGTTCATCCCTTTTTTTTTCAGCCACAAATCTTATCTTCCTATCAAAAGCTGATTGAATCCTCTGATAGGAAAAAAAAAATGATCCTCTGAAAAATTTTCAATTATTGACTCATTTGACAGCATGTACTTTAAGTATAGTGAAAATTAACTTAAAATTAATTTCTCAAAAGTCTTGTTCTCAGTGCAGGTCATTGTTGAAAATTCTTCTGTACATCATGCTTAAACCAGTAGCACTCCTCCGCACTGAAGTGCTCTCTTCATTTCTTCTTCCTTTCTTCAAATTGCCTGACTGCTCATCTTCCTTTCATCCTCCCAATGTCTGCTTCGGTAGATCCTCATTTTAAGCATTTAACTCTTCTTGAAGCTTACCTCTCTTGTACCTCCGACTCATCACAATTCATCATAGCATAAAATAATGTTATCTTCCAAATTTTGTTTTATCTCATCATTGAATTTTATTTCTTTTCTCTCTATTTTTTCACTTTTTAAGTACTAAGTGTGATTCTATCTAACTGTGATCTTTGATTTCTTCAGATCCGATTCAGAAAATTGGTCTGACTCCAAGAATGGACCATCTGACCAAGAGCCTCGAGATGGCGGCTCCGGCCCCACAAATATGGACCCGGATGGCGTCATCACGTCCACATGGGACGAGGTAAGTTTTGCAACCTCATGATCACTTCTTGACAGAAAGTTCTAAATGGAAACTAGTATTCATGAGAGCTTTAAGCATGTATTCAATTTTTCCAAATCAGAGATGAAAGTAAGAGGAACAATCAGCCAAATAATTATTACTGTAACAAATTTGAAAGTTCAAAAAAGGCGGAGAAATAGAAAGCCTGTGTTTGTTTACAACAAGCTGCGTTGAAAGACTCGAGCGTAGTCTCATTTAGACACTCACTTTGACTTAACTCTCCAAGAATTAGGTACATCAGATATATCATGAGTACCAATTTGTCTCTGATGTGTAGAGTTCATAGCTTGAGTTTTGTCTTCCTCATTGATAATGAAAAATGAACAAAGGAAGAAAGGATTAAATATTTCTAATGTGGCATCTGGTAAATTTCATTATTTTTAGCTTTCAAGTTTCTCAACATTTTCTTAGCCACGTCAAGCTAACAGTTAAATAATCTTGTGTTATTTTAGTCAAAATTAGCAAATCCAGTGAAATATTGCACCCTTGATGAAGTTTAAGGATGAATGCAAGGTCTCCAGCAGTCTGGAAAACCAGGTTGTTCCAAGGTTAATTTTGTGAGCTGCGTTCAGCAGAAGACAGTATTTTTAAAAGGGAAAAATCAAAGTGGTACTTAATTTTGTTTATAAGTCAGGGAAAGCCAAGGAATTCGAAAAGTTTAGAGTCTGGGATAAGTTAAAAAGTCAGACAATTGGAAAATAAAGTAACCATGAAAACCCTATGAGCAGGAAATTAATACTGGGTTGTACGCCGCTCGGGCAATTAAGACTGCCTTTTCATTGCTGAAAAATGGCCAAAGTCGCGGTGTCAGACTTTCAATTTGCCTATTTTCACTGACAACTCGACGAAGATAAAGATGGGCCATCGACCAGTATAGGCAGACAATACAAAATTAGTGTTTGTAATCTGGAAAAGTTATAAGAGCTTCTGTTTTCTTTTCTTTTCTTTTTTAGATCGTCGAAAGTTTTGATGACATGAACTTGAAGGAAGAACTCCTGAGAGGTATTTACGCTTATGGTTTTGAAAAACCTTCAGCAATCCAACAACGAGCAATCTTACCTTGTGTAAAAGGCCATGATGTCATCGCACAAGCTCAGTCTGGTGAGAATTATTTCAAATAATTCAATTTCAATTTGAGGCTTATTATAAGTATTGTTTTTCGAACTGTCATTGTCAAATTTCACGAAGAAGGCTTCTCCCAGTCGTTCGAATAGAATTTCTTCCTGCCTAACCTGTTTCTAAAATCTTAAAATTGTTCAATTTTTTTTTGCTACGCGTTTTATTGGTTTTCTCCTACCACCATTATTCTTGGTTCAGAGTTCAGCCGAAGAGAAAGAATCTAACTGATGCCACCAATAAATGGTAAAATCTTGCATGCCTTAAATTGGTTGGCGGTTTAATATTTTTTTAAAGTATCTGCTAATTGCTCCTGGTGTAATATTTCATGAAAAAATTCCATCATAAAGTTTCAAACAGCGCTTCTGAGGGAAAGAAACGCTTATTATAATCCAACAAACCTGAAGTCAACAGTCAAGATGATATAACTAGGCCATGTTTTCCGCTGAGCTTCAGCTTATCAGTGAATGCGGACTCTCTCACCTGCGAACGTCATGACTGACCGTCAACAATATCATTTCAAATGGGTGTAAACTTCAAATTCGTTTTTCTGTGTCTATTAGGAACAAAAAAATAATTGGGAGCTTGTCTCAACTAATACTTCAAGAAAATGCACCAAATTAGAACAAGCATCAGTACGCTTATTATAATCCAACAAACCTGAAGTCAACAGTCAAGATGATATAACTAGGCCATGTTTTCCGCTGAGCTTCAGCTTATCAGTGAATGCGGACTCTCTCACCTGCGAACGTCATGACTGACCGTCAACAATATCATTTCAAATGGGTGTAAACTTCAAATTCGTTTTTCTGTGTCTATTAGGAACAAAAAAATAATTGGGAGCTTGTCTCAACTAATACTTCAAGAAAATGCACCAAATTAGAACAAGCATCAGTGACCCATTAAAAGCATTCGTGAAAGACTTTGACATGTCCTTGGTTTTGAAAAATTTATAAAGCCTGATTATTATTATTATATATTGCGTGTCATTTTCACCTGTATCATTTTGAAAGAGTATTTAACAAAATACCGGGGTGAAGGAGCAAGGAAATTTAGGAACAAGTTCGCTAGAATAGTGCTCTTCTTAGTCTAACAGAATTTCTCAAATTGTAGTATTAGAGATAGTTCACCATACAACTCGTCAATGAAAAGAAGAGAAAGCTTTATCAATTGAAGAAATTTGGTGCTGAGTCATGCTGTATATGAAATAAGAATTTTAATCAGACTCAGGTCTCATTTATGCCAATTTTATCCTTGCAGGAACTGGGAAAACAGCTACATTCTCTGTTTCCATCCTTCAAAAATTGGATACCAGCGTCCGGGAATGCCAAGCTCTAATTCTTGCTCCCACCCGAGAGTTAGCTCAACAAGTAAGTCAACTCTCATAATTTTTTCTTTCCCTGTCATTTAGTCAATGTTGAACTCATCACACAGTGCCTGAGGTCTAATTGCCATTAACCTTGAACTTCTAATTGCCAAGACTGTTTTCACCTCAATCTGCCAAGCCATCATTATTTTTTTTAATATTATTCCAAGGCGGACCAAGGTATAAAATTCAAACAAAATTCCATATGGGCCATTCATAAAAGAAGTAACACTGCATTAGCTGACCACCTCCCTCTCACAATAAAGGTCCCTCTAAAAAAAATAAATGCGCAAAGACAATACGATGCATAATTTAACATTGTTGGATGATAATGGATGAAAAATTGCCACCACAGTCAAGGAACATTGGAAAAACCAATTTCAGTAAAACTACGAGAACCTGGAAATGCCTCTAAAAAGGACCGAAGTGTGAGGGAAAAATTGTAAGGTCACCTTTATTTGCTTATAGAATGTATTTGAGCTGTGAAACAACCAAGTTTGCCTAATAACTGTTTCAAATTACGTCTTTGTAAGCATTTGGCACATCGTCAATTGTCAGGAAATTTCACCGAAATGTGTCAGGGAATTGCATTTTCTAAATTCTTTTACAACCCAGTTTACCAAGGTCACTTTCCCCGTGGTAAATCACAAATTTTTGTTATTCCATGTCACTAATTCACAATGTTGTCAGGGTCAACAAATTTATCCCTCTATTAAGTGCATCTTTCCTTTAAGTATAAAAGTTAACATTACTCCTGCATAAAAGTTGTAGTAACAGGTTGAGATTAACTATCTTTTCTTCTGTTACAGATCCAGAAAGTAGTTGGAGCTTTAGGAGACTACATGACCATCATGTGTCACGCCTGCATTGGTGGAACCAACATCCGTGAAGACATTAAGAAGCTGGAATTAGGAGTCCATATTGTTGTCGGAACTCCTGGTAGAGTCTACGACATGATCTCGCGAAACGCATTGAGTGAGTATTCTCCAATTCTTCAAAAACCATTTCTCCTTCTTTCTGTCAGGGTGAAATGGAGATGTTGTGTGTGTGAGGAATTTGCAATTTGACTATTGATTCTTATATAAAAGTTTGCAAGAAACACGATAGTGCCACTGGTTTTCTCTGAAATCAACTCCCAAGCTCAAAAAAAGCTCTCAAGTTGAGGCCCAAATGGAGGGGATATCCCACGTTATCCTGAGAGTCCACGTCTACATCAAGACAAACTCTCCATGCAAAGATAAGGAGCAAATACACTAACAGAGCTGCCACTTTATTTGGGGACTCTAAAACTGGAAACACGGCTACCCTGCCAATGTATTTGCTCCCTATCTTCGCATGGAGAGTTTGTCTTGATGTAGACGTGGACTCTCAGAATAGCTTGGGATATCCCCTCCATTTTGGCCTCAACTTGAGAGCTTTTTTTGAGCTTGGAAGTTGATTTCAGAGAAAACCAGTGGCACCATCGTGTTTCTCACGAACTTTTACTTAAGAATCAACAGTCAAATCGCAAATTCCTCACACATGCAACATCTCCATTCCCTCCAACTCTGGAGAAATAATTGGAACCCTCCATTAATATGCCTTTGACCTGGGGTATCAGCAAGAGCTTGATCATAAATTTACCTCTAAAGTTTGTCTATTTCCATCTGTGCTATGTTTGGGCCTTTCATTGGTTTTCATGCCTAGCTCCAAGCTTCAAACTCTTGAAATATATTTTCTACCCTTACTTGTTTTGGGGTTGATTCAGTTAGATTTCATTCTTTCTAACAAATTTTTGCTTAGTTGGTTAGGCAAACAAATCTCAGCTCAATTAAACCGAGTGAAACCGCGTCACCAATAATTATGTCTTCTCAGGCGCAGCAATTAGTTAATCCCAGTGGAACTGCGGAACTAATAATTTTGTCTTCTCAAGCGGAGCAATTAAGGCAAGTGTTTGCCAAGGTAGTTGAGTCATTTTTTCCGCAGTGAATATTCAAGTTGATTGTTTGATAGTAATCTGTCTCTCTCTATGTGACTTTCAGAGACGAACCACATTCGTATCTTCGTGCTTGATGAAGCAGACGAAATGTTGTCAAGAGGATTCAAGGAACAGATTTATGATGTTTTCAAGACACTCCCCACTGATGTCCAGGTAAGGCAAAAAAATTTTATTCTGCTCTTTTTGAAGGCGTGTTATCCCCTTCCCATTCCTTAACCTCTGCATTTATAAGATGACCTTCTGGTAAGCAATTCATATCAATTTTAGGGGTTTTCAGAAATTTTTAAAGCTATGCATCCGTATTTCATACACTTTTCTCCTTTTGTATTTCTAGCAGCGAATAAAGGTATAGAAAGAGAAATCTTCTATTCTCAAGGAATGGTCAGCAGCGTTAAAATTTTTCTGCCCATCCTAGGAAATATGTGATAATCATAATTTTGGACTCACGTATGGTTCCAACTGAAAAAATTTACCAGCCTTGTTAAGAAGTGCTGACGTGAAGATTATCAGAGATGGACTTGTGCCTCAACACCTTATGATCAGGGTCTAGAAAGTCCCAAGTTTACCTCTAAAAACCAAAATAGCAGACTATTTCTCTGTTAAAACACTGCAAAGACAAACATTTTGAGAATTCTGACAAGCTGCTCCAATTTTTTCTTGTTTCCATGGTAATACTTACTTTTCTTGTGCTCTGTCTGGTCATGTTGATGCAAAATTTCCGCACCCCTGTCAAGATCGGAGAAGTGCATATGAAAATGACAGAACATTAAATACATCAAATGCATCATCTTTACTTTGAAGTATTTTCTTTTTTTTTTTTTTAGGTTATTCTATTGTCTGCCACCATGCCAACTGATGTGCTCGAAGTGAGCAAACGATTCATGAGGAACCCCGTTAACATTTTAGTGAAACAAGAAGAGTTAACATTGGAAGGTAAAATCTCTTACTAATTCACAAGTTGCAGTTGGAACATGTTCCAGATGATTCTATTGCGTCTATTGTCAAAATTTGAGTTGAGCTATTAACAAAAATAAACTAAAATTGTTCAATCTATGCACATAAGAGTGCTTAAAATACCTGATGTGCAGGCCGACTATCGAAACCACATCAGCACGGCAAGACAAGACATAGCCCTATCTGAACCATACAATATATTGCATTTCGATTTTTCATCAGATTGCTTTACACTTCAAATAATTGGCCTGCTGGGGAATAGACAAATTGTCATGCGACTGAGCATCAATTTTTCTATCCAAATTTGACTATCCTCTTACAGGGCGTTCTGTATCAACTCTTGCATGAAAATTTAGACCAACCCGTCTGATTCTTTACAACATTGTCCCTTTCTTGTGCAATTCTATAGTTTAATCGTGTGTAAATATTCCACATAACCTCAATTCAATGTGCGTTTTTAGCTTTTTGAGACCTTAGGTGCCGCAGAAACACTTCTCCAATGCGGTGTTTCAGAATCTCCGCTGCTACTTTAACTTTTATTGAATTTTTCAACCAGGAAATGTTAAGAATATTCATTAGAAGTTTCAACAGAATATGAGGACTTATCTGTAACAATAGCGGATGTGAAAAATTACCTTTTTGACACACATTTAAAAAACTGTTTTGGCATCAAGATAATTTTGAGCAAATACTTGAGATGCAATCTTCGAGATCTGTACATTATGCTAGAGCCAAACATATAAATTTTTGTTCAAACAGAACAGTTTTTTAAGCAAGTTTCAATAAGGTAATTTTTCACATCTTCTATTGTTACAGATAAGTCCTCATATATGAATTTGTTTTCCTTGTAGTGATAAAATGTTAGCAGGCTGGATAAAATAAATTATTTGACAAGTTTAAAGAGTATACTCAGGTAGATAGCATAAATTAATTATGCTAGCCAATCAAGCCCCAAAGATGTGTAGGCAAGAAATGAATGGAAATGAAATGGTTTATCTGTTCTGCTCTGTAGTCTAATGGTTAAAATTTTGTATTCTTTGACTGGACAAGACTAAGGAGAAATGGAGTTGACTGATTGGTTGGCTTTATGTGTTGTCTTTCTTGGTTACTCTTGTGTCATGAGGGATTGATGACACGCTATTGGCAACTTTAAGAGATGGTGTCTTATCGTCAGTTCCATCAGACATAGACAGGTTAAAGAGGACGACTGACTAAGCCAACCCATCGCTCAACTCCATTCCTCCTTAGTCTTTTCAATCAAGCCGCTGGGCCTAAGAACATTCCAACAGTGACATCGGCGGACCCAGCAAGTTGGCAACATTCTTTTTCTCCATTTAAACCTTTGGAAATGTATCGATTCTTGGAGAGGCCAGGTGCTCCGACAAGAATCGACTATTTAACATAGGTTTTAACGGATGGAATCCATTGTTGCCAAATTGCTGGATCCGCCTCTGAACAGTGATCTGCAAGGTACCTCAGAGTACATCCGGGTCTAGACTTTGCCAAGTTCATTTACAATAGCATTGCCTCAGTTATTTCATTTTCAACAATAGGATTCTGTGATGTCTGGAGGATGAGTTCAAGAGCTGGTAGCTTTCTGAGCAAGCAAATCTAAACTGAGCAGCTTGTGATTATCTGTTGTCTATAATGTTTTATTTTTTTTTTTTTTTCAGGTATTAAACAGTTCTTCGTCAATGTGGAAAAAGAAGACTGGAAATTAGACACGTTGTGCGACTTGTACGAAACTTTATCCATCACTCAGGCTGTTATATTTTGCAACACCAGACGCAAAGTCGACTGGTTGACAGAAAATATGCAGAAAAAGGATTTCACTGTTTCAGCTATGGTAAGTTCATATGAAAAGGATTATTTCTAACTTTTGGTTTTTTTTTCATCGTAGAAGATGTTTTCATTCTTTGCAGTGCTTTAATCCGACAGGCGCCAAGAGCAAATTACACAAAAATACTTCTTATTAAAATCGTGGCCGAAGTTAGCACCTGAGTACTCGAAGTCAGTTAGCTGCGTAAACACCGTAACCTAGGCAAAGTTTATTTATTAATTGATACTTGCATATAGTAGAGAGTGTTGGAAGGAAAGATTTGGAAATTTGGTAAAGGAAAGCTAGAAAATGGGCAATCAGTTACAAGTACGTTTTAGTTTCAAGAGACATCGAAGTCTCGTCTTAAATCATTGCAGAATTAACTATTTTGGCTCTTTAAAAACCTATTTTCCCGGATAATTGATCCAAGTTGGCCAAATTGGTCCCTAAATATTGCTTTAAGTTTTGGACATCAATTATTCGCCATTATGTTGCAAGTATTATAATTTTATAAGTGACTGCCAGACAAGGTATGAAAAATCTGGTTCCTCATCAAATGAACTTTCAGAATAAGTTGAGAAATTGAAAATTGCCAAAATCAATTGACAATTAAAGTTTTCAAAATTTTAGTTATGCTTTTTCCCTGTCAGTATTCGGAATATTCAGTTTATTGAAAATTGTATGCTCTCATCATAAATCTGGAAAAATATTGCGCTGTTTCCCGTTTTATATGTGAAACTACTATGGGTACAATTCTCTTGTGCTTTGTTTGGCATTGATGGTCTCTCTTCTTGTCTTTCAGCATGGAGATATGGATCAGCGTGAGAGAGAACTCATTATGAGACAATTCCGTACTGGTTCAAGTCGAGTTCTGATTACTACTGATTTGTTAGCTCGTGGTATTGATGTGCAGCAAGTCTCTCTTGTTATCAACTATGACTTGCCCTCTAATAGAGAAAATTATATTCACAGGTTTGTTCTTTATATTTCTATCGCTAATATCTGTATTTATTGGTTAATCCTCGCGCAAGTTTCATCAGCCTTCTGAAAATATTTTTTAAATAGTTCTGTGTGTATCCCATTAAAATCCCTATCTGTAACTGTACGGATGCATACAATCATATCAGTATTGTGTATCATTTCTTGCTAATCTTTCACATATCTGATTATCATGAATCGTCCTTCTTGATGATTCTCTGCAAAATGAGCTTGCTCAGTGTTTTTGAATTCTTGCCCTTTTTAAAAGTAGAGACAGAACTCAGTTCACAGTTATCTTCCTGGATTTTTTTTAAAAATGTTAACCCTCGATAAACAACCTCAAAGTTGCATATTTTGAGCTTACATCCAATTGCCGAGAAAGTCATGATAGCATCCAAAAATATTTGACCTGTGGTAGGCACACTTTGACTGCCAGAGGTTTGCGACATGATTCGAGCAGCTGTTACTAATGCTTAACCACATAGAACATGAATCATGGCAGAGGAGTCATAAAAGTACCTACTGCAGTGAAGATATTTTTCGACGCCATTGTGGCTTTCCCGGTGATGGGTCTTTTAATGGAAGCTCACAATACGCAACTTTGATCGAGTTCTTGGTGTGTTAATTTTTCTCAAAGCCAAAGAAATTCCTGTGCACCAGTTCAGTCTCTACTTATCAAAAAAGGAAGAATTGAAAGCTACAGATTAGGATCATGGTCTTGTTACGGCTTTGGATCTTACTTCCTCTGGATTTCCCTCTGAGTTTTCCTCAAACAGGGACCTGTACAATCCAATTCCATAAGCAGACAATATAATTGTCAAAAATCAGAGTTCATGGAAGAAAAATGTCTATTTTCTAAGGAAAGTTTTTATTTTGAACTTACATTCATGTTGGTGGGAATTGATGTTTCAGAATTGGACGTGGTGGACGATTCGGTCGTAAAGGAGTAGCTATCAATTTTGTGACAGAAGACGACAAACGTGTTCTCAAGGATATTGAGACTTTCTATACAACTACAATTGATGAAATGCCGTTGAACGTTGCTGATCTATTCTAAAACCGATCATTTTTGCAAAGTGTGAGTATCTCTGAATACTTGTGCATCTGTAGTGGTGGACAATTTCATTCGTTTCCTTCGTGCTGACCAAGTGAACATTAATTTGCCCATTTTTCATTTCTTTGCTCGGTATTAAAGCGATTTTGACACTTATGAACGAGGACAAGTTGTTTCTTGATTCTCATAATCACAGTTAATTGAATTCTTTCGGGGAAAGACAAGTTATCCTACTTTAAAAGGACTTTTATTTACGTAAATATCTAATCATTAATTTATTTACCCCTTTTGTATGTTTTAATCTGCGTCTTTTTTCCGTTTTCAAAGCGTATTTATCTTTATAATAGTGAATCAGAATGATTTAATTTTAATTGAGTGACTAAAATATTTCTGGGTTGGCTGTTTGATGGTGTTAGAGGACAGTTTGTTTAATTTGCGAAAGGCTTCAGTGCCATGTCGCCTTATTTTCCTTCATCATCGAGAGTTCAGAATTTGCTTTGTTGCCTGTGCAATGCTCAAATTAATTCAACCGTACAAGATGTCTCCAGTTTGGTAGCGTTGGCCAATTATTCATATTTTTCAGATAAAACACTTTATTTCTTAAAGTTATTAGAGGCTTCATTCTCTGCATTTCCTCACATTGCCAAGTGCTTTGTAGGATTTTGGCATGGGTTTTTTAATCAGAAAAGATGTAAACGGCGGCCTTTGTTAATTTTATAACTTACTCATTTCCGTTTATTTTCACATCAAAAGAAATTGGTGTTGTATACTTTTCATTGTACAAGGTTTGTAATTTTGTTTAGCTTCTTTATTATAATGAAATGAAAAATAAAGAACCCAAAAGATTCTTCTTTTAACTACCCATTGTTTTTTTTTACTTTTTCGTCGTCACTCCTTTTCAAAGAACTGAACCTATCACGGGCCTTGAGTTCGGTAAAGTCCTATTCATCCTTTCTTTCAAGGCATTTTTTGCCACTTGAATAAAAACGCAGTAGTACTTGTTAGTAACAATATCGCTGTTCCCAAAATCATGGTCTCTTTGAATTTTTGAAATCATGATTATACCCGTTTCAGTCTTTTTTACCATCAATTAATCAGTTACATTTTTTAGTATCTTGAGAGGCTCTCTCTATCATTGCGTCAACATTGAAGATTATCAATTGGCAATCTCACGTAATGAACTGACGTTCAGTTTTAGTGTGCCTATTAATTTTAATTTTTGAGTTCAGAAGATGAGGAAAAACCAAACGGCTCTTCTAGTTGGTAACACACCTCAAATGCTCGATCCCTCTTTTAATGATAATTGTCACCTAAATGTAGGCATCATTTCTGCAGCCCATGACTTTGAAAAGTATACATTTGTTAGAGGTATCGTCAGCTAAATTGGCAGTTGTTTACTTTCCGTTTGCAAGCAACCGCAATGCAGTCATTCAGTAACGATAGAAGATTAACGGCTGCAGAATTGCCAGCAATGCTGCTACTATGCGCAGAGATGTAAATCAGTCTACTAGAGGTGACAATCAGAAGTAAACAACTACCAACTTAGTAGCCGATACCTCTAAAGAACTCAAGTTTTATAAATCTCCTTTTCTTTATCTTGACAGTAGTTAACTATCTGAATTAATGAGGAAATTTTTGCAGACATGGCTTTGGAAGCTATGGAGAAGGTTTTCATTCCTTTGACCCTCTTGAACTATTTATTTTTCATTGATTTCTTTTTCAATTCATCGACAGTCAATCTAATAACAAGAGATCCGAAAATAGTTTCAAAATGACTTAATGATGTCTAGTTCATTTGACAAGCTGATTACCTATCAAGCTTATAGAGAGGTAGACAGCAATTAATCTCACAAGGCCTCAGGAACGTATGAAAAAAGTGGCAAGTTGATACACGCCAAAAACTGGCCAGGAATGTTTAAATTACGATGGGACAACTGTGGTGCATGATAGTATAGCTTGATATTGTTCAGTTCTATATGTAGCAACTGTCTGATAGCGTTAGCAGCGTTCCGAAAAGCACCGAACTTGCTTCATTGAAAGGAACGGTCTGATCGTATGAGCTTTACATCTTGCATCTGTATTGATGAAATTATTCAGTATGTTAAAGCAAAATTTCGGTTCTTAGGATTAAAACTTTAGTTAATGAGATCAGAATTGATGATAGGAGTTTGATCCTCCAAACCGAAATGTCGCTTTGAAAAATTAAATAGCTTGGTTTGTCTTAAACACCGAACGTTTAGCTCATATGATCCAACTTTTTTCAGTGCAGCAGACTCGCATAACTGTCAGTTATCCCTACAGACTGATCTGGCTTTATGGGGCCAGGGACTGAAAAGTCTACAAATCAGACATTACTTCATACCTCTTTTCTTTCTAATACAATTTTTTCGTACTGAAGCAATATCCGCCAGCAATATTTTTATTTACACATCGTTCCCTGCCGGGCAGAATATCCCAAGTACTCTTTAAGCCTTGATGTTGTCTTGCTGGACATCTCAAGATTTTTTATTTCTTTAAAACTTTTGAACATACTTTCATGAAAATTTCAGTGATGTCTTGAGGACATACAAACTTTTTTAGTTAAATTTTCAATTGAGTCTCTTCATTGATTTTTCCATAAAGAATTAGGCGAGTTTAAGAATTTTGGCAGAATAGTGCCTAAGCATAATACACGCTTGTATTGTGTGCACTGTGCAGAAGGTGATGGCATGTTTTGTATTCTTAATTCAAAAGGATTTGGGCTTAAAATCACCAGATAACTTGATATCCTACAATGGCTGCCTTGTGTTGAAATGGAAACCAATCTTCTAATTTTAGAATTCGAAAAATTCCTAGCATTTATAAACTAATTTTTCTCCTTACTTATCCTTTCGGTTTTATATTTTCAGGTAGTCTCTTGATTGCTCACTACTGGAATGGATTTATTTTAAAGAACAAATCTTATAATTTTGAGAAGAAGGTAGATTTTTCAACAATTCTTTTGCATCTGTCCTCATCACTAGATGTGTAATTATTGAAGTTAATAAGAAAGTTTTTAATTAATGTAATATATATGTAAATTTCTACATATATATTTATCAAAGTAAGTCTAAGTGTGAAAAGAAGAAAAACTGTATCTTATTTTATGATAATGATGATCATAAATTTTTATTGTAATTTATTCCCTTTTATTGAACTCCCCTTTTATTTTTAAATACATTTTTTTTTAAAATTCCTTACTTTATTCATTTTCTCTTTTTTCTTTTCCATAATATTTGCTGAATTGATCAGCAGTAACTAACTTGCAGGTGCTGTTTCATTTTTCTACCAATAATTTAAATTGAGCCCACAGGACTCCTGCCCCCCTGAGCCTGTAGCGGACTGAAAGGTATGTTTAGAGGTATGGGAGGGCTATAACATTTGCTCAACGGTTTGGGAGATGTACCATAGTGGCGTGGCGTACTTGGCGATATATCGATTGATCTATCATTGAAACCTATGGAAAAGGATCGATTAACAGGGTGTTTGCAGCGAACACCTAAATAATCGATTCTTTACTACGGATTCAAATGGAAAAATATTGATAATTGATCATTCATGCCACGCCACTAATGTTCCATAAATCTATCCATTTTCACCTTCATGAAAAATTGACCAGCACTTTTGCTCCGTTTTGCTCTTTGACCAATTGGGTAGGAGATATTAGCATCTGTTTGTTGCTAAGGCGGATTCATTTTCTTGGCACTAAAGAAATGGAGTAGCAACGTTCATTTAAATGTTTCTTTTACAGAATGAGACCAGCGTAATTTAGCTTACTTGAAATTTTGAAAATTGAGATCAAGAATGAAAGGGGAAGCTGGAAAAAAAAAAAACAAACTTGTCAACAAGTGTGGAATTGAAAATTCTTTACTGACAGATTTACGAACAAGAGGACAAGGCTCCGTAAAAATTAGATGTACTTAGGGTATATTAAGCATGTTTTTGGATCCACACTAATAAGATAAAGTCGAGTCATAGTGAAATAAAATCACTCGACACCATGGTTATGACTTCACTTTGTCAAAAAATTTTCCTGTAGGCAAGACAAGACATTATTTTGAGAAAATAAGCGTTTATACTTAGTTATACTCTAATTTTAATGAGAGGTAGATGACTGTAGTAGGCACTCACTACCAAGCAAACGAGAATGCAATTTATCGACTAGGTTTGCAAATAGCATTTCAGTAAGCCATTTTAGACTATCTGAGATGATTTAAGGATACCAAGAATGCTTCCATGGATATGTTTTTCAATTTTTACCCCTTTGAGTGAAGAACAGGGTACATAATAATGATTTTGAAAAAAATATTTGATTTAGTATTTCATGAATTTAAATGGAGGTATTCACTGGCTACGTACTCCTTGGATGACGAATCCACTGTACGCTATTATGGAGTCTATGATGCGACTGCAGAAACAAATATTTCGTTTAGATGGTTCAAAATTTCTACTCCTATTTTATTTTGTCAGAAAAAGACAAACCAACACTACTACTAAAGATTTCCATGGATAATACTTCCCACCGAGAAGAAAAATCAAGGAAGATTTCAAGAAAAGACCTTGAAAAATAGTGTAGGATAGAAAGTCTGCTACGTCACAAATCGAGATACGCGTTCCTGCAGTTTCAACAACTTTGAAAAAGTATTTTACCGTTCTGACATCTAGAATATATGCACTTATTAACATAGCCTGACTCAAAAATGGGGTTTTCCTTCCTTACACAGTAACTGTTTACCCCTGTCACACATAGGGATGTTCTTTCTATCCTAAGTATGAGGTAAACTTAGTTCAATGATGAGGATAAAAAAAGCAAAGAAAGACCAAAATGAAGAGGTCGTCTCCAAATTAAACAAATAATATTCCATGAAAAATAAATTTGGACTGTCCATAACAGAAAAAGTTTAAAGCAACTTCGAAGAACAGTTGTGCGTGAATGAGTTTACAATGCCCCTTCACTTACATTCAAACTATTTTTTGACTAATAAAAAACACACCGACAGGCTGTGCATTAAAAATCAGATTCATGATGGAAGTCTCTCTGCAGTAGGGTTGGTTGTTGAAATTTAAGGAGGCGCGACCAGACATTGAAAATTAATACATACTCGTATATTCGTGTACATAGGGTTTTGTCCTGTCTTATCTTTTCAACACAGCCTGAGATAATTTCAACTATCGACCACTAGGAGACTTAATGTATTAGCTAGCATGAAAATAGTAACTTAAGTGAACAATGTATCATCATTTCCTAGAATACTACAGAAAGAGGAGACATCAAAACCCAAGAAAATGAGGAAGTTGAAATTTCTAGTCAAAGAGGGTCGTCTCAGGAAGCATTCCCCAACATAGAGGGGAAAGAATCTTGATAGGTACCTCAGGGCTAATTCCACGTAAAAAAGGAATAAAGATGCAGACAAAACCTCCATGTTAAAAGAGAATCAACATGAAATTTATTAGGAACACTTAATCGAGAAAAATAAAAAAGAGAATAAAAATGGTGAGGCAGAAAAAGACTAGAGAGCAAAATGAAATCATCAACGTTAAATTCTTGCCCAAAAATTTTCTTCGCCTTGTCGGCTACCTTCTTATTTAAAAAAAGTCAATATTCACTGCCTACCTTCGGTAGTAAATAATAGCATTCAATAAAAAATATTATCCTGTATTGCTTGTTGTTAGCTTTTTTTTTTTTTTTTTTTTTTTTTTTTTTTTTACCTGATCCACACAAGTATTTTCCCCCTTTCTTCAGTTTTTAAAAAGCATCATTTTATTTTTTTTTAAACTGTTCTCTTTGTCATACAATATATACATTTAGGACTTTGAAAATATTTCACTACTGATGATTTCTAAGATGAATAAAGATATATAGTTTGAGAGAGATACAAATTAAAACAACTTCATCTACCTAAGTACACTTATAAAAAACTGTTAAGAGTTCAAAATGAAAATTCGAACGTTTCCATGATTAATGGTGTAACTACTGGTTTGTTGGTCCTTAAAATTTTTAACAACAAAAGGAACCCCCCTCCCCCAAATTACAACTGATTTTTCAAAGTGGCGGTGAGCGGTTAAGTCATGAACGCGGGATAACATCAAATGAAAGCGTACTGCTGTTGTCTGAATGCTGATTGGTTGCTGACAAACCTGAAGATTTACACATTGTCAGGCTCACCCTCCTAAAATGTCGATGGTTCCTTTGAAAAATTAACTTCAAGGATGGTCAGCATAAATAAAGTCATGCAAAAGGAGCCCAAGAATACGTATCAAATTCTTGTGAGTGCGAACATTTTTAAAATAGGTTTTGGATTTATCTGATGTTGATATCTGTTCTGAGAAATTCATCAAAGAATTTCAAATTACTTTGAAAAAAAATGCATGTTTTTTGAAATCCAAAGATTGACATAAAAGGCGAACAGTAATCGGATGCTCACGTATTCCTTGAGTTTCTTTACTTTCAGCATACTTAATACATATCTGAAAGTAATCAATTCTAATGTACAAAAATTCGTAGTTGAAACCATATTGCGTTCTTCCATTAACTCCAGCAAAGAGTAATTGAAACCTAATGACTGAACTTTCTTTTAAACTAGTTTGATAAGGTCCTTAAAAATATCATATACACCAGCAGCCTGATCGTTGAAATTTTGTGTTTGTCCGGTAGACAAAGATGAAATAGGTTAAAAGGCGGAGCAAGATTGGTCGGCTAAGTTTTAACGCTGCTTTATCATGCCTATGTTGGGTGAAACTCATGACAAGCTAAAGGCACCTCAAAAGTTTCCAACAGTACGTTGTCCATTCCGCCTGACAAAGGTGTGATGAAGCAGCGATAAAACATGGCCAACCAATCACACTCCGCCTTTTCACTTATGCCATCTATGTCTACCCGACAAACACAAAATATCAACAATCAGGCTGCTGACTTGAAGACTGAAGGTTATTAAGTCCCCAACTGTGACAGAGTTGGACCTTTTTCAATCGTCAATTGACAATTGGCAAAACTAAAAATAAAAATACCGATAAAAAAACAACAAAACCTGAGAGGAACATAAATTACGAGGAATTTAGGAGGTAAAAACACAAGAAAAGAAAAGAATGAATAAAATAATAAAATCATAAAAATAAAGAAGAAGTAATAGAAATGAAAAATACACATGAGTCCGATTAGCCCTTAAAAAAGGGTACATGACTTAGGGCAAATAAATTGCAAATCACTTAAAATAGTTGGAAAACAGAAGTGAGAGGTATGGTCTTCTATTAAGAGTCACACTTTCCTTAAGTATATACAGCCTTTATTATCCTACTATAATTTGTTCTCTGTATAAGAACATTTAGCAAAAAGCAGAACATTTCTAGGTAGCTGTTTTATATCTTCGAACATATTGGTATTTTTTAGTGATAAATACAGTATTAGGACATGTTTTCATACAGGATAAAAAAAATCAGTCTTTTAAATGTTTTTACCGCAGCAAAAAAACTCATACTTACTAACATGAAATTGCGTATCAATGGTGAAACTGCGGAAATGCATATCTTGGTTTGTTGCGTTGCAAACTTCTTGTAACACTTTATTCTCTCTATAAAAAACTTCCAACTGTCATTTCTTGAAAATTTTGGCGATTTTTCTTTTCTGTGTGAGGGCTTTTTATGAGAACTTATGGCTATGATGTTGGATTGGTCTACTTTTAAAAAATTGAATTGGAGCAGAGATTTTGAAACAACGCAGCCAAGGTGAGCATTTTTGCAGTGTCACTGTTGATGTTTTGGAATATCACTCAATTTCTTTGAGTATGATGAAATTCTGAAAATGAGTCTGAAAGGAGGCAAAATTAATGTGTCATCTTATCTTGTTTCATAGAAAGATAGTTAAAGGTTCAGAAGCTTGATGCAAGGTTCTTTCCAGCTAAAAAGGATAGACTATCATAGCGTTGAAATATGTGGTGTATCATTTTTCCACTTCAGCAAGCAGCCTATTTTGCCGAGAAAGGGAAACCTGCCACAATCTAGACAAATCTCAGAAAGGAAAAAAATTCAGAAAATCATTTTATCATGCTGTTACCCTCTTTTCAAAGTATACTTGCTACAAAAAATGTAGGTACTGCATCAGGATGCAATTTCAACGACGATTTCAAATTCTCATCTTCTGATTTGAAACAAATGAGGGTACACTTTTGTGCCTTAAGAGGGAGACATAATTTCAAACAATGTCTAATTCCTGATAGGAAGATATATCACAGAGGGAAATATTCATTTCCAGACTTTTTATCTTTGGTAAAAGAACAGTAATTTCATTGGAAAACAGAGCAAGTTGAAATATTCTAATACTTGCATTACTTGCTTGTCAGTTGATTGGATCTATTTTCATAGAGTTTCGGGAGTTCTGCTTCGAGATGAATGACTTGTACTTTTGACTGTAGCTGCCAATCTGAATCTAATGATTTCTTCAGGAAGCCCATACTTGACTCTCCTTCTTTCAGATTCACAAAAGTGACTTGATACGAAACCAGTTCTTGCAGACCATCTTGGTTGAGATCACTTAATAACACTGAAAAAAGTTACATGTGACTTTAGGGGGCGAAACACACAAATTTGTCATAATATGTGAAGCACGACTATAAAATTTTGAGATTAAATCACAAGGCTACAAGACTCAGTTTTATTTCTCTTGTCAAATTCTTTACAGATCCATAAACCTTAAATTCATTGAAAATATACTTAATTTTATACATATAATGTTTCAATGCAAAACAGATTTCTTGTTCTGACAATGATCCTTGATCTGGCTTGACCGTCAATAATTAGTTCATCTAATAGTGCGTAAGAACGGTAAAAGCTTCACCAACAGTCTGCAAGGTTCATTCAATGAGAAAGTCGTTTTTTCTGACACTTCACTCCGCTCCAAAAATACTGCATTTTAAACCAAACTCTTGAAGTTCCACAGTTGTTAAATGACGACACGCAAAATTTTTCATGCATAATCAACGTAAAGGCCTCAGAGATAAAGTTTTACAAAATCCAATCCAGACAAATACTTGGGAATTACAAAATAATTGTTGGCAAAGAAAGAAATGATGAATACGTATTGTGGTAAATGCGCATAGCGATGGCAGCTGCTTTTTTTCTTGAGCTTGTTGCAATGATAGCGGTGTCTAGGATACTTTACCTCAGGTAGAGACACGCTCATTATCGCTATCATTGCTATATCGCCCGCTATCATCGCAACTTGCAATGATAGCGGTGTCTAGGATACTCTACCTGTGGTAGCCCTACTTGACCAATTGACTGAGCAATGTGCCTCTGTTGGGCGTTTCTTTTTTCAGGAAAATCTGGAATTTCATGACAATGCCAGAGACATTAACTTCCTTCCTTGAACAAAGGAAATTAGAGTACTTACTTGACTGTCCTTGCAGTTGATGATCTGGCTGGCACTGTTTTGCATAACACAACTGTGTGATATCACTTTGACTCGCACTAACTACATGAAGATTTCCAGTTCCGTTGAAAACAATGAGTATAACATTTTCTCTCACTTTGCGCACAGCAAAATGGTCTTTACTAGTTTCTTCCACCTGAAAGCATGAAAATCATGGAATGAAAAAACAAAAATCTTCACTTTACAAAAGGCAAATAGATAGAATCTTGGATTTTATTTTTGTTGAAACATCAATGGAAGAAAAACTAGAGGAAAATTATACAAAGTCACCACTCAGATAGTGAGCTTCTAGACTGGGTGTAAATTAGAGCAGCGCACGACATGTTCCCTCTTTAAAATCGCACGTAGAAAACAAATCATCCATCGGGGAGTATGGAAATCAACTTCTAAACATAATACATAAAAAAGTTTATAATTAAAATAGGCAAAAATACAAAAGAGGACATTTGTATAATTTAGCTTCCACTTGATCTATGTTGAAAATACTTGTTCATATCTTGTTCGAAAGTTGATTTTCTTACTTCCTGTAGTGAAAATAGTTTTTAACGTAGAATTTTAAAAATAAAACAAAAGACGTTCATTTCTAGTACAGGCCAAGTCTAGTGGCCCATTAGAGCTGATGATAATAAATGAAAAGGTCTTGATTATGTAAGCAGTGCACCAAAAATTTTGAACTATGCCACTGACTGAATGCTACCATGGATATCTTCTGTTGCTTCCAAGGTGGAATCTTGCAAATATATTATTATACTTTTAGCTACAATTAGAAATAAATGTAATTTTGTATACTGAATAAAAGACAATATAATTAGCGACTACAACAAAGATTTTGAGCGACCGATCAAGAGTTTACACTCTTGGTTAGCTTCCATTAACTAAGTTATGATTTAGTTTTAAATTGAAGCATGTTTCAACTTAAATTTACAGGTATGGTGACCATTCCTTTGTCTAGATAAGGGCTTTTTTCCCTGTTTTCAAAAATATACTGTCAAGGTAATTGCTAAAGTGATTAACTGTTCATTTTGAGGTATCTTCTAAAAGCAACTACAAATTTAAGGTAATTCGATGGGCACTATATTTTGTGTCAGAACAGCATATGATAGATCACATCAATTCGTTCCATTTTTTCAGCTACTCGTCATTTTCCTTGAATTTTGAGATCCCAATTCTGTTGTCAGGAGTCTAAAGAATTGACTTACCAATTTTGACGAACAAATTCAATGTGGTATAGGTGTGGTTTTTTTAGAGAGAAAATATCGCATTCGAATGCAGTTTCGATATCGTTATCAAATGCCATATTTTCTCTCTATAAAATCACACCAATACCACATTGAATATGTTTGTCAAAATTGGTAAGTGAATTCTTTAGTCTCCTGACAACAGAATTGCTATCTCAAAATTCGAGAAAAATGACGAATGGCTGAAAAATTTAACCAATTGATGCGATATATTGCATGTCGTTTTGACATAAAATATGGGGTCCATTGGATCACCTCAAGTTTAAAATATATATAAAAAGCAGATGTCAGTCTAAAGACAAAACTGAATAATTAGAAGGCAAAGAAATAACAAAACAAAGTTTGGCGGATTACGTACTTGCGAAGAGGGTAGCCACTCCCAAACTTTCAGTAGGAAGCCTGAGACAGAATTTTTAAACTGAATGGTAACAGGGATCATCACGGTTGATAGTTCAGAAAAATGGCGCCAGAACACTTTCCCTTTACTATCCATTACTGTGATGTTCACGAAACAATCAAACGGTGGAGTTCCATGATTTTCTACAGTCAGAGTATGCTCACCAACAGTGTAGTTTTTATGAAAAATAATACGTTCGTGTTGCTTCAGTGTGTAGGAACTTCTGTTAATATTAATGGCATTGGTGGATTTGAACACATCACTCAAATTTAACGTTGCGGTTTTTTCTAAAGTAAACAAAAACAAATTGATCAACAAACAATTATAAACATGTATTTTACAGCTGAAAGTAGTTTTCACTTATTTGTAAGGATAATGGCTGATGGCAGGGACAGAGTTCTATGTATTTTATCAGAGCAGGCAGGGTGTTGTGTCTTTTTAAAAAATATCAGGAGGGATGTTCAATTAATTCAAAATATCTCAACCGATTATCTTTGTTTGTTAACACACAGGGTGATCTCACCTAGGAACTCAGTTCACAAGATAAAAAATTAGATTTTAATCTATTTAAGACTGACCATGGGAAAAGAGACAACAGCATTGGAAAACTAAACATGGAGATATTGATGCCACTGATCAAAGAAAAAAGGTTCATAACAATGCTGGACCATAAATGGTTCCTTGCATGGTACGCAGGGATGGTGAGTGGCACTTTCCTTAATCGCCGCTAGACGTAAACCCCAGTAATTTTCAGCTGTTCTCAGAACTTCAATCTGGTCTAGGGGGTAGTAAGTTCACCACTGGGGATGAAGTAAAAAAATCTTCTTTTCCTGGCTTCAAAATCAAAGACAAGGACCTCTTCACAGCTGACATCAAGAGAGCTGTAGCATTCATATCCATTGAGTTTGCACATAAAAAGAGATTGCTTTCAAAAGTTAGGTGAGCTCTTTAAAACTCATCTTTTACTGGACCATTGATTTTATGTTGTTGTTCTGATTATTGATGTGGATGTTGAAGATAAATTTTTGAACCTGCACGAGGGCTGTTCCCCGGTAAAATGGACTTTTTTAGCGAACCAGTGGGCCGATTCCTGATTACTTTACCTTGTTGGCAAGCTGAGAGTATGACAGAAACACTGTTCTTTACCGCAGTCATTTATTGTTAATACGTTCGGAGAAATAAGCAGCTTGATCTTCAGAAAATGCTTGATCACCTGATTGGGCAGGCGCATGAAAATGTGGAAAGGCTCTTGTAAATGTGGAGGGAGGGATGTTTTTTAGGGGAGTCAAAAGGAAAAATAAAAGGAACTTAGAAGAAAAACGTCCTCGCTTATGAGATATGAGGGAAATTTTTTAAAGAGTCAATAAGAAAAATGTGAAAAGCCAGCGGATAGATGCGTGAAAACGTGGAGGCTTGAGAGATTTTGCACCCTAAGAAATGAGACGATGGAACTTACTTTTGGTGCAACCCCCATAATTTAATAGTTTGATTAAAGTCAAAAATGGTTATACAATGTTTAAAAGGACATGATGATAAAATTGAAAAGTACTTACCATCGTTTGAATTCAATTTACAAACATATAATAATGTGATTTGAGATAAATCAAAGCCTAGATTACTCATTTCCACACAATCTTTGTTTTCTATTAATTTCACAGAACCATCAGACCCTGAAATGATTAACAGTTGATATTTGTTATGGTTATCAGTGGTTGATGATTGATTATCACAGCTAATTGTGGCCAGTTCCGGCACTTTGTCACCATTCAAATCGGGTAATATCACAGGAAATTCAAAATCAATGTCTTTACTTTGGTAAAGGGTAGATAAAGATGGGTATCGCCACTTTGTCTCACCTGAAATACAAATAAAAAAAATGATTGACGCAAAGAAAAATTGGGAGGGAAAAATGTTAAGGAAAATTATGGAGTTTCATAAATTTCTGAAACAACTTGAGACGTTTCTTTAAGTTGGAATATTGTTGCAACGTTGTCAATTTTCATCACTTGAATGCACCGCAGAGAACGCACTTTCCAAATTGAGTTTCCAGCTCTAAATTCAAATTAACATTCCCATCTGATTCAGATACTTAAATTTAGCGAGTGCATTCTAATAACCGGCTAAATGAAGATTATTTCTTGTCTAAACATCACCTTCGGTAAGGCAATCTTAATTCTTCTACTTGCTTCTTAATGTTGCTAATGGCTTTGTCATCTTTCGTGTGAGGTTCTTAAAATATATTGTCATTTAAAAGGATAAAATAAATGTGAAAAAGAATAATCATAATAGATCTTGCAAGAAAATTAAATAATCCAGCATTGGATGTTAAAGATGATACTTTATAAAGTAAAAAAAAGAATGTATTATAAATTATATTTCAGCATTATGAAAAGTCTAAAACCTTTTTGTTCTTGTAACTTACGATAATCTTTACCCGGATCAAACAGATGTTCAATTGATTAGATGGAAAAATGTATGATACAAAAAACTAACCTTTAATCGGTGAAACAGCAGCGATAAAAGCCTTCCCAGTGACAATGCATTCATTGACACCGTCATTATCAGTGTCAATTAGGGCACAATCTATGTCCGTGGGAGGATTATTCAACCTTCGATAGCTTGGCCAAGCTAGAGCACCATTTGAACTAATTAAAGAGACTAATCCTCCACCTTGGGGTGGAAAATTATCTCCTCTTAATGGAACGTGTAACTTCTTCCATAAAGAGCCTCGTAACATAAACAATAAATTTTGGTCCCTATCCCAGGAACCTTCGATTATGGTGATGGCTCCTTTGATCTCTGAAACGATAAGGACATTTTTTTCTTAAAATAGGTAGTGAAAAATTAATTCAGTACTGACACAGTTCTCAACAGTTATCCAACACGAAATGAAGGGCTTTTAGAAACTTCTTGAGGATTTCAGGAAATATTTTCTTGGTCTTCCAAACTTTTTTGAAAGTTTGGGAGTCTTGATTTACTGGAAAAATGTCATAATAATGAAAAATTCTATCCCCCATGTACCTTTATTTTCTGCTACAAGTATCTGTATCAACTATACTCGAATCATCTGAAAATATAAAAGTTGAAGCTGCAGACTAATTTTCAGATTTATAGCAGCATAAGTTGTTTTTGAAAATTTTAGGATACATCTGAGAAAACTGTGTGAAGATATCTAGAGTTCCATTTAAACACGATATTATACATTTTTGACAGCACAATTTCATTCCTTCCAAGACGTTCCAAATTGGCAAGGGACGGATGTGACTATTACACGTCAAAAACTGTGACTGTGGCAGCATTAAAATGAAGAAAAGGGTATTTGTGAAACTGTAGGGAGGAAACTAAACTAAATATGTGAGGGTATAAAAAGTTGTGTCTGTGGACTAATTTTCAGATTTTAAGCAGCACATATTCAAACCTTGTGCAACAAGCCCAACCAATAGAGGCCTCTACATTCACAAAGTGAACCTCCTCACGGTTTAACTTTAAAACCTGTTCAGGACAGATTGAAATGATAAAGCTTTGAATTTATTTTCTTCCTTCTTCATTTTTGACTCAACAGCATTTTTTGAGGGGGGCAGAGTTTGCAGTCCTCAGAAGTCCAAAACAAGGACCACATTAATTTATAGACAGAACGATAAGGTTTAGAGTCAAAGCTTACCGAGATCAATCAGGAGTTTTTCCCACGAGGTCGTTGAAAGTAATTGCAGTTTTGCTGGACAAGTTTCGATACCACAAGGGACAATCCATAGAAATATTATAACTGTACTTATGCAAATAAATATGGAGGAGATAAAAGCTATTTTCCGCAAATTTGACATAGGCTTTACGTAATATAGTTCATTTTTTGGGGACCCTCCTGGTTGAGTTTTTGTTGATGTTGAGGATGTGCGCGTATTCTGCGACCTTTCCATTGACTCCAAGGGCTGGTAGTTAGTTTTCAAAGTCCCTATAAAAGATAAAAAATGTTCAAATTAGATAAAGGTACATGGTCAAAATAAACTTACCCTACACTGTTAGTACGTTTTCTCAACGCATCTAAACAGTCCCAACAACCTCAGGAGACTATGGAGTAAAAACTTTGGACATTCAAATGTAAACCCTCAAGTCATAGGGTTATTCTTAAGGAGTCGAAGAGTGGGAACAGTTTGGAATCGAGAAGTTTTGTTTCCAAACAGATTAATTCCACTTTGCAGTATTTCAGAACTGAAGAAACATTAGTATTTAAACATCAAGAACTAAAAAAAAAATATTGTGGAAAGACCTGCACTTAGGAAGTTTATCTATCTATTCAGATCATTCATATTTGTCTGTATGAGGTCGATCAGATCTATTGAAAAATAAGGCTGGTATCAGCTTCAGTGGTAATGATCATACTGCGTCTCATAATTAAAGACTTCTTTGTTAAAAGGTCATTTAAGGTAATTCGACGGCTGCCATTTTTTGTGTCAGAGGGATGTATGATATGTCGCATCAATTTGTTCCATAATTTCAGCTACTTGTCATTTTTTTCGAATTTTGAGATCGCACTTCTGTTGTCAAGAGACTAAAGAATTCATGTACCAAATTTGACAAAGAAATTCAACGTAATGAAGGCAGGGTTTTTTTTTTTTTTTTTTTTAGAAGAAAAATATCACATTCGATCCTGATATCGAAACTGCAATCGAATGCGATATTTTTCCTCTGAAAAAACCCTGCCTTTAATACGTTGAATTTCTTTGTCAAATTAGGTAAGTGAATTCTTTAGTCTCATCAAAATAGAAGTGCCATCTCAAAATTCGAAAAAAAATGACAAGTTACTGAAATAATGGAACGGATTGATGCGATATATCGCACGTCGCTGTGACACAAAAAATGGCAACTGTCAAATCACCTTAACATACGCATATATACATGAATTAAATATTTCTCATTTTCTAGTTAAGATTGGGAATGAACCGTGTTTTCAACATCATGTTTTCTTTAACTTACTATCCACAATTAAAAAAGCTGTAGAAAACAGCTGTCACTGTGTAACTCAAAGGTCTTTATTCTGGTAACAGTAAACTGGAAAATAAAACGAAAACTTTTACCATTTTCCTGATCCAAAGAGCTTGTGTCATCTAGACGAATACGATTTTTCAATATAATTTGAAATCCATGGGTTTGAATAATGCTTTGTATTTCTTCTTCTGATAATTCAGAATCGCTGTATGCTTGAGGTATCAACTTGTACTTTGCATCTATGCCTGGAGTAGCTCTTGACATCACACTGAATTAGCCTGCAGTTATGAAAAACATATGGTAAACAGAATTCTTTTTCCACATTTAAAAATCACGATACAGTTTCAATTAAAATACAGCTAAAGGATTAAGCAAGTACAGCAAAATATTCGTTGAGCAGAGAGACTGCAGGCTCCTCACCAGTAGATCTGGGTAGTAGGCTTGTGACAGCCAGGAAAATGGAAACAAGCTGCATACTTAAGAGGCAAGAGAGAAGAAACAGAGGTTGCTCTTGCATCTGACTAGCGCATCATTTAAGTTAATGACTCATATATCGACGGTGTAAGTCAGCGATCATATGACTCGGTTTGCGGCGTCACAGACTACCTGTCATATCTTATTCTTCAAATGGAACTACTCAACGGCAATTCTATGAAACTGCCAAGATTTTTCTACTCTGCGCTAAAAAAATTCTGCAAAAATTTCAAGGAATGATGTCAATTTTTCCTCCTTTAAAAAAATAACATGGAGGCGGAGATTTTCAGACACCGCAAACGAGATATGTGATTGCGGACTTACATCGTCGATATTCATAAGTAACTATCAAATTAATCCTCTGAATTATAGGAAGTGTGCTTTGGACTTGTGTCTGTTGGGTTTTGTAATTGTAGGTAAATGAAAGGCCGGGAACATTATTTTAAATGGACATTGAAATTTCTTGACTTGTAAGTAGGGATGATACTCCAATGTAAGTAAGCACTGAACTTTTCTTTCAAGTAACGGATAATATTTCATTTTCAAATCATCTATCTAGCTACAGTGTAAAACTGGATTGCACCTGGAATCGTATGAAATTTACACTCTCATGCTTACACTAAGCTGCTTAGTGCTGGTCTGTGCTTAGTCTAAGCAAAGATAGCACAGACTGACTTGAGAGCTTCTACAAATGATTGTCTTTGAACAGTAAAACATTTGTTTTAACAGATAATGCTCAATTACAATAGAAGTATCTTGGCTTCTTCGAATTTTTTTTGCTCCATTTTGCGGTGAAAAGCTTACAGCTTCGGAAAGAACTCAAATGGACAAATGATAACGAGGAGTGCCTATGTAATATAGCGTTTTTTCAGAATCAGTTGTGAACACAGCATACTTACGAAGATGGGTCAGCAAAAGAATAAAAAAAGGAAGATAATATCTCTCGAGAATAAGCATGGATGCAAGTGAGTGAGCTTTAAGCACCGACTTTCACTAGATCATGTAAACTGCTGTAAAAAAGATGAAAAAATGCTTTCATGTTTAAGTATTGCAATAAATTTAAATGATATTGATATACGAAAACATCGGTAGTAATCTGACCACGAATGTCCTTTCAAAGTTCTGCAGAAAGAGCACTAAGATATTTGAAACAGCTTTCAATTTTCGCAACTCAGAAATATAATCATAGTTTATCTTATCCTTATCACAATTGATAATAACAAGCGAATTTTTTGCGGACTGATTAACCCATGGTCGAAGAAGTAACATACGTCGGACAGACCCGTGTGAATCTATCAGAACGCCATCAGAACGCCTATATACTAAGCGACCAGGACTCGCTGAACCGTACCGAGGAAGCCGCGCGCCGTAACTTAGTTCCGCCCGCCGCCGCTGCGACGCTCACGCTATCTGTGCGCCTCACAACCTCCTGCGACGTACTCCACTACCACTGTCTCATTGATANTGACGTCATTTCGCTGACTTCCCTTTTTGAGTTTAACAACGCGTCTACAGCAACGTCCCCTTCACGCTGTACCCACCTACGTCATCAAGTCATCAAAAAATTCCAAGATGCCCGAAATGCAAACACCTCCTTTTTTTTCTCTATGCGTTTCCGTTGTCCGCTTCGCTACGTACCGCAACCGCACTACCGCAACCCGCAACTCAACGCAGCTTCGCGGAGTCGGGAGTTCGCGGTTTCGTTTTCGTACACCAAACAAATTTTACGTGCCGTCGCCGCGTGAACGTGTTTTCAGTGTCATTTCTATTAGTGCTAGACTCTTTTTAAGTGCAGCATAGTTTGCCTGTTTTCAAGCTGTGTTTCGTGCATTTTAGCCGGAGAGAAAGAAGACCAACATCATCCTATTTTACCGACTGTTTCTCAACTTTTAATGAGGGTCGTGTAGTGTTCAGTTTTAGAGGTTAGCCTGATTTCCAACCATTTTGTCTGCACTTATTTTTTGAATATTACTTTTCTCATCCACTCTTAGAATTCCTTTATTTAATCTCACTTTCAAGAACTTGCTAATTTGCTGATTATTTGGGAGATTTGAACCTTTCCTCACTAAAACGATCTAGTTGCTATGCATGGTTTTGGCGGTGTGCGCTATACAATTAAAATGTCTATTATTGCACAGACATGGACTCAAAAGGATGGTTTAAGTAGTGAGCAGTCATGTTTTATCTCTGTTCACGAATCTCACTTAATCTCTTCAACCAATTGATTAATTTTGCACTGGAATTCATCAATAAGTTGCACTGTCTTCCGTAGTTCAGGGGGGCCCTGCAATTAGTATCAGCAAAAGTAAATTCCAGAAACCTGAGGTGAACGTTGCTATCAAATCTTTCCGTTATCAGATGGCTCTCTGGCCCATCAAGTAGTGGTGGCAGGGCGTCTAGCCATTTGTCATGATGTGACATGCAGGTGAGGTTAGGTTGAACAGAGAAGTCAAAGCTCTCATTTTAAATTAAAAGTCTCCATAACATTCAGTGTCAGAGATATATTCAAAGAACTTGAGTGCCTCTCCCAGATGTTTATCTAATTGAAAAACTGTAGAGAAAGTTTTAGATGTACGATGTAGTGTTACCATCGTTCTCCTACTCTTTAGCTGCATTGACGATTCAAACTCGGCCAATACTATTTAGAACTGGGGAAAGAAACGAAGAGACAAATGTCACATCCAAAAATCGCACCATTCAATAGATATTTACATGCTAACCCATGGGCCAACTGATGATTGATGCATCTAGACTGATGTGACTTATGCCTCTTCTTTTCTTTCCCCAGTTCTAGTTCTGCTTTTTTAATGCAGCCTATCAGTTCAAATGTCCTTAAAAATTTTCAGAAAGTAACGTTGAACACATGGTCGTCAACACCTCAGCTACCAAAGTGTGAAACGTTAGGGCATGCATGCGTGGGCTGCAGCTCCTTAAATTTCAAAATTAAGTAAGAACACTGCTTCCATCCATTCTGAAATGTCAATGAATCTGCAGCATTTTCCTCACTGAAAGAAAAGGCTCTGCTCCTGTCTGTTAGAACCTATATCTTGATCTTATAATAGATAGCACAATTTTATTCTTTTTCCAGGTTAATGGTCATGTCGTTTCCGGGTCGACCTCCCATGGTTCCTGGCATTCCGATGCCACCAGGAATGGGAATGCCGTACATGTCCATTGGTGGTAAGATTTTTCATTTTCATTATTGGTACTGAAAAGACATCGTCGCAGAGTAGATTTGTTACATTTTGAGATGAAAATCATATATTTTCTGCATCAACCATGGACTGTGATTTCATTTGTAGGAATGTATTTTACATCAATTATAGATTAATTTTTTTCTCATCATGAAACGAATCTACTTCGGTAATACCTCACCAATCTCGTTTTTCAAGAATGGACCACTAGAGAAGGTACGAATTTAAGCATTCTGATACATGTATCTTAACGAAAATTTCACATCGAACACGATTTGCGCAACAGAAATTACTGAAACCAACTCCAAACGGAGATATCAACATTTTAATTTCACATTGGTTACGAGGAATTTGAACTGCCCGCTCACAAGAAACTCAAAGCTCTACATGAGTCAAATCGTGCACTATAACGGTTTGAGCAAGCTTCTCAATCGAGCAATGCTCATTTCCCTCTATGTGTTGTTCAAACCACAAGAAATTTGCTATAGCTGAGCCAAAGCGTAAAGATTGAGGTTGCCAGATTATTCTATCGCAAAGACGTTCATGATACCGTTTAGCGCGCGATGTGAATCTTGTAGAGCATTGGGTTTTCATGAGCGGGTGGTTTCAATTCACGCACCAAGAATTATTAAATATCTTCGGATGGAGTAGATTTCGGTTATTTTCGTTGTGCGCATCGTGTTTTACGTGAAATTTTGGTGAAGAAACATGTATCAGAATGCTGAAATTCGTACCTTGTCTAGTGGTCCATTTAAAGTACCCAAGGTAGCGCATTGAAATTCTACAAGAACTGGGCTGAAGTAAGTAATGTGTAGTAGCAAAGTTGACCTATGCTAGTCTGACCTTGCCTTGCATAAAATCCCAACCCATACCGGAGTCGTTTTCCTTTGGTTTTTTTATAGCATCCGGTTTCAACAATTTTTCCAGATGCAGGTAGATAAATGTACTGTGGTTAAGGAGTTCTCTATATGAAGGTGCACCTTGTTTACATCGCGCACCAGTATTCTATCTATTGTGCGTCAATCTAGGTATCATCCATTTTATTTTAAATTTAAATACTTTTGTCCCCTTGTTCCGTAACTAACTAACTAAATAACTTCTTCTTTTGCTTCCAGGTGGACCACCATTGATGCCTGTAGCAATGCCAATGGCTCCGGTAAATTATGATTTCTGCTCTTAAACTTCTCTAACTTCCTGCATATTTAACCTTTTCTTGTCTCAAAGGAAGGATAGCTTTTAATAGTATTGACTCATTTATGGTGATTGAAAAGAAGGTGCAGTCAAGCAAATGTGCGATTTATGGCTCTAATTGGGTCAAAACTCCAGACAGGTTTTGACTTTGACCAGAAAAGAAAGCAAAACGCTGGTAGCTACTGCAGATGAATCTAATGGCCTAAGAATGATTATTAATTCTAATGAGTTACTTTGGTGACCGGTTGTCAGGAATATTCATTTCGTGCTTGCAAATTTTTCCGTTGCCCAGTGCAATTGCTTTAATGTCAGTCAAAATCTTAGAATTCTTCTTTTTCTGCCACTAAAAGCTTGAAAAACATCCTTGTTTGAGAGAGAGTTGATAAATTATTAGTTGCACGAGCAAGTACCTTGAATTTTTGTCAAAATCTTAGATATACCTCACAATCTTCACTCTAAGTGTAAGAAATTGTCATGTTTAATTATGAGCTTTTCTTTACTTTTAGATGATGCCCGGTCCAGGAATGGTTCCGCCTCCAGGTATCCGTCCTTACACAGCACCACCACCACGCTCCCAACCGCATCAAAATAATATGGCAAAAAAACCCTCAACTCCAACAAAGAAGCCCGATCCTGAACCAGAGAAACCACCTGGGCCTCCGGTAGTTGTATTTGTCGGTAACATAACTGAAAAAGCGCCAGATGCAATGATACGACACATTTTAGCTGCCTGTGGTCCTGTCCATTCTTGGAAAAGGGTTCAAGGTAAATTCACATCTAAATCATTTTAATACAGGGGTCCAAAAAGTTTTAGAACAAAAACGGATTCTTGCAAAGTGGCCCTTTCGCCTCACTGCAATTTTTTTTTCTAATTTTGTCTGCAAGAAGAATCAAAAAAATAGCAAATGCTCCCCTTTTTTAAAGTCATCAGGAATGGGGAAGAAAAGAAGGAACAAGGAAACAAAGTAATCTCCTCTCTCAGCACTTTTTATCACAAATGTCTGTAGAACGCTCTTCTATGTTCTGTTATTCATTAAAAACTAAAGTTTGAGTCTTTGTGGACTGAGCCATTTTATCCCACCCGCTGTCACAATAAATATATTTTGTGAGTCATAAATATCTGCTCTGCAGCCCTAATCAGTTGTTGTGTAATGATTTTTTTCAGGTTTTGGTTTTTGCGAGTATGCCAGCCCTGAATCTGGATTGCGAGCAATCAGATTACTACATGAAATGGATATAGGTGGAAAGAAATTAGTAGTCAGAGTTGATGCTAAGACAAAAACAATATTGGATGAATTCAAAGGTCAGTTCAATTTTTAGAACATTCAATAATTTAACGTTTTCATTTTCTCTCTCAGAAATACATTGTTCAAACCGCTTTTATGAGAATGCAATCAGTCAGGCGATATCCTTCAATTTAAGTGGTTTTTGCTCTTTTTGTCCGAATATGCAATGAAAATTCAGCTTGTAACCTTTCATTTATCAGTTTTCACGCTCATCATGTGACTATCCCACATAGAGACCTAGTCTATTTTGAAGCTACCTGATGTCAGAAACCAAAATATTATGCTGTATGCATGGGCGGAAGTGCCTAGCCTTGGAAGTGGCGCATATCCAATTTCTGACCAATCATTTGTGTCAAGAGAGGATTGAAAGCTTAATTTTTGAGAGATGTAATGGATGATAAAGCTTAAGGAAGAAAGATGCACCAATCACGTAGCCCAGAAATAGAAATGCAATAGAATAAGAACTAGAAACATGATCAAATGAGGTTAAAAAGTTGAAAAAACTTAGAAGGGAGGACTTTTCAGTCCGTCAGAGGCTCATTGTTAGTTGTAGGTAACAATGGAAAATCAGTAAAAGAATTGAGCTGCCGCTCTATCCCAGTAACTATTCTAAAATCTGAATTTTCAGCTGAAAAAACGAAAAAGCAAGATGGGAGTTCTACACCAACAACTGAAGAGCCGGAAGAAGATGGATATCTTGATGAAAATATTAAAAAAATTGATGACTCAGCTATGCAGCGGATCCAACAAATCATGTTAGACTATGATGATGACATGAAAAAACATGTGCCTTCTGCTAATGCTCAGCTTCAACTGCCAAAAACAGGTAACTTTTTTTGTTTTATTATTCTTGATTGTATTCCTTAGTACAAGTATCAAAAGCTTGAAATTGTGACTTAGAGATCAAGTGTGTTACTGCAGCACCAGCTTTTCAAGGCTGGTAGCTAGTCAAAACTTGACCTTCTTGCATCCCGCAAGTGACAGAGGCTGGTGCTACAAGCCTAATCACTTTAAGCTAGATCGAGCCTTGCCTCAATATTAACGGACAGTTAGTTCACCAGCACCTAGACTAATGTTGGGACGTCGATTCGATTGAATCTTAGATCTCGAGGATTTGGATTTGGGATTTGGTGTCAAAATACGCAAATCCGAATCCTCCAAAATTTCAAAATTCGTGCCATGAAGCCAAATCCCAAAGATTCCTTTAGGTTCTCAAACTGTGTCGAATATCGATATTGTCTCTCTATCTCATCGATCTCAAATTTCGACTCATTCCAGAATGTTTTCAAACTATAAATATCAATGTAAATACTTGCCGTGTCGAAATATCGCAACCATTGTTTGTTTATCTGCCTAATAATTTTTAAAAAGTACTGAGTTTCTGAAAAGTGAAGGATTTGCGATGAATTTGGATTCAAGGAATTCAAAAGTTAAAATTTGGGATTCGAATTCGGGTAAATTTAGAATTCGACTCAACACTAACCTGGAATGAGCGAAGCATAGGGCGAGACATGAAAAGAGCAGCTCTTGGTTTGGATAGATAAAGGAAGAGGGGCAGGGCGAAAGAGATCAAGCCGTAGCAGAAAAACAGAAGAGGTGATTGTGTAGCCCAGAGCAAGCAGAGGAGAAAGGAAGGAGGCAGCCTCTGCATTATAGACATTATTAGTTATCATGTCATAGCAATGAGTTAATCTCTTTCAACATGTCTGTTTAATGCTAAAGATACATCCAAGCAAATTACAATGAACACATCAAAAAAGTTCGAAATCCGCAATTTAGTGCGTAATCTGTGTATTTTATAACGATATGTTCAGCTACACTAAATCAGTGCTGAAACGCACAGAGTATTATTTTGATATTTCAGCAGGGGAGCCAGAGCCTCTCTGCCAATTTTTTTAACGAATTTTTGGGTCCTCACGGGCCCACTTGTAAAAATGGCAAAACTAGGGTTCTTTGTGTGAAGAAACCTTTGGCCTCTTTTCGATCAAAATTTAGATGAGACACTGCGTGACCTCCTCTTGTGAGCGCAGAACTGTTTTTACTATCAGATGAAGCTATTATTATTGATAAGCTGAAGCCAGCTTTCCCAGTCACAATTATTCCACTTCCGTATCACCACCTGAAATCGGAAGGATAAATGAAAACGGTGTCTTTCATTCTCTGCATGAACTTTTCTCCCTCTTTTTATTGCACCCTCTCAGCTCAATATCTTTAAGCTCAGGATCTCCGACCACTAAAACATTCTAATGAGTCTTTTCGGGCTTTACCCCCATTACTCTAAAGGCCATTAATCCATTGGAGTCAGGCCAGGCGAACCAAAGGTCAAAAAAAAAGAAAGGATCTCCAACCAGTCCTTTACATTTCACCCTTTAAAATCCTCAGAGTACTCTGCGCCGTAGATTATCTTCTTTCTCATACTTTATCAATTCTTTTTTACAGGCAAAGAAGTCACAGATCAACGAATAGCTAAAACACATGAGCGGCTTCTTCAGCTAACGCAAGCCTCAGAAGCTGCAAACAAAGATGGTGATAATACCAAGGTATGGTTCTTCTCGATTATTCTATTTAATATAAATTTAGTGGAAAGAAACATGCAAATTGTTGATGTATTCATTATAAGTTTTATCAATTACGGTTGAGTGAAAATGGTTTTTTGGCCTTGAATGAAATCGGGAGAAAAAAAGAAGTTTGAATGTAAGAACCAATATTTTTGTCTACAATCTTTGCAGCATGCCTAAAAATTTTCCCTGCTGTTTCTAATAACAGAGTTCTTTCAGGTCCACTGGCTAAATCCTTCCATGTAACACCACTCAAAACTAATCTGTTTGTTTCACAACTGAAAGATAGGAAAATCATTTTTCCCCGATATCCAGTAGTGTTAATGCTACCTATTTTCAGTTGAAAGCAAAAATGACCTTGGTCCTTCTCTAACACCCACGAGTGTTTTTGAGTCAGTTTTTTTTCTTTTAAAGGAAAAATAAATACAAAGGTGTTTTCTTAGTTTAGAACAGAACGCCTTTCTTTAAAAATTGGACCCAGAATCAGTTTAACTTTTTGGAAAACTGATCTGGGTTCACCAGTGTGAACAATCATCAAGCAGTTTTTCCGTAAGTAACCTTAAAATTTATAATTGAAATCCATGAATTAATCAAAATAGAATCGTCATTTAAGTAGATCATTATCTCAAATCTCCAATTCTTACATTTTTATTTGCAGCGCCTAGATTTGGATCCTGTCGAGTATGAAGAAGGAAAACGTGATCTCATCACTAGGGAAATAGGAAAATTCCGTGAAATCATGAAGGTAAGTCTCCCCCTTTTTCCATGTTAATTTTCGTCGCATATTATAGAAGCACAGTACTTACATGTCCTGCGTGTAAATGAAATCCGTCTCACAAAATTTAGATTTACGTCCATTCAAGTGGGGGATAAATAACAAACTATGTTATGAATTTTTCAAAAAAATTTATGAGAATATTTATGATGAAGTTTACTTCTCAGAATTTTCAAGCCTTAGCACACCTTTAAGTGTCTACAGTAGCTGGAAATATTCTCTAGCATGCTGTGCATGCACTCTTACATATATTTGCCGGTTGAATGAAAAAATGACCTTGGTATTTCTCCATCATGCACTGATTTTCGGGGGAAATTTTGTTTTTTCGGATAAAATTGGACTAACTGAGACAAACAAAGAACATTTTTGGATAAGCTCCAAAAATGTTGCTAGAATCCTTAATTAACTTTTTGGTAATTGAAGAAAAAAAATCATTTGTTAATCAGTGTAATTTATGAATTGCCCTTTCCTCATTGCTTCTTTTATGTGTCCAGTACGTCAGTGACATGATTAGTCTCTCTAGCCATAAGAATTTATTTTCAATGTAAAATTACTTCAATTATTTTGAAATATTTGTTGGGCAGAAACAAGAAGAAGAAAAAGAAGTCGAAAGGCGGAGGAGAGAAAAGGAGGAACGAGACAGAGACGGACATCATCGAGATCGCCATCGAGACCGAGACAGGGATCGCGACAGAGACCGTGATCGTGACCGAGACAGGGATCGCGATAGAGACCGCGATCGTGACCGAGATCGTGATCGTGACATAAGATCTATCTCTCCATCTGAAAATGGAAGGACGAGACGGAGTCATCGAAATTCCCGCACTCCGGATTCAAGTAGTTCTGCAAGGAGCATCTCACCAGATGATCGCCGCCACCGTTCTAAGTCTATTAAGCGCTCGCGCTCAAAGTAAGTATTTTCATCTATTGCCATTACTCTAGCTTATTTTGGGACAAAAAACACCTAAAAATTTCAAATCAAACTGGAGTTATGACGTTCTGAAGTTTAAAGCTTGAAAAAGGTATAAGGAGCCATTTGAAACTCTAATTCACCAGGCTTAGAGCGCAGGTTTTACAACTTAATTCCTTCTTTTGGCACAAAAATAAATTAGAGCATTTTTAACCTTTTCTTGGGGGCATTTGAGCGAGTTCTCCATCAACAAAGGTGTAATTGTACCAATAAAAAAATGAATTTTTCCCTGTAATTTTCTGCTGCAGCGAAAAGCAGTTTAATTTTTGAACCCGTCCGTAAAGCCAAAAATGTTAATTTTATCAAAAAGATCGCTCCTCAAATTTTTTGTTGAACTATGGACTGTTTTTGATACATCAAACGGGTGAGATTGTATCGATATCGATTGGTTCAAAACACTCGAAAGTCAATTGAGTAATCTGACGGAACGGGTTTTTTGTGATAGGTTTTTGATTCATATGAATAATAGTTAGCCAAGAGTAGTGAAAATGCTACGAAATTTCCGGTGCCGGACACGGGAGCTGTCAGCATCAGATTCCGGGTGCAGATACCGAAACGACGGTGGTGGCGCACAGCGGATGGCACAGGAGCTGGGGCGCTTCGCGGGAACATAGAATAATAATAACGAGCTGACCATTTTCTGACTAGCTGAGCTTCTTATTATTCGATGGCGGGAATATGTGAACAATACCTATATGAAGCGTGTGGCTCGCTTTCAGTTCCCGAGATCCCGACCCGTGTCCGGTGCCAGTGAATAGTCCCAAATACCTAGAGCTAATGTAAATAGCTTGTAAATCCAAACTTTTTCGACTGAAACGAGAATCAAACAGACTCATTCTAAAGAGCGCAAAATTTCCTATCAATCAGTATCAAAAAATTCGTCAAAAAAAATTCCTGTGACCGAAAAATGGGTTTTTAAAAAAACCGCGGCAAAAATTCTTACGACCAGTGACCTTTTTTTCTCATTTTCCCTTGAAACTGTTAATTTTAGAGAAAATGTCTGAGGACGTTTTTGAAAGGCCATAAAATTTTCTATCAGATCGTTACAAAAAAATTTTCGAAAAAGTAATATCTGAGGACGAAATTATGGATTTTAAAAACGGCCGCGGCAAAAATCCTTATGATGAGAAACCTTTTTTCTCATTTTTCTTTTAAACCGTCGACTTTAGAGGAAAATGTCAAAGGACCGTTTTGAAAGGGCGTAAAATTTACTACTTTTTACTATACTAGACAATGATCCTATTTGAAAGCTTATCTTCAGATCATTTACTAAAATTGGTATTCGGTAAGATGCCAAAAGTGAAGTGACAGAGGTTCATTGCTGAATGCCGTGATCACTGAATCTTTGGGGTCCAACCATGCAGGATCTTCGGAAAGATTTGGTTTGCATCGTACCTGTAAACCGACAGTTATTATTTTTCCCCTCAGAAATTCAGCTGAAGACGATGAAAAGTAACTATAAACACGTGCTTGCCCTACCGGCCCTTTTAATATCACGTAACCAACATCAATCCAAGACATAATGACTTCACTTTACACCACAAGAGCTGATAAGAACTAAAATACAACCACCTTTCTGTAGGCCTTGTCTCCACGAGCCGTTTCACGTGATTTGTCCCAGGGAAAAATCCCACTTACGAAGTTGGGAAAAATATTGAGTTAATCAATATTTTTCCCAGTACCAAGTATGGTACTTGTACCCCTATAGGACCCACTGAGAGAAGAAGAAGAAGTGAAAACAAATTGTGCGATATTTTATTCATTACTACATTGTTCATGTTTGTTTAGTTAAAATAATGAGTCTAATTGTCAATTGAGTGCAATTATTATTTAAATCCTGGTTAAATACTCGACTTTATCCAATTTATCTTCCCGCGCAAACTAGTCGCAGGACCGTATGAGCCTCGTCCCGTGGAGACGGTAACAAACTGGGATAAATCCCAGAAGTTTCATTCCTGCGATTCGAACTTGGGACAAATCCCATGAAAACGTCCCGTGGAGACAAGGCCTTACTTTTTCCCGTGGCAAAAGTTATTATTTACGTCATCCGAGCGCCCTAACTCCTGTGCAATCCGCAGTCGCGCCACCACCGTCGTTTCGAAATCTGCACCCGGAAACTGATGCTGACAGCTCCCGTGTCTGGCACCGCGAAATTTCTCATTTTCAGCTTTTCTGACTCTATCTTAAAATTTTGGTTTGAGGTTATGTTCTGTTGTTTTGAACAGAATGATACATCAAACCACTATCGAATACGATCCATTAGACACTCTGTTTGAAGTAGTTTGAAGTAAGAGAACAGGAAAATTTAATAGAATAGTTTCTTTCAACAAAGGTGAGTTGACTTGAGATCAGTGGCTGATCAGAGCGATTGAAGTGTGGTTTCTACTTCTCTTATGTACTTAAAATTATTTTTGTTTTTCCAGATCACGTGACCGTGAACGAGATCGTGACCGAGAGCGTGAACGAGAGAAAGAACGTGAAAGAGAGCGTGAACGTGAGCGAGAACGCGAACGTGAGAAAGAACGAGAGCGGGAGAAAGAGCGCGAAAAAGAGCGGGATCGCGAAAGAGAGCGGGAGCGAGAAAGAGAACGTGAACGAGAACGCGAAAGAGAAAGAGAGAGGGAACGGGACCGTGACCGAGAGCGAGAGAGGGAGAGGGATCGAGACCGTGATAGAGAAGACCGTGAAAGAAAATCCGAGCGTGATATTCTCAGGGAGAAGGAAATGGATGAGGAGGCAAAGGAAAAGAAGAAACTGGAACGGAAAGCACGAGAAAAGGAAGCTGCCTACCAAGTATGTTTTTATTTATTATTAATTTATTAATCAAAATAATTACATGTCACCACTACCGATTCTAACAAGGGTATCTATAGACATTTTTTGAAGTAGCCTAAATACTAGAACTAAAATTAAACGAATGATAAAATAAACTCGCCTATTTTATCATTAAGATCCGTCCATAAAAATAAATTGAGTATATTTTGGTAAGATATGAAGAAAAAAGTGCAAAAATATAAGAAGTATTAAAGATAACAAGTGAAATAAGATAGTAATAAACCAAGTATGTATTGATACCTTTGATCTCGTGTTCTATCTGATTGAATGGGTCCTTGGTACAGGGTTGCCGGTGGTCTGGAAAACTAGAAAAGTCAGGAAATTTGCGGCGACCAGGGAAAGTCAGGAAATTCACATGAAAAGTTAGGGAATTCAATGTGTACAGCGTTTAGCAGAAGTGAGTAATTAAAAGAAAAATTCAAAGTGAAAGTTTTATTTGAATGTCAGGGAATCCGAATATTATGGAGTCATGGAAAAGCCAAAATAGTCTGGGAAATGGGAGAATTTTATGATGAAAAAATTATGGCAAACCTGTGGGTATGATCTCAAGGTGATTTTCGAGTCACACAATTGAAGTGTTAAAAGAAAAAAACACATTATCATCCAAATTATGACAGAGTAATTTTTATTATTTTAATGTGTTTGCCTACAATTTGCCTCTGTTAAACTGAAGACCAAAAGTTTTTAGGGCTGTGCAAATAGTTCAAAATCGGGAATAACCAACTTGACCGACTCTGCGCAATAACGGACATTTATGAATATTTGTGCCATTATGAATATTGCAGTGGTGAAATGTGTAAGATTTTATTTGGCTTATTTTATTTATTATGTTCATTTTTTTCTTCATAGGAAAGACTGCGTATGTGGGAAAATAGAGAAAGGCATAAGCAAAAAGAACATCAAAAAGAAAAGGAGAAGAAAAAATTAAAAGAAGAAGAACGTGAAAGAGAAGCTAAAAGGTTGAAAGAATTTTTGGAAGACTACGATGATGAAAGAGATGACATTAAATACTATAAGTAAGTATTTGTTCTCCTTGAATTCTGTTTTATTTCTTTTTATGCATGTTCTTCTTGCATTAAGTTTCTTGCAGAGATCTCTTAATGTTGGTACAATTTTTTATTTGTTTTAAACTGCTCTCTGTGATTACGTAAATTACTAAGAACTTTTTTCTTTAAGTTTTTGGTGTATTAAGTGATTTTTAAGAGGTGTTTTGGTCGAAAAAGATGATATAATTACTCCTTTTTTACATTGATTTGAAGTTCCCCCAAAAATATATCTAAGGTGTTGAGTCATCGTACTAAAGGCCTGATTTTCATTCCAAGATCAGGCTCTTCTGTTAAGTCAGTTTTTATTATTTTTTCATTCATTTGTGAGAAATATCTTAAGTCCTTTTGGAGCTGAACCCACACCCTCACCCCCCTTTTTTTTATGTTAACACAATTTTATCTTCCATTATCTGATGATAGATTTTGAAGGCGCAGCTTGGTTTTTTTATCTTACATAATGAATGAAGAGGGTTAAAAAAAATCAATTCTTTTTAGAAAAACTGCAAAGAAGAAAGAATAAATACATACGCTCAGTAAAATATTCACAAATCAATTCGGACAGATAATACAGGAAGCAATTCTGATGATATCAAAACAAATCTTAGGTTGCTAGCTCACCTTAAACTCTAAGAATTTTTGTCGTAGTTCATGTATTATATCTTACAAGATTTCACTTTAAGAGATAAGTCATGAAACTAGCTTCTCAAAAATTTGGGTGAATCCTAGTTAGTGTGTTTGACTAAGAAAAAGTTCTAGTTGCCAGACCAAAAAGGGGGGCGATTGATTATGAATCAAAATACCCCTTTAATCAAGGGGGAGTGGCTGCCTTCTGGTGTGATTTGCCGGAGGAGCTTTGGTGATATGTGGCAATCAGATGTCACAGAGCGCTCAGAAGTACTATAAGAGCAGCATGTTAGTTGAAAAAGTACCCCTGTAATTTGCATCATCTTTTGCTCTTATGTGCCTTAGTTACTCCCTGCATTTTAACCCAGTTTATTGTAGTGTTGTGTTTACAAAAATGTAAAATCAATAAGCGCTTGTCACCTACTTTCTCTATTGACCTTCTTTTTACCCTTTTGAAGGTGTAACTGAACGAAAATTTGCCTGTATTATCAATAAGTGTTAGTTTATCATCACCAGACAGGTTGAAAACATGTTCAATTGAATTGACCACTAGATATTTTTGTAAGTGTCACTCATGAGTATTTTATAGCCGATGGACTTTATTTATGTGAGCTGTAAAGAAATAACAAGAAGTATTGGCAACTTCTTTCATATTTTGAACTCATTTATATTCGTAGTGGTCATGGTGGCTTTCTGATGTGCGCTTTCAACTCTTTTTCCATCATTTTCCTCAGTCATAAATTCATTTCCGCAAAATACTTATCCAAGTGACCTTACTTGTTCAACAGAGGACGAGAACTACAAAGGAGGCTTGATGCAAGAGCCAAAGAAATGGAATTGGATGCTCGTGACAGACAAAATGAAAAAGAAGAAGTTGAAGAAATTAGGAACAAAATATTCGCCTCTGCAGACAGTAAAGATCCAAATGTAGAGTTTGCCAAGGTGAGTGAATTGACTTAAAATTTTCATCGAAACTCGGAAGATCAATGAGCTGTGCCATTAAGCAAATTTTAACTGTAATCAATTTTAAAAATTAATAGCATTTAAAAGTTCTGCCATGTCTGTTTCGATTTATGTTATTCTATGATGTTAGCTTATCACTCTAACTGTAGTGCCTTGCTGATGTCTTTCAAAGAACAAATGCTCTGATCATTTCAGTCTCTCAATGGAGATACTCGGACCATGGGTTTTAATATCAATAATATAACAATATCTTCGTCAATGCATTCATTGAGGTTTAACATTCTCTTCAATTTTGCATTGTCATTACTTAGATGTAAGTTTCTGTTAGCTCCATGCTGGCACAATTAACAGAAATCTTGTTCACATAACGCTTTTGGCCACTGATCTTGTGCACAAATGTAAAAAAATGTACGGCTTGGGGCATTAGAGCAAAAACTGCCCACAGCTAAAATGTTAGTCACATGTGCACAACATAGCGCAACGTAAAGCTCAAGTGTTGGGCTTTTGGCAATCAACGTTAACGTTAAAATTAACTGTTAAATTTTTGACTGAGACAGAGCATTTGCTTCCTTTTTTTTCTCCGTTACATTTTTGACCCCACCTATTTTCATAACATTGTTTGATCCACCACCTCACCATTTACCTCTCTTTTCCACTATTTAATTTGATTACATGTTATGAATTTTTTTAATTTAAACCTTATTTGCTTCATTATTCCCTGTAGAGATGGTCTGTGCTCCCTTCTTTTACCATTCAATCCCCAAATTCAGTGACCCCAACCTTCAAACCTAATCTTTTTGAGACAAGTGAGACATTCAACATCCAGAACATCTTTGCTAACAGCAAAGTAACACTCTATCCCGAGATATTAAAGGTAATGAATTTTGTGAGTTTTGAAAATAATGATTTTTTTTTTTTTATTGAACAAAAAAAAGAAAGAAAAAAAACCTTCACCTATGCAAAGGAAAATTTTTTATACTAGATCAATGATACAGAACTGTTCCAGCTCAAGGCCTCTTGGAAGTTAGATGCACTGATGTCTTCAATTTTTTTCTGCATTTTTCACATTACTCTATGATCAAACCAAATTTTTAGAATTGTGAAACTAACCAGCTTGTTGGTGCTAAAGCTTCAATGAACATCATGAATTGTTGGGTAATACATGAAAAGTTGTTTAAGTGGGAATGTATAAACTTAAAAAGATCCAAATGAATTTTGAGTGTCTGTGAGAACCTCAAAATACTTTAATAGGATTTTTAATCAAAATTCCTGTCAAGGCTTCTTTTTATGACAGGTCACAGTTGAACACCAGTAAAGAAATATTGAGCGAGTTTCGACAGCCAGCCTTGGTCAAAATAAGTTTTTATCATACTCCAACCAATTAGAACTTATACATCAAAACTGCAAGAAAGTGAACTTTTTAACAAACAGGTGGAATCAGAGACGAAGGACTTAGAAAAGGAGTAGAGAGCTGCAAGGCCACTGAAACTATCTCTCTCAATTAAGGAGTAATATCATAGGGAACCTATCCCCCCCTCTCTCCTGCTCATACCCTCCCTACCACCTCCATTAAAACTTGAATGTAAATATGTAATGAATTTGTATCAAATATATAAAAATGTACGTTTTGCAAGAGCATTTGTGAGGTTTCTTTTTAGGAAAGGAGGCGCACAAAATCTGTTTTGATTTGTCAAAACTGGTTACATTGTTTTGGGGTTTTCATTCATATGCATAATAGAGGTAGCATTGCTGTACTTTCATGTTGCTATACTCTTTTTCTTTATGTTGTGTGCGCTTATCTTTCCCCCGAGTCTTCCGTATGGACTTTCATCTTTCAGACCCCTTAAGCAGTCTTTAATGAGTTACGGAGTCCTTCCTAGAGGTGTTGGAAACAATCTGTTTAAACACTTTTCTTGTCACCATTTTAATCACAGCCTCATTTTATGCACCATATGCTGGAAAGCACTCCTGGCCTCCATTAGGCTCAAAGTTCTTCAAAAAAATATTCAGATATGCACTATAGTAACTTCTCTTCAACCTTGATGCTAAGAGCTGGTTTTTCATTTTGATGGCTAAAGTCGAAAAATCTGTTTCTTATATAGCAATGTCAGTCTCTGTTCGTGTTTTTATTTTTTCAAGAGAAAACTAATCGTCAGTTTCTATTGAAATTTCCTGTGAATTTTCTTCACTCAATTTAAAAACACACAACACGCAATTGCAAGGAAATGTTTCGATTAGTTTTCCTCAAAGAGATTAAAACATAATATGAGTTTCATAAACATTACAATTGAAATGCGCGTTATTCGCATTTAGTCATCGATGCACATCCATTCAGGAGAATTTTGATCACTGAACTTGAATGTTTTACAATAATTGAGCAACTAAGAAGCATCTGAAAAAATTACAATAAAAATATGATAGTTTATTTAACTTACTCGTTTATTCATTATTTTGATGAGCTATAAAATGCTTTCTCTGTTTTTTGTTTTTGCAGTTATTAAAAGCTAGAGAAGACTTGTACAAACCAAAACTTCTAATCGATATGAATTCAGAAAAATCCAAAGAAAAAGAGAAAGAAAAGGAGAGAGAAAAGAGAGATAGAGAGGATAAAGATATTGAGATTATAGACAGAGAAGCCGAGAGATTAAAGGAAATGGAAGAGGCAGAAGAATCGAAACGACGTGCTGCAGCAATGGCAGAGCAGCTGCAGATGGCTGAAAAAGAAAGGATGTACGCGGAAGAGCACCATCCACCATCGCCTCCTAGCCCATCTCCGCCACCTCCAGACGATTCGTTCTCCCCTCCACCTCCGCCAGAGGAAGACTCTCAATTCAACTCTTTCTATCAAGATACAACAGACAGCAAATCAGGTAATTCATGTCTTGTGTTTATATGCCTCTTTTGTATCTGTGGTTTGTGTAAAGACCGCTATATGTTTTTTAGGGAAGACGCTAGTTGTATCTGTAGAAACAATGGGGAAAATTGGATGGAATTAAGGACAAATAGCTGGGAGATCCAAGGAGCGTGTATTTACGCGAAGTGAGCAAGAGACAAGAGAGAAGTGTAACCACGGAAACATGCAATGGATACAAGTGAAAGTGTATAGCATCTGTCATAAGTTATGATCATGCTTCATTTTTCCAGTAGGGAACTGACCTAAATATCTCTTTAAAATTTTCTGTGAAAAACATGAAACATTTTCTGGTTAATGAGTAAAGAAAAAAACATAGAAGGTGAATTTTAAGAAAAATTATGGTTGATTCGTTTTAAAAAACTAAAATAGGAGTGAAGGTTTACCATACCGCAATCTGGTACTATCACTTTTTGACATCAGTCATCGATACTCCTCTCCATTCTATTTAATTTCTTTGCCAATTTGGTAGGTTTACCATAAATATACTGATTTTTAATTTGTATTCTAACTGTCTGGTGAATTTTCCCCTTTTTGCTACATTTTATTCTTTTGTTTTACAGGATTGAAGGAGTACTCCTCACCTGTTCCTGCCTCTGGTGATAAAAAGAAGAAAAAATTAGACGTAAGAGAAGTTTTCAATAATGATGATGATGACTCACATGTTGCAGCTAAGAAAAGGAAACTGGTACCACTAGGTAAGCAAATAAGTACAGTGAAACCTTGTTAGGTTGTTCTCAATCAAGATGGAGGAAATTTTATGACTTAAACAACCTTTTTATTTAACGAATTTCCTCTTCTTCTGCTTCATATTCGTTGGATTTCACACTCCTATTAGAAAAAACTCACTGTCTAATATTAATGTGTTTACATAGCTCCTTTAAGTGTCAGGAGTAGGAGCAACTGTCGCTCAATTCAATTCAGTGTTTAAAAGGACATCACATGTCCATGTGACTCAACAGAAACAATTATCTCAATTTAGTAATCAGCATAGAAAAAATATAGAAAGTGATAGTGAGTGGAGAAATAGACCCGTCTGTAGTAACTGCAGGTCTAATAAGGGTCATGATGAGGTTGTGTCTCATACAGCATGAAGGAAGTTCCTTCTTTATCCGTTCCAAAAATTTAAGGAGTTATACAAAGTGACAAGTGATAGCGAGATCGTGTAGGCTCCTTTCTCAGGACAATCCCGACCCCCATCCACAAGATGGCAGGCCTCTACGTGGACAAGTGCCTCCAGAAATGAAAAGTCATTTAAAAATGTCATCATTTCTAGAATAAATACAGCACTATTAATTCACCTTATACAATAATTTCTAAAGAAGCAAAAGCAGCATGTACTTTTTATTTTCACATGTTTTACAAGACTGTCCCTCGTGACCCATCTCATTCCGTGCACTTGGTAATGTAATCAAAAACTTGTGTCATTTCCTTTTAGACATGTCTCTAGCATGACTGTTCATTTATTCAAAGGGTATTATGTGCCACTCATCCAAGTTTTGATATCTGACATCTTTGATATTCAAGCCACTTATAACTTTTATGATGTGCGTTTTGCTAATTTTATAGATTATGGAGAAGATAAGAAGAAACCTAAAGAGGAAAAGAAAGAGGATGTAGCCAAATCCCAAGAGGAAAAACGGAAGCACATTAAGTCACTAATCGACAAGATTCCTACTGACAAATCAGCATTATTCTCGTTTCCATTGGATTGGGCTGCTGTAGACAATGTAAGTTTTTTATTATCGTGCTTTTGTAAGTCTTTTTTTCTCTAAATTAACCCTGTATCATTAGTTTTTAAGTCTAAATTGTCAATGTTTTTGTTTTGCTGACAATAATTCCAAAGAGTATCTGGTCACAAATTCCTTCGATGAGAACCGTCAGACTTTGATTGTGGATTTTTTTTTCTATCGCAACTCTTTTGATTGTTACACAATTTTTATTTTTTCCTTGAAAGCTGTCCTCAAACTGTCAGTTTTAGCCAGATTTAACTGTACTTTTCTTCTTACATGTCAGTTTTGTATAATGTGCTCTATTTCTTTGCTTTTTAGCAACTAATTGAACGAAGAATTAGGCCTTGGATCAACAAGAAAATTATTGAATATATTGGAGAACCCGAACCGACTCTAGTAGATTTCATTTGCTCCAAAGTTCTGGCAGGCAGTGCACCTCAGGGAATTTTAGATGATGTTCAAATGGTAAGTACTTGTTGTTCATGCATTCTCAAGATCTTTCTCATATCAAGAGTAATAATTTCCTCCTTTGTAACCAGTCATGTACCTTATCGTATTCTACTTTAGTGAACAACCTTAGTATCCCTCTCACCCCGTCCCTTAGTGCCAGTATTTTTGTTTCAGACATTTTTTGAACAGATAATTTAAAAAAAAAAATTACCAAGACATCTACTCTGCCAAATATCGCAATTGGTCACAGTCAAACCGAGTCTATCTGTGTAACAAGGTCAGATTTCCAAGGCCCTGATTTGTTCTAGCTGTAGGCACAGCCTGGATTTCCTACCTGGATTTCGATGCCCTATTGCTCGATCCAACCAATGAGAATACTATGCTTTTTCAAAATGAAGTGGACCCGATCAATTTTGATGGCAATGCGCTCTGATCGGTGAGCAAGTAACCAATTGCGGCAGCAACCTTGTTAGATGGATGCGCTTAGTTTGATCGTTTGACTCAGGCTCATAAGATAATATATTTATGACCTTCAACAGGAAACATAGATTAAACATCTGGAGTTGTGGCTGCGTGAATGATTTTGATGCTGAGTTACATATCTCAAGAGTTATTCTCATCAATTACATATCTCACCTCAGGGAACAGAAAAAGAATGTAGAAAAAACGGGAAATTTAAAATTTTGAAAGGACTATGAACTTTGCGATAGAGACAGATCTGTATCCATGACATCTCTTAACAGCAAAGCAAAGTTTAGCATGTGTACATGAAATGTATCATTTCACCATAAACGATATTTTTTGCTTTTTTCACCAACATGAAGAAAAGAGGCAAACTGGGAATTGTGGACAAACAAAAATGCGAAATAGTGTGAATTGAGTGGGCTAGCTGGATCAGAGAGAGTATTTTTCATCTATGTTCTCATAAAGTGACATGGGAGCTTGTGTCAGCATACGATGCTAAATTTTAAGCGTTGTTAAGGTTTGAGGCTAATCTTGTTTGATGTTTCATCATACATGCAATTCACTTTGTCTTTCTTATTTTAATTTCACAGGTGCTTGACGATGAAGCAGAAGTTTTTGTCGTTAAAATGTGGCGACTTTTAATATACGAAATAGAAGCTAAAAAGTTAGGTTTGGTGAAGTGAATTTCCTTGTCCTCCATCTCCTCTGACGAAAAATGTTGTAATAACTTGTGTGATCTTTTTAAGTCTTTTAGTCTGTGTGTAAATATTTCTACTAAATGTTCACACTTCTTGTATAGTATTTTAAAGACTTTAAGTTTAATCATTCAATGGAAACAATTTTCTTTTAGGTTTTATTTAATTTTTTTTTTAATGCCATGCACTCTTATGCGTTTACATCGAGTGATTCAAGCAGTAATCAATCACTTCTGTCAGAAAATTTTATCATTCATTGAATTTTCTTTTCATGCCATTATTTTATCTTCATTTGTGTACCATGTTGACTGCCACAGATTTAAGCAAAAATCGAGGTAACTTTTCACATGGAAATAATACACATAAGAAACCATGTCCAAACCATAGCAACAGAAGCATATTCTTTAGGACATCAAAAGTAACATCAACTTTGTTTGAGAGCATGCAGGCAGTGTAGTATTCAAACGGAGACCTCCAAAATAAACCAATCGTAAGCGCTGATCCATACACGCCATTCAATATGTTGAGTTTGGTTTCTCCTTCAAAATAATTGAATATGCTAAGTGCGATTCAAATTCGTAGTGTTTTGTTGAATCTGTTGTTCAATAACTTTTTATTGCTTTTATTGCTTTTTGTCAAACCAGTTGACTTTCTGCACAGTTTCAAAAGATCGCTCGAAAGCCTCATATTTTGACATTGAGGTCTCTTCCTCCAGCGTTCAAAATGCGTTCTCCTGCCAAGCTTTCAAAGCTGCAGTGTTTTACTGTGCATAAGTTTGATATGATTTCCTATGTATGACTGTTGCTTATGATATGGATCTTGTCAGTTCCTTTTTGTAACATGTTTCGTAATAAGCCTTGTGAGCTTTTAATGACTAAGAAATAGAAGCAAGATACTCAAATTAAAAATTAGTCAAGGAGACCTTTTTCTGATGGCTGATGATGAGAGATGGTTTCTTTTTAGTTTCTTTCTAAGTGACTCAACCCTAATAACAATTTTTCCTGAGTGGAAGACACAACAGCTATCAGGCTACTTTAGAAAATGCTCCTTTTTCCAGCAAAAATCCAAATGAAACATTTTATCAAGTGTCTCTTCCCTCCAATAATAGGTTAAGTCTGTCTTGACAAACTTTGAACTTGCACTTGTAAAATGCATCATGCAGGTTTGGTGTATATATTGGCGTAAAAACTGATCTAATGCTCTTTCACAAGATTTACTTGACAAGAACCAAAGTGCGGAAAGAAGCTGAAATGGAAAATGTAAAACTTTTAAAAGAGGATATATTCACAATTTGAATTATTCATTTATTAATCTGGGCTAATTTATTCAAACTCAACACTGCTAGTTATGCAATGAGAATTGAGGACTCAATGAACGGATTTTTGAAGAGCTATTTGATCATTCAGTTGAAAAAAAAAAAAACAAGAAAAATACGTTGACTTTTAATATGAATTTTTTCCGAAAGTGCATGACTTGAAATAATTATTGTGTTTAGTTTCAAATTTCTTGAGATGTCACTTATCACCTGAAGAATTGCTCAGTATACATCAACTAAAGCACCCACCACAATGAAACTGGGAGGTGAAGTTGAAAGATAATTCAAGATTTACATAATGTTATTTGAAATTAATGTTAAATGAAATTATGTGAGTTAATCATAAATTATCTTTCAGAGTTCCTAAGAATTATGTTAAATGTTAATCACCTTAAAAAAATTTGTTTGAAAATATTTTTCGTTGCAGCACCTAGCCTTTCTCGAATTTCTGGTCGTAAACCTGGATTGAATCGTGTCATCAAGGTGATTTATGTTTTGTCACCTGAATACAAATTTTTATGATCCAATCTGGCATACCAGCACACTTTAAATCGATTGACTGAATAGCAAGATTAGTCATTGACTCTGAAATATAAGCATAGCGACCTATTGCTAGGAGGTGCAATGACTGATCTCCATTCCTTTTCATTTCCAAGTAAACTTTCGAAGAAAAGAATATTTCCAACTTAAAAAACAATAATCCGCTTTACTCACCGAAGGTGCCCTGTTTGGTCACTTTTTTTGCTGCTTTACTTCGTAGATGCCTATTTTTATTTTTATTATTTTTTTAAGCTCTAAAATCTTTCCAGTCAAGAGATTTGACAAGGGAAAAATCTCTGTGATTTTAATGTAACCCTTTTTTTTTTTAGATGGTACTTTAATGCTAAATGATCGATTGAGTTTCCCTCTTTATATATCAGTTGAGATGTTCTCACATAGCTTTCACCGATGAATTTTAGGGTAACTCCATTCTCCATTTCATCATCAGATTGTCTTACTTTAATAAAGCCTTGAAGATGAAATCAATCTTGTGGGGAAAGAACTAGTTCAACAAAATTTTTGATCATTTTTATGAGTTGTTATTGTATAGTTGAGTTTTGTACCCTTTGGTTATTTATTTACTCAACACTTATCAATGCTGAATCAAATGTATAAAATATGTTACTTCGAATGCTTTATCTATCTGGAAGTAATCATTCATCGTTTCTCTTTTGTAAGAATTCAGTCAATTCTTTAGATTTTTCGAAAGTGAATGATTTTCCAATATTTTAGTATTATTTTCGCAATAATGCAATGTCCATGCATTAAAATTCAATTTCTTGTATTATATTTGTTATAAAATCCATATTCAATCTTTTTATTTACGTTAACCATCATCCTTATGAAGATAGAAACATTGATCCATTCTTGCACCAGAAAATTGCCCATCTCCTGAACAGTTCTTTGCTGATTATAACAGACAAAATTTTCCAGCCATCGTCTTTGCTGGATCTACTTATCTACTTTCCTCATGCCTTAAGGATCTAGAATCTCTTTTTCTCAATTTTAATGTTCAAAATTTCATTTGTAGTGGACACAATTCATTTTTCCCAGAGACAAGAATAGATCCATTATAATAACTTATCTTACAAAGTAGATCCAGAGCTTGAGAAGGGCTGGAAGATTTGCTCCGTCTATGCAGAGGTATCACTCATTGAAAAATAAAGTGAATGATGTTATCTACCGCGATAGGGCATATGATGGTTTCTTCCATGTTGGTGCCACCAATCAGTGGTACACACATTTGCACTGGCTGCTCACCGTAAAATACAGATGAAACAAAGGTCATAGAAACTACAATATGCACAACGGCTTCGGAGGATGCAAAACAGAGTGTTTTAATATGGTCAATATCTGCATTTATATAGCATGAAGCTCAGTGTTCAGACAGATCTTTTTTTTTATCTATTCTATATGCTAAAAACCACCAAACCCTGATTCTGCCACTAGCAGAACTGACCCATTGCAAGCTTGACAAAATGTTTTGTCAAGGTGCGTCAATGGGTTAAGAAATTAACAGATTCAGATTTCCCATATGTATTGCAGATGATCAATTTGATCATCTACAAAACATAAAGGCAATCTGATCAATTTGATCATCTTCAAAACATAAAGGCAATCTGCATAGCTTATTAAAATGAAAGCAGGTGGGTTTTTTTTTTTTAAACAGAGACTTTTTTTATTTATTTTTTACACAGATTTTCTTATGAATAATAATACTTTTTTATTACAACAATTTGATTTAAATTTCAATATGCATAAATATACAGACAACATTCAACGGATGAGTAAAATTAACTTTGATACCTTTACAAACATTTATTAACAGATTACAACTTTAGTGAATATGTACATGGTTGATATGAAAACAAAATACTTACTTTTGTTTGTACTATGATAAAATAACTGTGAAAATTGTGTAATGTTAAAGCGAGAGAAAAAATGACTAGTTTCTTTCTCAGCTTTCATTGTAGTTACTAGAAAATACTGTTTCTGGCTTTGCTTAGTGGGTGGGAAAAGATTTATAGGTCAATTACATTTCACTGCTGAACAAAACGGTACTTGATCAAACAAAATGGTAAAAATAATCTTTCCTAATGTGTTCACTTTCAAGACATGAGTCAGTATTCCAAATAAATATATTAATCTTCTAAAAATTTTGAATTGACATCTTGTTATGTAAAATTATGCAGAAAATTGGAGTTGAAATTTATTAGCACTTAGAAACCCATATTCAAACAGCAAAGAGAATGCAGAATTTGCAATTCAATAGAAAGAATAATAGGTACTGACTAGGAAAATGAGTTACAAAAATAGATTATCTTCAATTAATGACAATAATTAAAAAAAGAAGTTGCCCAAGAGAAAGAATATTAGGTTCTCTCTGTAAAATATTACATCCTTCTTCTCAAAACCTGCTAATATTTATGAATTTAACTGTTAATGATCTAAAATCTTCTTCCGGGCATGATCCACCGCTAAATCCATAGCAATCACATAGCTTTGGGGAGGGAATTGTATTTCCTCAAGAAATATTATTAGAAATTCCAGATTTGAGGCTCAGCATCTAACTAGGCGAACCTTTTTTTCATTGAAATTTATTGAAATTCTAAATTTTTAATTAGCTGTTCAAATAGATAGAGACAAGAGAAACATTTTATCTAACACATACATCTGATTTTCCTACAGGCTGACCTTGTTTTGGAATGTAAATAAAAATTGCGATTTAAACTGAATTGCTGCCTTGAGCACGTGAAATATAATTTCAATTAAAATTTTGATTTCAAAACATGTTATTCAATAACAAATTTTTGACTGAAACTCCATTTAATCAGAGGAAATTTGTTTTGATAATTTTTTTCAAATGGACTTGAAGACAGCAAGTTACTAAAATCAGTAAAATGAAAGCTATAATAACAGTTGAATCAATAAAATAACTACAGAGAACCATACAAAAAAAAGTTCAAAACCATGTAAATAAATACCTACTTGGGCATAAAGTCCTCAATAATGCGTACGCATTTTGCCGCCTCCACATTTTGGTATCTTCAGCGCTACTCACAGTAAGTCGTACTGAGAATGCCAAAGTGTAGTACCAAAGGAAAATGTATGCAATATTAACAATGTTACAGACAAGTGAATAATTATTTACATCGTTTTGCAACAGCTGACTTCGTAAAAATCATATTATTTTGCACATCTTCTTAGTAATGAGGTTCTATATACTCCCAATAGTATCTCTATTAGAATATATATACAAGTCAACTGAGTAAAAAATAATTTCATATTTTTTTGACAGGAACTATAATAATCCTGTGCCCTGTGATTTTACAGCGGAAAACAAAGTTGGTGGAACTTATTACTTCAAAGTTGGTGGAACTTATTACTTCGTTGTTACTTTCATGGTGATTGTGAAGAAGTAGGTAGTATAAAATGAAAAAGAGTGAAAAAAAAAATATGAACAAGAACTACATAGGCCATTAAATAATTATTTCATTCCGTTCTCCAGACTTTGAAGAATAATGAGAAAAAGGATAAGTAATCAACGTCATTTTCATTTAAAGGGCTGTGCCATTGAGAAAGATTGAATTAAAAGGTCATTTAATTAAAGTTAAAGTTTTGCGTGCCCGCCGCAGATGTAAAAATTAGGTATGCAAGCGCTTGGTTTTCCCATTTTTATATATTTGATATGATAATTAATTAAGAGCAATTCTGAAAACAGTTTTTATCTAAAGAATTTAAAATTGAATATAGCCGTATTATTGACTGGTAATGTCAGATAGTTCAAAGAATACTTCAAGACACAACAAATTTTTAAAATATTAACAAAGAATAAAATACAATATATTTGGGTATTTCTTCTCATACGATATTTGGTTTCAAATTACTATTCATCATAACTTTACAAACAAAATTTACTATAGCAGTGGCTGGTTGTTCTGGTTCCAGTTCTGCAAATATGTGGCACTCATTATCTGTTTGGCTGGCTGGTTTTCGTGCGATGAATCCGAAACAGCGGCTGCAAGTACAAAAAATTAAATTATTAGTGAACAGGATAAACTTGTAAAAGCATGGCAATGGAAAAATTGCAAGATAAAAAGACGTCATGCAATTATACCTTGAGGATGAGAGGAATTTTCAAAAACGGTTGAAAACAACCATTCTTTGGCTTAGGGAGCCTCGGGATTACGCACAATCGATCTACGCCTCGAACTATGTAGGATTCGACAATAAACTCGAATTTTGTTTTGCTGTCCTACATGGACTAAATTTTCGAAGTCAAAATCGAAAGTTCTTCCATTGAGCTGAAATGAGGCTATTACCCTTGAAAATGAACCACTGAGACCGATTATCGGGTCTTAAAAACAAATTTTCAATTAAGGAGAGATCTGGTAATATGTAACATCTTTTAAACATGAAAATCTCTCCATTAAACATGAGTAAAAGAAACGAGGATATGATTACTTACTTTGAACTAGTTGGAAGACCGGTAGTATCGTTCTGTTGACTCCATCGATGATCTCCAGGGTCAAGGCCACAATAACTAATGGTATTTACTGGATAGTGCCGCCTGAAGAATAATCTTCTTTTATTGTCTGTCAAAGTAATTCCGTGGCTAGAGACTTTGAAATGAACGACAGTTGCCCTGGGCAAAGGGTTCATTGAGAACAGAGCACCAATTCCTCTCACAATGGCTTGTGGTCCAGTTAGAGACTCCGTTTCAACGGTAACTAAGTAGAGCACGTTACATGCTGTGAAGAAAGAGACAAGCTCTGTTAGGATTTCACACAGGAAGGAAAATTCACATTTAAAAACATCAGAATAAACTATTTCAGCTCCAAACACAGTATAAAATATTCCTGCTTAAATAAAAAGTCAGTAGGCAAATGGTGAGAAATATGTAATGTAGCTAGTGTAACAAACCGTGATGGTAATAGTGAAATTGAAAATTTGAAATTAAAACTTTTAGCTGCTATTTTGTCTGTACTATGCATTTAGGGTTTTTTCTGAGGCCTCCATGAAATGCTTGAACAAAAATTGAAATTTAATTTAATCTGTGAAGGAAATTCCCAGAAACTTTTTTTTCTTTTAAAAAAACTGCTGATTAGTTTTTGAAAAAAAAAGAAACAGAACACGAGCTAGGATTTGTAACATTATTTCCATTTTTCGACTTTAGACATTGATGTTTCTCCCTCGTTTTTTTCACTTTCACTTCAAGCTTAAACATTTTCCCTGACGACTTTGAACTTACAAATTTAAACCTAATACGCAAAGCTTTATGCTCTGTGATGCCATCAGCAGCCAGATTCTAATTGCCAGATGTAAGCGCCAGATTCTACCTTAAGGTTCAACTGTATGCTGATAACAAAGTTACCAATCTCTATTTTAACACTATATTTATCCTTAAAATTTATGAAATAAAATTCACCTGCTCCATTAGCCAGCAGAAGTTGTGCAGAGCTTATCGTATTGGATCCATCAACAACCGAACTTGCAGGATTCATTTCAGGTAACACTAATTGGCATGGTAAGGCAAGAGGCATTATTGAGTGCTGATAAACTAGAGCTGACAATGATCCTGGAAAGTAATAATTTCAACAAATTAAAAAGAAGTATTCCTGTGAAGAATGTTCAATAATTCATTTTCCAATGCGTATTTTTTATGCTGAGTGCAGGAATGGTACTGAACAGCGATGTTTATCACTTGATTAAGCTATTAAATTACTTGAAAATGAGGACTTTATCTTTCACAAATGTTTTTTGAAACTCTATTCTTAATGGGCGCTGGAGGAAAAAATAGTGATCATTATTGGGCCCAACGCAACTGCCTAAACAAAACAAATATTAAAATTTCCAGAAGTCTCGAAACTAAGTTTTCCCACACCTGCTCTCGTTTCACTTGGAGCTGCAGATGTGTTGCTTCCAAATGAAACCCCAGTAATAAATAAGTTTGATTGACCAGAAAGTTGGTGGGATACTTACCAAATACAGGCTCGTTGGCGCAACCTTTCAAACGAACTCCTCTCGGAGTCGGTTCAATCAGGAAGTGCCTGACAAGTTCATTCGAAGGATCGCTATTTGGAGTTTTGTTCACTGAACCTGGAGGCGGAGTTGCAACTTTTAGAACTAATCCAAAAGCTCCAGGAAATGAGTTTGAATCCCTGACAATAAATGTACCTGGAGGTTTATCCCTCAACATTGCAATAGCTGAAATCAAAATGGATTAAAATTACTAATGAGGAAAAATCAACTTCATTTTTATGTAGCTAGTAATAATAGCTACAAACAAGCATGAACATAAAGTTGTAAAAGTAAATACTGGGATAATAAGAGGGGTCAAAATTTTTAAAATTTCATTCCATCAGCTTTAACGGGTAGGTAGAATAAAGCTTCAAAACTTTGAGGACTATATCATTTGCCTCAATGGCCTGCTTGTACTTTTGCTTAAAATATAGCTGAACTATGAGAACTTATTAACACTACTTACTTAATAGACCATTAAATATTATTAAACCATTGCAGCAAAATCATGAAAATTTAAAGCATGAAACTTGTGATAAAAGGAATCAATTTTTGAAAGAGGCCATCCGGTACAGTGAAAAGTACCTACCTTCTTCCCGCGACATGTTAGGCTTGTACCAATATTTGGATGTGTCCCTGACAAAATTGACATTGGCAAGGGAAACTTCATGGGTAGTTTCGCTATTAGAATGTGTCGATGACCTCCGTGATGTTCCAAAATATACAGATGGCGATGAGTGACCGGTGCTTCCATTTTGTAAACTTGTTAGCGCGGGACTCTGGAAAGAATAGAAATTTAGTTCAAATTAAAGTGTATTTTGGAAAATACTCATAAGGAGATTATGTTACTTAGCCAGCTTAAGGCAAACTTGATGTCTGCTTTACACGGTAATTACCACGTCGGTCCCCAGGGACCAGCACCTAGGAGAACCAATCTTAAGTCAATGTGACAAATTCTAAATTTTCGCCTGTCAAACATTCAAAGTTGATAGAAAATATTTTGAACGTGAAAAACGTCGTTAAACTTTGACCTTAACATTGAGTCTCATAGAGGAACAAACCTTCAAACCTCTGTTCCTCAAAAACTTAAACTCTTCAAACTTGATGCAGCTAGGTGCATTTCTATTTTTGCCCAATATAAAAGCCTTTTAAAAAACGTTTCGTTTTACCTCTTAAGTCTCTTCTCACTCTAAGCTTATTTTGCACACATTACAGTCAAAACAAAATACCATACCTTCGGGCTATGAGTCTCTGATGAGCTATCGTAACTCCTGGCAGACATCATGTTACGCTCCCTTTGTAACGTTTCAGCAAGAGGAGACCAGTCTTTTCTGCAATAAAACCAAGAAAATTAAATGAATCAAAATGTGACTAAACCATAAAATTAAGAACATGATGTGGAGGCAATTTTCTGTTTTGATATTATTCCCTGGTTGAGCACTCGAGAAAAAGGACTCATTTCAATGGAGCAATAGACAAATTAAATCTAAAACAGTGATCACTTATGCGTACTGCACACTTTAAAACAGCATCAAAACAGGGCCATGCATGGAGGCTAGGTGGGTCGAGCGCAGAGCCAGTCAAAAATACATGAGGTCCTGTCAATTAAGTGTTTTTCATAGTGAAAAGAAAAGTGAAACAACAGTGAAACCAAGGAAATGTGTATGTAAGCAAAGAGTCCTTATGTAAAGTGTGATGGGCTAAAGACAAGAGTATCTAGTCTTCGTCTGTGCCAATTGAGAAATAGCGCTGTGGCTGAGTCGCAACAATCAAGGTTTTTGTGATTGCAGAGTTTTTTTTTTTTTCTTTTTCCTAACAGTGCGTGCATAGAATTTTACTTTTAATGACTTTATCTTTGTATCCTTTTACTTGATGAAAGATGCGTCTTTTTCTCAACTTTATCTATGAGCATTGTGAAAATACTGCGCTCACGGTGAGGTCTGGGATTCCAATACACGTCCAAGCACTGCGAGAGTGTCAATTTTTCTGGCAGCTTATTATGAATTTCTCATTATTATTTGCTTCATTGCTTAAACTTCATACCGCAATGTTGGTTCAGCATGGGACATCGTCATGTTTTGATACAATTAGTATTCTTACTTTGTACGCAGTGTTCACCGAATATGGGGAGAAGAAAATATCGAGACAGTTGCAGTGAGTGAAAAGCAAAGGTTATTCTATTTACTACTAACTTCTTACTCTTTTGTCTTTTTCCTTTTTTTAATTTTTTCAAAAAAGACCGCCCACAAGAAAAGGACCATATATTATTAGTCCATAAAAACTACAAATTGAGTTCTAAGAGTTTTCTACAAAAACTATGGCACAACAAACGCCAATTAATGTCAAATCAAACTGGAGTTGTGGTTGTTTGAAGTTTTTAGTGAAATAAATATAATTTTGAGAACAAATATCATCTATCATGTTTGAGGTACGAAATTGCCAGATTACAATGCAACTTTAAATGTTCTATATTGGAACCAAAATGACTTAAGACTTTCACTTAGTTTTGTAGAATACTAGTGAATATTTTTGGTCGAAGCTTTCAAAATCAAATTTTTCAACCCACCATGACAGAAATCGCACAACTGAAAATTTTGCTTCCAAGGACTGGATCTCTTTCCCTACGGACAGTCACAAATATTTATAATTTCTCACTTTTTTTTCCCCAATAATTCAACGGCACTACACTTACTTTGTCTCACCAATTGCAATTTCTTAAGTATTACATTTTGATCTTTTTTTAAAAACAAAACAAAAGCCCCATAATTATTTCAGGAGGCCATTTATGAGCACTCCCTTTTATGGATGACATTGCAAGTTGTTGGTGAAGAGTGGCTGATAGGGAACGACTGGCTGTGTTTCCATAAAATGCTGGTAAACATTTGTAGGCAACAAGGACCGATACAAAGATGAGGTATAAATGGCAACTGAGGAAGCAGAAAAGGAAAGGTACTAAGATAAAGTATGAAGAATCATTTTATACAGTGCAGGCTACACGTGAAAAAACGGAAGAACTGAACATCTCATCAAATTGTGATGCAAGCAAACGCTGATTGCTGACTCCAGTTAAAAAAATTAACTTGAAAAACTCAAAACCTAGCACAAACTCATGTCAGGCTCATTCTTTTTTACCTACCGAGACCTTGTGGTATTCTGAGAGGGTTTCTTAACATTTTTACCCATGCCTGCTCGTCTATTTTAGAAATGAAAAGAAAAGAAAATATTACAAGTGGTTTATAAAGGGATAAAGAATATTAATGAGGGAGTAAAATCTAACGCTACAGAGAACATTGAAACTTGATAAATACAAAATCAGTTCCTTCTTTCCAAATAGGCTAATATAATTGAAGAGGTCTTCATGAATAATAGCAGTTAAAATGGGAAAATTAATCATGAAGTTCAAATAATTTCCAATTTTTAAATCCATAAAATGACAAATAAATAAATAAATCATGAGACTTCAATTGGGATACCTTCATAAAACTTTAAAGGTTCTGCATTCCAGATGTACTTTATTTGCGATTCAAAAGTTCATTCAAATTTTGTGCAGTTTGTCCACCATCAAATTTTTGTGGCCCTTTTTGGCTCAATTTATCAAAGAGGCCTAAAATCTTAAAAACGAACTCTTACCTTTGTGAGGTAGGACTTTTGGGTGGCAAACTCGAGGCATCAAAGTGGACATTGCTGTTGCTGTAAGGGGTGCGAGGATGGACAGGGAATGCTGGCGTCTGAGGTCGAGGCGTTGTAGTGTGCGGTGGACTTGATTCCGTATCACTGATTGAAGCAGTGCGCAATGATCCCACACTCTCATGCCGGCTCTGAAAGTATTATTATCATATATAAATAAAAGCAATCAAAATGAAGCAGAGGAGCTACATTTTATGATCTTAGATAGCAATGAATGGGTTCAAAAATATTTTTGTTTGATGATGGATTGTGTAGAGCAAATAAGACTATATGCACGTTTTTGAATTATATGAGAGACATACCTAAAGAATTTCACTATCGCAAATACTTATCAACATTTTAAAAATAGGAAAAAAATTGGTCTTCAATCTTGAGCACACAACTCTTGGTCAGTAAAAAATCATGCATGTGCTGTTATATTTATTACACTTGTCCAATTGGACTGCATTTTGCAATTAGGAACTATAGTTTCTGGCTCAAATTAGAATAAATAACGTGAGTATCATTAGTTTCTCCATGTGCATAAGTGTATTTACAGATGAGCCACAGCTTGTAGTTCCAAATTGCAAAATGCAGTCCAATTACAAGGGCACTTAGCTTTAAAGTATTCACAAAAGTAAAAACAGATGGTGGTACCTACACAATCATAGAATTGTCGTCAACACAAAAAATTATAATTATCTCTTAATTTGATTCTTTTTTTATTTCTTTTTTTTTGCAAAGTGGAGAAAATCACAACTTCTGTTGACGTTTCCTGACTTGCAGGCCGACAGAAAGTTTGCAGACTTACAACTTTAGAGTAAGAATGATTTGTTTCTTTCATGGAATGAATTTCACTGTTTAAACGTTTATTCCAAAACTGACTAAGCAAACAGGGTAGTTATCCATCAAATGCAACGCCAGCTCCGGAACGAGGTGATTTAAAATATCATTTGAGCTGAACTTGGTATGGGTACACAATTTAATTTTGAAAAAAAAATTTGAAAGGATACTTAGTTTTCAGAAAAACTAATTACTTAGAATATTAAGAGAGAAATTTAAAAATACATGCTCACGACGTAAGTGAATAAATACAAGTGGGATCAAATTCAGCAGTAAGGAACCATCAGGCATCAGCATTCACCCAATTTTTTTCGTTTTATTTAGGTATATTAATTTTAAACGAAAAAGACTAAGCAAATGAATGTACGATACTGACAAGCTGGCCACAATGTAACTTTTCAATTACCATCACATTAGGTGTATAAGCAGTTGTCACTTAGGGCTCATGAGGTCAATAGTAGGGACCTGATGTCAAGCACTGACATCAACTGACTAATAAGGAGCTGCTAATGGTGTTTTACAATTTTTCCGACTAAACATCAGAATTTGTCATTTTCTGCATGTTTTGCTGGTGTGGTAGAAAACATCGGCAACAGAAGCACTAACAGTAAGTACACACTCTTCTTCATAAGCTTCAAAAAATCATTTTTACACAACAAAAATAAAGTCACAGAAAGTTTCAAACTTTAATTCTAGGTATGAGATTTTTTTAAAGAGTAACACATCAATAGTGAAAGTCCAAAACTACGTATCTCGGTTTGCGCCGTCGCAGACTTCCTGTCATACTTTATTTTTCAAATGAAAAACTACTTGCCGGCACTTAAACACTGCCATGATTTTTCTTCTCAGTGCCAAAAATTCTGCAGAAACTTCAAGGAATGATGTCAATTTGTTCTCTTTTAGAAAAATAAAATAGGAGCGGAGATTTTCAAACATCGCAAACAAGATAGGTACGTGGTTGCGGACTTACGCTGTTGATATGAGCAGTATCAGATGATTCCTTTCTTCTGCTTATGTTCCCAGAGGTAATAAAAATAAGCTTTGGTTGCGATTAAAAGCAGAAACAACAACATAAAAGGAAGGGGTACCTGGTGCCGCAACCAAGTGGGAGAGCTTGAGGTATCATGACTAGTTAGCGTGGCAATGAGGGATGCTAGGTGATCACTACCATTTCTTTCCACCACAGACAGTAATCCAGTCGACGGTGAAGGCTGAATACAAGCATGTTAATAAAACAAAATTACAGCGTGCTCAAAAAATATTAAAATGCAGTGTTGTAAAAAAATGTTCAAATCAAAGAAAATGCATATTGACACAATTTACAAATTACTATTTATACTTACAAAGTGTGGATGATCTGGTTTTTAATTAGGTGGTGTTAGAGTGGTAATTCATTGTAGACTCTTTGTTTAAAAAATCACTACATAGTTAGCTGCTCTGATCGGAGCTGCCTTTAAATATTTTGGGCTTTTAAAGAACAAATGCTGAGAAAATCTAGGAACCTTGAAAAATATCTTCCTTGCATCAAAGGATGGGCAGTGACCAGTGAGGATCTGTAGATACCTTATATTTTCAAGCCGCTGTCTACAGGCAAAAATGACAGCTACAAATGAATGACCTACGACTGGCCATTTGGTGTTGGCTATTAAGGAAGTGCTGCGATTTAGATTGACAAATAAATTGTTTTTTGATAAACTTTTTTACAACGCTCCCCAAAATGAAAGTCAAAAGCCATTGAAAGGATAAGATGGGCGTTGCTGCCCATGTGCTTAAAAATGTTAAATTTCTACCATTGGCAGATTGGCCGGGGTGTCTATTCATTTCTTAAACTTGGATAAAATGTTTGGACAATAGTCACATATTTTCTTGAAAAGAACACCCATTAATTGTGCCGCCTAAATGAATGAGGTATTGACCGTTTGGGTGGTACTAATTCGATGCTAATGAGAGATTGACTGTAAGTATGAAGATATGAATGATATAATTCTGAAGTTATGAGTAATTGGTGTTTTATCCTGTGTTGGATATTACAGATATCAATTTCGTTGAGTTTAATATGATGATAAGTATTGAAGTGGTTATGTTCATCGGAAACAGAGTTATGGGGGAGGGCACCTCATAAACACCAAAGATTAGCACCTATAAACCAGTCAACCAGTAAATCTTGTAAATACAGTTAGTCAGGGGATACACACCACAACATATTTACACAAACATCATACAATGTTAATGAGAAGCTACTTTACTTCCAATCCTGTTCTAAAAATATGCAAGTGTTCCTTCGCTTGTACACCTACTTTTGATCGAATGGGTAACAACTTGGTGCTTTCAGGGTTGAAAACTACTCGCATAAAATTCTGACCTCAAGAGTTTATTCCTACTTCATTTGAATACAGTCAATTTAATTGAATAAAATGTCAATGCTCTAATGTATAGGTTTGGGATGTGAATAATACAGTCCGTTTATTGCGGCATGATTTTGAAGGAAGAAGTCAAAACTAAATTTGATCGATGAGCAACATCTTTGGCTAGTCTTAATTTTCCAGTTGAAAAAGTAACAATTAAACATACCTACTTTATTTCACACAATGTTTTAAATCTATAACGAAATCTGTATTGAATACAAGGTACACGAATACACTGGTGGTTTTGTTTGTTTACGAACTGTGCTCCATGTGTGCTCGCGTCACGTGCTGCGCATGCGCTATGAGCGCTATGCAATTTATGAATGAACCATTCAAAACAGAACCGACCAATGAGAGGCCAAGAATTCGGTATCGTACTCATCGTAGTACTACGCGTAGTATTTGTAGTGAGTGTTGCCAGATCGAAAGCACAAATGACTGTTGACGCTTCCTAGGCCGTAAAACATGATGATACGCCCGATATTTCAGTTGGAATAGTGTAGAAGGAGACAAAATGTAAAATTGTCAAGATACAGCGTTGCATGTGTCCATCTATAGTCCTAAAATGTATTTTGTAAGGGCCATAAAAATGACTGTTCAGAGATTTAGGTAACTTCTTCAATGCCGTCAAAAAGTGGATTTGTGCAATTTTACTCCGGCGTGCTACACGTGACGTATGCAAGAGCGGACTGGCTCCAAACTTTATAAATTCCTTTAAATTTGGGAGAGCATGCTCAATTATAGATATTTTTTTTTTTTAATATCTGAAAGTGACAGTTGCAGCGACTTTTTTATCCGATCGAAAAATAAAAACGTGAGTCGACTGACGTAATTCGATCGACAAACTCGTGAATCGATCAAAATAGATCGATCGGTTTGCGTCTTTATTTTTCGATCGAATCGCCACCGTTTTACTTTCTCACTCCCTTCGTTTGGTAGTTTGTCGATTGAATTTCGATCAGTTCACGTGGATCGATTCACGTTTTTAGTTTTCGATCGCTTCGTGTGGATCGAATTCATACCTTCCTTTTTCTTATTGGCTGCCCTCCGCTCCCCATTCAGCAAAACCTGTGGGCCGATTATCGAAATTGATAGACAAAGCTATAGACAAAGAAGACAAAAAGGATATGGAGGGATCCTATTGGTGGAAGCGAGTGGTTGCAATAGACACAGGAGGTAGGTAATAGACTAACTAACAGCAACCACAGAGAGTTAGTCCATCATTTCCTCTCTTAGTCGATAGGAACCACCCATTTCAACCGATAGGATCGCTCCATACTCCCTAAGTCTTCTTTGTCTACAGCTTTGTCTATCAATTTCAATAATCTGCCTACCCCGCAGCCTCTAAGAAAGGCAGTCCGCTCGTGCGTACGGCATGCTACAAAAGCCAACCGCAAATGAAAAGTGCCGTGCTGAGGAAAAACGCCGTATGAACATTCAAGAGTTGCCAAATCTCCCTGGATAAAACGTTCATTTTTGTTGAAATTCATGCATATTTTTCCTCGAAACTTTCAAATATTTTAGATTAAATTGCGTACGAAATTGTATGAGAATGGAGATGTTGCATGTGTGAGGGATTTGCGATTTGACTGCTGTTTCTTATGTAAAAGTTTGCGGGAAACACGATGGTGCCCCTGGTTTTCTCTGAAATTAACTCCCAAGCGCAAAAAAAACTCTCAAAGTGAGGCCAAAATGGAGGAGATATCCTGCCCTACCCCGAGAGTCCACCTCTACATCAAAACAAACTCTCCATGCAAAAATAGGGAACAAATACATTAGCAGGGTTGCTGTGCTTTCAGTTTTAGAGTCCCCAAATGAAGTGGCAGCGCTGTCAATGTATTTGCTCCCTATCTTTGCATGGAGAGTTTGTTTTGTTGTAGAGGTGGACTCTCAGGGTAGGGCGGGATATTCCCTCCATTTTGGCCTCAACTTGAGAGCTTTTTCTGAGCTTGGGAGATGATTTCAGAGAAAACCAGTGGCACCATCGTGTTTCTCGCGAACTTTTACATAACAAACAACAGTCAAATCGCAAATCCCTTACACATGCAACATCTCCATTCTGGAGACCAACACTCACAAGTTTCTCAGTGAATTCGGTATTTATGGAGGTAAATTTGGCAACGTCTGAAGACTCATGCGGCGTTTTTCCTTAGCGCGGCGGAAGAGTGCTCATGAAGGTGGAGCGTAGGCGTGGATTTGAGGTGCACGATGCAAAACAATAGGAGCGTGAAAAACCAAGGACTCGGAATTGGATAGTAGAGTAATTGTGGAATGCTTACCTCGCCGTTCTCGGCGTACTTTTTGATCTGCTGCTCGTGCGCCCGCTTGACGGAGACAAAAGGCCGCTCGAAAGTGTCGAGCTTTTGCCGGTGGACGTTGCCGTTGCTGATGGCGCTGAACTGTTGCTTCTGGGCGCGGGAGGTGGTCCGATGCGGGAGGACCGGCGAGGTGGGCGTCGAGGTCCCGTTCTGGAGCTGCTTGTGGTGGCCGGCGGCCGTGTTGATGTGCAGCGGGATGGAGAAGTCCTCCTCGTCCTCGCCGGAGAAGAGGGTCGTGTCACTCGTGTACCCGTCCAGCCTTTGGCTCGGGCTCGGCTTTTTGTACCTATTGTGATGGACCAGCTCCGAGAGGAGCCGGGTCTCGTAAGGCAGCCGCTCGTTCCTGATCTGCACCTCCTTCCGCTCCTTCAGCTTCAGCTGCTGCCGCTGGAGCCACGTCAGGTTGTGCCCGGTCCCGTTCATGCTCCCGCTCACGACGTTCCTGCAACAAACGAAAAATCGACAAATTAGTACCGGGACAATAACACTTAGGCTCGGCGATTTCGAACTGGACCGAGTTCATCAGAAAGGAACAGGGCCGGATTTACCAATAGGCTACATAGGCTGTAGCCTAGGGCGCAAAATTCTGAGGGGCGCACAATTTTTGAAAATGTATTCAAAAACGTATTTCCCAAAACCAACTTGCAAACGTAAACGTGCCTCAAAACTGTTTAAAATCGTGTTCTTTTTAAAGGTGAATTTGAACATTTGCCCGACACCTAACATCCTCCTTCTGATCTGGAGGGGAGGGACGTCTAAGGGACACCCCCCCCCCCACAAGAGCGCTTACTTTTAGGGGGGCCACCCTAAGTTTAGCCTAGGACGCTAAAAATGTAAATCCGGCCCTGACAAGTTCATCAGAAAGGAGCCAACCCGCATTAATTTTCTGTAACCCACATTAAGTTGAAACTCATGCCGGAATCACACGCTGAATTTGGCAGCTGAATATGGAAGTTAAAAGTCATTGCTCAACGGCTGAAATTTCGCAAATTCGAGTTATCGCATCCAGGTTTGTATCAAATCCATTCGAATAGTTCAGACAAATCCGACATTATCCTATGGTTGCTGAGAATCATTGTCAATTGCGCGACACGCGCAAAATTCAGGCATTGGGCCGAGGACTCAAGCCACATTCAGCTCGTACAATCCAGTGTGATTCCGACACGAGAAAAAGAGGCTTGAAGTTTTATTACTACACAAGGCAAAATTATTACTGTAGAAAATCTTTAACACCTCTTTACACAAACTTATATAATTTGTTTTTTTCGACTTTCAGATTTCGGCAGGACAAAATTAACGATTAAAGGAACTCAAAAATATTCTTAACTCAATTTTTTCGAAAATTTGGGCAGGGCCGGATTTACCTACGTGCCACCCATGGGCCGCCTTTATTTCGCTGCTCCCTTCTCATTCGTTTTCAAACATCAATAAAAACCATCAAGTGAACGTGCCGAAGGGAGAGGGTTGTATGAGACACGTTTACTCGTGTTGGACAAATATCTTGCGAAAGCCCTGTCAACTCTACTAGCAAAAGTTCACGGAACTTTGAGCGAAAGTTAAGTTTCGTAAACCTATCTCTGTGTGGCAAGGCTTTCCATTTCCAAGAAATAAACGAAAAAATTATGAAAAAACAAACATAAATGTGGTTTAATAATTTTAACTTCCGCTGCTGCGCCGCGCTGACCGCACTGAGTTTGGCGCAATGCTTGAAGTATTCCTACGGTCTTGGAGGCGCTATGCGTTTCACGCCGATCGTTGCTGACTACACTGTGTTTAACGAAATGCGTGAAGTATTCATGCAGTCTTGTAGGCGCTGATAGGTGTTTCATGCCGACCGCCGCGCCGAGGGCTCCTCCTTTTCATCTCAAGTCCTCGTTATCATTGCCCTCTGCGCCGCGCCGTTCCGGGCCAAATTGCGTGTTGGATTTCTTTCTTAACTCTACTAATTAAAGGTGTTGTCTCTTGTATAAACGAAATATGACACAATTAGAAATTACTTTACGCTTAGGAAATGAGAGATTCTGTCGCCTTTTCTCGTTTGTCATTTTTGTTTCTGAATCCGATTTTGTTTTATACACCTACATTAAAAAAAAATTACAAAACTTGCCGCCCCCTAAATTTGCCGCCATGGGCCGGGGCCCATATAGCCACCCCCTAAATCCTGTCCTGAATATGGGTTGGTTCCTCTTTGATAAACTCGGTCAAATCGATTAAGTTCAAGACATTTATTTCTAGACACAAATAAACGAGAAAATAGCATCCTTTATTTGAGATCGAAACTGAATCTATTTTTAGAACATAAAAAGCTGTGACCTATTAAAACAGTACAATTTTTGTTCAATTTTTACTTAAATTTTGAATTTAGAATGAACTTCGGTTGATGGCTGAGACGTCTAATCGACTCGTCAAACCACGATCTGTTCGCAGTCTTTCTGTGATCGATTGATGAAATGCGGTGTAATACAAGCCCCTTCACTGTAAAAGATATGCAATTACTATGGTAGTCGCGTATCCTTAGTTGCATAACCAGCGTTTTGAGGGATTCTTTTCCCTTTGAGAGTTTTCCATGCAGGGAGTTAAAATGGGAGAGAAAAAATTAATTCAGACGTGCCGGCCCACAGAAAAAAGCACCTCACGCCCCAGGAGAAACATTTTTAGATATAAAAGAGATTTTTGTAGAGTTGAATTGAAAACTATTATTTTAAGAATTTGACGGAGAACTCACTTTGTCGAGAAATTCTTGAATTTGCCTTCACTTTGTGCTAATTGTAAGTTCGAAAATGGACTTAATATGAATATTTAAGAGAAAAACCCCATTAACAGTGGATCAGTTGCTTTTATTGTGATTAAAATGCAAGCGTTCGAAAAACTTTGCATTCGATCACGGTTGGACCGCGTTAAGCAGAATGGAACCAAGCCACATCAGCTATTGCCAAATTTAATTTAGCAATTTAATTTTTACAAAAAAACGGTTGTGCAGATTTTTCTGCAAATTTCAGTGAATCTCCTATACAGCACGAAACCAATTCCTTAACATTTCCAAAGAAATCCGCACAGACGTTCTCTTGTAAAAAATCAAACTGACTCATTAAATTTGGCAATAGCTGATGTAGCTTAGTTCCTTCCTGCTTAACGCCGTCCAGTTTAACTCTCGCTCCTTCGCATGAGTTGGAGAATACAAAGCAGTGGCGTGGCGTGAATTGCGATATATCGATTGTTATGCCATTCAAACCTATGGAAAAAAATCGATAAACAGGGTGTTCGCAGCGAACACCTTAATAATCGATTCTTCACCATAGGTTTAAATGGCATAACAATCGATACATCGCAATTCACACCACGCCACTGGTTGGAGAATACAAAGTGGGTGAAAAAATGACCCCCAGGAATCTCGACCACTGCAACTGTTGGTTCGCATAATCAGATTACCGAGCGTAAATCTGTTTCTGTGATCGCCGAGGAGAGGGAATGGGCGTCGACCAATTATGATTTAAATATCCCCGAGGAGACGTTTATTTCCGCGTAATCAAGGTGTTCAAAGAGGCTGGAGTGGGCGTAATATTCCAGATTTCTATTTCATGCACCCCAGATGTGCCGTAACTGCTACTTTGGCGCCAGCTTAATTTAGACGGAGCTGGAACAGGAGTTGGAACTTGAGTCTTGTTTTTCCGTTACGAACTTCTTCCAACGTGGCCCAGTTATGCGTTCCGTCTGGCCGGACGGCCGCGCTAGCTAAAAATTTAAGAAGCCGGCTTCTCGTGTTCTCTGCGCATCATGTCTACGCTTGAGTCCCTTTATACTGAGAGTCAAGACAACACCCCCTCATGGAGTCACAAACGGGAATAAAGATTACAGAAATTGAACGTTTTTCGTAATCTTTTATCGGCCCATTCTCAAATTCCTTTCTCCGTTCCTTCTTTCATTCCGTTTGTTCCTTGCCGAACCCGTAATTCCCTGGTCCATTCCAGATTATAATCTTTGCAATCGGTGAAAATGTAATCTTTATTCCCGTTTGTGACACTGTGAAGGCCTAAAATACGGGAACCAATCAGAAATGGATTCACATTGTCTTGACTCTCAGTATGAAGGGACTCCAGTCTACGCCGCTAGGATACTTAAATTTACTTCACACATCCGAGGGATCCTTTGTTATGGAGCAATATTTTGGAAATATTATTAAAATATCTAATCTTTAATAATTTTTTTTGGAAAAAATTTGAATAACTATAAAAAAACGCATCTCGCATGCTATTATAAACGATGAGATAAGTTGGAGGTACACGAAAACACGCATTGTTTAGGTATGTATGAAAATTGGGTCACATTTAAGAAAAAGGAACCGGCGCGATTAGTGTTTTCAAAATCGTTAGACTTCTTTTTTTCTTTTAAAAATACTTATGTACAGAATTGAAATTTACACGATTGTTTTTCTTTCCAAGGAACTGGTTCAGCTAGAAAATTTTGGTTCCTAGGACCGAAAAATTTGGTTATTTAAGCCGTAAAATTTTGATTTTTCGTACGATTAACTGAAATCCAGGCCATGTAACTGAAGTTTTTTCTCAGTAGGTCTGGAATCCAAGAAAGTTGCTTGCAGTGCCTAGACAACACATAAAGAAATTCCCAAAAAATGACATAAATTCTCTTGCACAAGTGAATTATTGATCGAGCAAAATTTTGCAAAGTTGCAACGCAAATTAACCATTCTGGCTCCGACCCATTCAAATGCTATAATCGTCTTATGATTTGGTGACGTTAATCACCTCCAAATCATGTTGATCGCTTGAAGAATTCGTGTCAGATTGTGCGATCGTTGACGTCATGAGTCTTTGCAAATTAACACGGCGCCTTGTGCAAAAAAACTATAAAAATGAAATCGAATATAAAACAAACCGGTAGCTTTTTAACCAAATTGCAGATGTTTGATTTTATTACACTCATGTCGCCTTAAGTCATTGAGATATGTAAGTAGGCAATGCTCCGTAACAAACACGCTGTATTTTAATGCGAGAGTGTGATTTTTTTATTGCATTAATTCATCTTTTTGTAAACTATCTTAGATCTTATCTTTCTTCCTTTTTTCTCATGGTAGAATAATCAATAACAACATAATAACTCACCTTAACTCAGTACTGTACTTTTTATCCATGGTTGCAATTGAGAGCCTTTTCGAAGGTTCTTTATAGTCGAAAGGACTACAAAAGTAATGTAATCGTGCTTCATTTCCCTGCCGGGAGTCCATCGTTTTTTTTTTTTTTTTTCTTTCCACGGTCAATGTTTTCAGGACACATGTTTTTCTCAAAACCAACACCTAACCACTCCTTAAAATCATGCGCAGCATTATGCGACATGAGCAGCTTGATGGGGCGCAAAAATACAATCGCGAAGATATGAAGTTGAGATTTTAAGTTATTAAATATCAGATAAAAAAAATCCTGAACTCAA